TGAGGATTGCTGAATTTTATTGAAGTCAAGAATAAATCTAACTTAAATCAGTTAGTGGTCTCAACATATAGCTATGAATAACATGGTAGACGAGAATGAAATTTATTAACAAACCGATCAGACTTAAGATCGCAACTCTTGGATTTTTGAGTGTGATTCATCCAACCACATAGCTAAATAGCATTATACTTGATTTCAGCCCATATTGAACACCCTGACTTTAATTCATAACTGTAAATATTAATTTCTAGTGCTAATCTTAATTCCTCACACTAGTTCATGATACTGCTGACCCTAATAAGTGTTGAGATTTCTAAAAGTTGGTCCATGAATTATAGCCCCACCATTTGGTAAAGTCATTGTATCAGTGATAAATATTGATTCTAGCAATGAAATGAACATATTTACCTGGTTCAGTTTCTCAGCTTCTACAACTGTGTGGATAGTGGAATCCAAGACTCACGTTTCGTCCTATTTGGGACTCTGGGACGCAGGTACATCTAGCTGACGAATCCTAAATAGGGTAAAACACGCGTCCTGGATTCCACTGCTAGCCAGCATTCATCTTTACTAATTTTATCATTTCTTGTTTTGACTTAGGTAACATTCAAATTAACGCTTGAATATAATCTTTCTATATGTGATTTATTAATTGTTACATGAGTAAAATACTTCAATGGTTAAATTATATGCATTTTTTCACTTTTCTCATATTCTTCAACTTCTTCGTATACGTTCAAAGTGTAGTATAATGTATTTCCTACTAAAGATATTTATTTGTTCTATCGAGAAAGATGATATTGTTTTTGATGACGCTAACATATTTTATGGTTATAATCGTACTGAATTAATATAATAATCAATAAGTATGTGGGTGGAAATATACCGTATGTTTATTTCTCTGTGGTTAGATAAAATAAAATAATAAGTTCAGCGCTTTTACTGATTACCTGTGTGTTATTCATAACCCACATTCATTGTTTTGACAATTTTCCACATCTTGGTCAGAGGTCGAAATCAATATATATATATATATATATATATATATATATATATATAACTTCTATTTAAAATTACTTCTGATACCAAGTTTATTCATAATGTATAGGCTTTAATAGTACGGGTTCAGACAAAAATATCTAAGTTTTTACGGACGTTTGTTTGCTTTGAGATTTGTGTAATAATATGTGTATGAGTGTATTTCACTGAATGCACAATTCTCTATATTTATATGTTTACAAACCACAAACTAGGACATATCCAATACTGAATATAAAGGGTGTAGAAAAAAATGAGAATTTAATTTCAGAGTTGAATTATAAAAGAAGTATTCAGCTATTTATTTGTTGACATACATGAAATTTATGGATTGGTTGAAGTTAGAGATTAACAGCGTTGGATACCAGTTCAGTGGTCTAAAGGTTAAGTGTTCACGCGCGAGACTGATAAGTCCTGGGCTCGAATCCCATGGTGCATGATCGTGGATGCACACTGCTGAGGAGTCCCATACTAGGATGAAACGGCCGTCCAGTGATTCCAGGTTTCCCATTGCGGTCTAGCTTTAATTGGCCCATAAACTCAATTATTAAAATTTATGAATTATAAGTTTCCATAGAAAATGAATGCTTCAGCAATATAAAGTTTTATAATACTCTTTAGACTAATGAGTGAATAAATGAGAATGATTTATTCATCTTTATAACTTGAATTACTTAGTAACTACTTCATTTGTAGTAGTCAATTATTCAGCTGATTTCGTTTCTGAATTGGTGATTAAGAATTGTTGCACAATGATTAATGAATAGATATTGTCAATAACTTTGAATACATTCATGGAGTGACAAATAAGTTAATTGAATATTTGATCATTGATAATTATGACTTAAAAAAGGATAATAAGTGAGAATAAAGTGACTTTCGTTGTTATAGTCATCGTTCTTACATTCGATTCTGTAAGATTTCCAGTTTAGAAATAATTAGCTCAAAGCAATAAGTTTACAAGCCTAATTTCAAATAATTTTACTTCTCAATGAAATAAGATGGTGGTTGGAGGTAGTCAACAGGAAACCCTGGACCCGGGTTTCGTGCTGTTTGGCACTCATTAGCAAGGTGTGCACGCAACATCGAGTCACTAGACTAGTGGCCACATTGTAACTTGGTCGATAGCATTCGATTTGCACTCAGAAGTACCTGACACATGACATTGATCACCACCCAGTAATCAATCAATTTTAAATACTTCTCAATGTAACTTTTCGTAAAGTGAATAGAAATGATATATACATGACCACCTTATATTAGTGTTTGAATATCAATTTACCTCATGCATAGAGATCAGAAAGATTAATTTGATTGGTGTTATTTACATTTAGATAGGTCTTTTAAACCTAACAAACGTTGAACTGGCTTACCTAATATGGTTAAATTTATTGCAATGAATTGTTTAATTTTTCCATCTCAGGATTACTTATAAAGCCATGATTTCTAAATTCTACATTGTAAGTCTGCCTCTGCTAGCTTTACAAAAAGTCAGTTTCTAACTGTTTATAGATTTGAAACCTTGTTATCAACTGGAAGTTTGATAATATTGAAGTGATAATAATCGGATCTGTGAATACTTATAAAATAAGATTCTAACAAGATGTGAAAGTAAAGAATATTCAATCATAATTATGAAATTTGGCTGATAATCAGTGGAACATAAAGTATTCGCATTAAACCATTTGTAGATAGTTCAAATAATGATTAAGTAATCATCATTACTTCACAAAAGATCAAACATACCAAAGTGTTGATCCTATAATCTATGTGATTCGATTGAGTTTAATTGGTTATGTTACTTAAAAGTCAACTAGCAGTGAATGAATCACTACATCGATATTGAAAAAAACATTATAGAGACATAAAAGTCAACCAATTTCTTAAATAAACTCTATCAGCTTTATACTAAAACGTGATTGTTGACTACTCTAACACCCAAAGTTACTAAAGAAATCCCCAAGGAATCAAATTGAATCTGTAAATGCGATCTAAAGAAATTTGAATGGTTTTTACAATAAAGTTAGCTGAGCTGAACAGTCTGTATGAACAAGGGTTATTAAAAAGAAATCAACATATGGAATAATCAGCACAGTAACGGATGTACTTCTAATATGTTGTCTTTAAAAAATTTTAGTGGGCAACAGCACCTAAGAAAATGGGGGTAAAACCTCGTTCATTAACTTAGACACTTTCATACAAGCAAGAATTAAATAGTTAATACACTACATTGCAATTCAGTCGAATCTGTGTTCTTTTTTCATTATTTTCTGTTTGTTAAATCAAGAGAAATGTAACATGACAGTAGATTAACAAATATATGTATGCTATAAATACTTTAGTCAAATGAAGACATATTGACCTTAGATTGTCAGTATAAAATGAACGAAAATCATTGACTAAAAAAATGATTGAAAAGTTGTAATGATCAGGTTACGAATAATGATTGTTTACTTGAAGAAACTAGATAAACATAGAAAAGAATATATGAAGTTCAAATGTTCAAAAATGTAGGCTTTATTAAAGTACACAGATAAGTGACTTAAGAATATCCTATTTCAATAGCTCTTACCAAGTTTTATAGTTACGAATTTGAATTTGCAAACCAAATGGCGAAAAAGAAATTATAATAACAAGCTAACCTTCTATGAAGAGCCAGTGAAAATTCCGCAGACCGAGATGAATATTTGCTCCTGCTTTGTGACTCCTTACTCCCGATACTCAAGTGTCTTGAATCAAGTCGCTTATAAAATCATGTATACACATTGATAAGGACTTCAAGACTTGGACAAAGCAGCTGCGCAACACTCTGGTTTCCAATAAATCTGCGTCTGGGACACGAATTTATTTCTTAATAAAGCGATGGTTAATATTAAGCAAAAGATAGTTTAAATGTTCATATCAATGAGAATAAATGTGAGAAAATTTTAAAAATTTGAACTTTGATAATATATAAGTGAGAAGGATTTGTGACCTAAGATGTAATGGGTCAAAATGAGCATAACATTTATTACGGCTAACTATCAGTTTATTCACCATAAAACTAAACAGAAACGTTGCATTCACTTCTTTTAAATGTTCAACCATGAAAATCGTTTTTCTCACAATTTTAAATCAACACATTTCAGAATGATTAGCACAACTCCTTGTGTATGTGGAGTATTTTCTTCTTGATGGCCGGAGTACAACAGCAGCTCCCCTGAGGCTAGTTTTTGTTATCCAACCTGTGCCCAATGTGTTTCACTGATTCCAAGCACCTCCAGGTTGTTTTTTTTTATTTCTGCAGCAACTTGGATGACTCTCCCGCTCTCCTACATTGTACGAACTTTCCATGTACCGAGAAAGGGCATCAGTTTCGTGAATACTGAAGGAATTCAGCTCTCATCATAACTCTTCTAAATGGAAACTTTCTAACTCCCAGGGCAGAGTTTAAATGGTTTGAATTATTTTTTCTGATTAGCGTTTTTTTATCGACTTAGTTTTCTTCGGGATGGGGTCGCTAACTCCACGCCCAACCCTCCTCCTTTATCCGGGCTTGGGACCGGCAGTAACCCCAGAGGGGCTCCAGGCGGAATTTCAAAATGATTGGCTATTATTTTATCCATTAAAGTGTATTTCTCCCCTTGTTTTATAGGTTTATTCAAATAATTCTTTATATCTAACGAATTTACAGAGAGAGTACCTTTTAAATTATACTTTTAAACTTACATATCAATGAATTGACTGAATTACATTACCTATTTAGAAATTAAAATCGACACTTTACTTTACTGTGATTTCAATAGTTATTTCAAAAATATTTGTTTATCCTTACTCTCAAGTCAATTAACTGAACAAATGACCAGGATACATCAAACTGTAAAGACTTTGTTTGTAAAAATAAACGATAATGAAGCTTGGTTATACTAAGTATATATATATCATACAACTTTAATTAGCATTTATTTTATTTTGTCTTATAGCAAATCAGAAACAAGCAGGAAAAGGGCCAGTATTTGAAAAGCCGAAAATATACCAAAATAATCTAGGACGTGATGTAATTTTAGAATGTCGTTGCAGTGCAGATCCTGCACCTACCTTTACTTGGTATCAAAATACAAAAGAACTTAAAGCAAGACCAGGTAGATATGAAATGGAAGAGAGTAAAGACGGTGCAGTATTCTTAAACAAATTAAAAATAATTGTAAGTATTTTAAATATTGAGATAATTTTTATAATAAATAATCATTTTACTATGACTAAGACTTAGCCAATTTCTTTTGAACCCAATATTTTTAGCTTCATGGACCTATGTATGAGTGCAAATGAAATCCATCAAAGTCGAATTATAAGATCATAAATATACTTCATCCATCGATAAAGTTTGAAACGTAATCAATAAATGACTTAAAACCGTAGTTACGATTTTATTCGATATCAAAACATCAACCACCACATAGTATACTTCAGAGAGTGGTCTCAAAATGCACCTAGGTGAAAATTCATTCACCCGCAATGTTTAAGATTATTTCAATCGTATTAAATGTAGGGAATATAAAATGTCATCCATCCAGAATTTTCACTTGATAAATCGATCATTCTGAATGATTCAACCAGTAGGACCATATTTTTAATGAATAATACTTCATGATACAATAAATTCTATCTAGTGAGTGGTCAAATAGGTACAAATTAATTCAAATGGACGAGTCTGTTAGTGATTGTACTGAAGCTTAAACTCCAAAGTGTTATGTAGCATGTGGTTGATATTGTGTCAAATATATTAAGTAATTGAAAAGTTTCTGTCGTTCCATTTTTGGTGTTCAAGACTGGATTGAGTTTGAATTTATTACCATTTCATTTTGATTACTAATTACGAATTAATCGACTGATTCGCACTTCCTTAAAGAGCTTTTTAATTAAAGAAAAGTCAAGAAGATTTATTCAAGTGTGCTAACAGACTAGATTTTTAATTAACTATCAGTTCATCTTTTATGAAATTCGTAAACATGATATTCTTCAGGGTATTTACAAAGTTCGCAAGCATTTGTATTTCTCAAATAAGTACAGATCTATTGATTGATCAGAAATTTCCATTAAAATCATTTTAAAAAACTTAACAAATTATGAAATAAATGAATTCATGAGTCCATTAAAGTTACACCATCATGGAAAATCTGGAAGCCCTGGACGGCCATTTCTTCCTAGTATAGGACTCTTCAGCAGTGGCCAGTAGCGTTCAACCGTATCTGTTGTAAAAGCAGTTACTCACGGAAGACAATGGTGGAAGGTTGCGCAATATCGTGGATTGATTGAAGTTAGATATCAATACCGTCGGATGCCGGCTAAGGAATTTATAAGTTAAGCATTCGCACGCGAGATCGAAGGTTCTGGGTCCGAACTCCACGTGTGGGGTCCTGGGCGCGCACTACTGAGGAGTCTCATACTAGAACAAAACGGCCTTCGAGTGCTTTCAGGTTTTCCATGATGATCTAGATTTAATCGACTCATGAATTCAACTATTAAAAATTACTACAATATTCTCCGTACCCCATTCTGATAAAATTATGAAATATAAAAACATGTATTAAACTTAGCAATTTTTTCATCTGTTTATAAATAATACCGAATTTGAATAACTATGATAATAGTTCTAACATAGAGATTAACATTTTATTAAATCTACTTATTTATTTAGAATTTTATGAATGCAGATGCAGGCACATACAAATTAATGGCCAAAAATAATTCAGGTGATGCGACTGCAGTTATGGAGGTAAAAATGTAAGTAGATACTCCGCTTTTACTTAACTTGAATATTTAGAATTTCTGAAATTCCGCAACCACTTGTTTTTCATTTAGTCTTAATTAATGTTGTATTAAATATGCTAACGGAAAAGGATACTTTTAAGTGTAGATGTCCACCAACTCTGAGATAGTGTTTTTAGAATTAGATGCTGAAAATCAACTATGATGTTTTCCTCTCTGATAAGAATCATACTATGCATAAGTTCTTGTATGATAATTTTAACCTCAAGACAGGTTTTCATAGAAGTGATAAAAAAGCTCATTCGGTAAAAGAACAAATTGGAAAACACATCGAATTCCTTCTGGATGCCGGGAGTCTAGAAACATTAAAGTCATGGAAAATGTTAAAATGGTAATTAAACTTAGTTAGTTAAACTTAGAGCACCACGATTTTAAATAGTGATGGGGGAAGGGAGTAAACAAAATGTTAGTAAGTAGTTAAAAATCATGAGTGCGTATTTCAGAACAAGATGTGATTTAGGAAAACACTGCTAGATGTTATTCCATTAACTTACCTACTTATTTACTTACTTACGCCTGTTACTCCTCGTGAAGGAGCATAGACCGTCCACAAGCATTCTACATCCAACTCTGTCCTGGAAAATCCTTTCCAGTTCTTTCCAGTTTCTATTAATCCTCTTTATATTGCTTCCGATTCTCGATGCAATGTGTTCTTTGGTCTTCCACTTTTCCGTTTCGCTTCAGGACTTCAATTTAGCGCTTGCTTCGTGATGCATTTCGATGATTTCCGTGATGTAAGTCCTATCCAACTTCGGAGTTTTTTCACAATTACCTTTTCAGCTCGAAGCTGATTTGTTCCTTCCCGCAGTGGGCTGTTGCTGATGGTATCCGGTCGACGGACATTCAGTATCTTATGTAGACAACTGTTCAGAAATACTTGCACCTTCTTGATGATGGTTGTGGTAGTTCTCCAAGTTTCAGCTCCATATAGTAGAATCGTCTCGACATTTTTATTGAAGATTCTGGCTTTGATATTCGTTGACTGTTGTTTTGAGTTGCATATGTTTTTTAACTGTAGGAATTCTGTCTTTGCTTTGCTAAACCTTGCATTTACGTCTGCATCTGATTCTTCTTGTTCATCGTTGATACTGTCCAGGTACGTGAAAGTTTCCATCTGCTCCAGAGTTTATCCATAGAGTGTGATTGAGTTGGTGCTTTTAGTTTTGTATTTGAGGATCTTGCTTTTTCTCTTGTGTATGTTGAAGCCTATTGATATAGAGGCTGCTGCTACACTGTTTGTCTTGACCTGCATATGTTGATGTGCATATGATAGAAGGGCCAGGTCATCTGAGAAGTCCAAATCGTCCAGTTGCATCCAAGCTATCTATTGTACTCCGTGCTTTCCTCAGATGTGAAGGTGTTCATAATCTAGTCAACCAATAGAAGAAAGAGAGGGGGGGAGAGTAAGCAGACTTGTCCGACTCCGGTCTTTAACTGGAATATGTCTGTCAGCTGTCCTCCATGCACGACATTGCAGCGTAGTCCGTCATGTGAATTCAGTATGATATTGACACCAGAATGTTCCATAATGTTCTCCTATCCACATTGTCAAATGCTTTCTCATAATCAAGGAAGTTGATATTTAGTGACGATTTCCATTCAACGGATTGTTCAACGATGATCCGTAGTGTCGCGATCAGTGCTTCTTTGATCCCTTTCCAGTTGACCTCTATAGTAGTTCCTTCTTTGAGTAGATCTTGTAAGGCTTGTATCCGGATGTTGAAAGTTATCTTGAATCGGTTGAGTTTGCCAGTATGTCGAAGGAAAGCTGTATTGAACGTTTGTAATTCTGTTTCTTCAGTTGTCCGGTGCTTCTTTAGCTTCAGTTTCATCTGGGTAACCATCAAGTGATGATCTGGAAATATACCCGCCCCTCTACTCGTTCTCACTTCTTCCATCGTCCTCCTGAATTTCTTAGTGCTGCAAATATTGTCTATCTGGTACGGTGAGAACCAGATTGCTTCGTGTATGCGTTTGTGGGGGGAATTCTGTGCCGCCTGTAACAAACTTGTTGAATGCACATAGATTTGCGAATCTCTCATCATTTTCGTTTCTTTCTCCCAGTCCATGTCGTCCCATGATATCTTCATATCCGGTGTTGTCCATTCCGACCTTGGCGTTTAGGTCTCCCGTCAGGATGATGAACTCCTTTCTTGGGCATTTCGCTATGATCGATTGCAGCTTTTCCTAGAACTGATCTTTATTGTCATCTTTGCTATAATTGGGGGTGAATAACATTCATTGTGACCTCCTCCTTCTTTGTTTTGAAAAATGTTTTGATGATCCTTAGTCCAAGAGATTCCCATCTGATAAGAGCTTTACGTGCCTTTTTGAACAGCATAAGAGCAACTCCCTGAGTTTGTGGAGCATTTTCTTCTTCATGTCCAGAGTAAAGAAGCATCTCTCCCGAACTAAACCTTTCCTGTCCAGCTTGAATCCAGTGGGTTCTACTTATTCCCAGCACCACCAAGTTGTATCTCCTCATTTCCGTTGCTATTTGATTTGTCTTCCCGGTCTCCCACATTGCCTGAATATTGCATGTACCTATAAAAATTGTTGTTCTGGTTGGTAGAAGGTGAATCGGCCTCGAGACTTCCGAAGAATCTCTGCTTTCATAATGAGGTATCATAATTCTTCCTTCAACTCTTAGGGCAGAGTTTAAATGGTTTAGTTTGTTTATTTTGGTTAATGCTTTCCTAGAAAGGTTGTCTTCTACGGGGGGGTTGACCCCATCTCTAACCCTGCTCGTTTACCCGGGTCTGGGACGGACAGTAGCCCCAATAGGGCTACAGGAGGAGTTATATTAACTCTAAACTAAAACTGCTAAATTTGAATATACTCATTAAAGCGATGAATCAAGGATTCATTTACTAATTTCTTATAAATTTTACTAGTAAAACTAATGTTCGCTGACATTTGGGCATAGTTTAACGAAAATGCTATATCTTCAATAAATGCTCTTGAAATTAATGGATTGCTCACTTCTAATGGTCTATAATTCCATTCTCAGTTTTGTTGACGCCCTTATTTATCAATTGAAATTTCTTTTTCTTTCTAATGTTCCTTATCTCCGTTTGTTGAATTTGCTCCAAGGCCTAAGATTGTCGGAATGCCAAATATTCGTTTTGAAGATAACAATCAACGTGCTTTTCTTGAGGTCCGTGTTGACTCTGGGAATCCTCCAGAAGCAAAATGGTCACATTCAGGGAAAAGTATCAAAGTGGAAGGACGCTATAGCTCAGAATGTACAATGGAAGGTAGAAATTACGTGATGAATCTCACAATTAATGATGTAGGTTTCTGTATAGTGTTAAAAATCTGGATATTTGAATTTTAATATAACTTCAGTCTGCTTTAAATCTGTTTCTGTATTGCATACTTACTGGAAATAATCTTTAAAAAAGCCGGCCTACTTAAGTTCTTTGATTATCCCTGATTGTTATCATATTACCACGAGAACTTAAATAATGACATTTGATTGGTTATAAAATTACAGTGCCGGTCATCTATGTTCATTTAGCAGATCGTCTCTGAAATATTTCAATGGAACATAAGACATCAGTTTAAAAGGCGTCGTATAAGAATGATAAACTAGGTGATGAATATACTCAAGTAGCTGTTATTTCCATCTTTTGTTAAATAGTTAATATTTAACAAACTTCCTTTTTGTTTACAACAGAAGACAAAGTTAGATCTATGATGGTGTACACCTTATTTTAAGTAATTTAAGCTTTCTATAAAGAGAACTGTCTAAATTTGTCAACATTATAAATTGCAGATTATGTAGCTAAGGTTTTAGACTCACTAATGTTGTTCATTTTACTAATATACCTGGGTTAACTGTTTAATGGAACATTTATTTGTTTGGTAGAGGTCAGTGACATTCAATCTTTATCATCTGTCGAATCGGTGGCAAAGAAGCATTATTGACTTCAAATTATTATAAAGGATACAGAACTGTTTATTTGTGGTGTCATATTTTCAGTCACATGACATATGTATTATAACTATGTAACAATTTTCAGAGTAGCATTTTGTGAGTTATGAGATCCAGTTGAGACCTGTTGATATTGCTCAGTTTAATACATGTAAAAGTTTTAGAAAAAAATTGAATTCTGGCAATTTAGCTTTTACGTAACAAACATTACTAGTTTGTACTTTGTGTTGTTCAGTCATTTACTTTCAACTAAGTCTATGTAAAATCTTAACAATTGGAATCCAAGTAGGTCATGAATGAAAATACAAAATTATGAAATAGAAGCTAGATGTTAAAGGAAAGTAAATTTGTATTACGACTTGTGGTAAAGTTAAGGACACTCATTGTGTTCAATCTAGGACATATCAGCCGAATTAACTCTCGTCCCAGTGTTGATGTTTATAATGGAGACTGGAACTCGTGTCACTTTAAATTGTAATGTATGACATATTTAACGAAGTTAAACTCATACAATTTAACGTAGATTATTATTGTTTCCTACCTTTTTATACCAGCTAACCGAAAAAGACTCTGGACTATATGAATGTGAAATTTTCAACGGTGTTGGTAAAGTACAACAGTCAATTACAGTTAAAGTACCACGTATGTCAAACACAAAATTAATGTTTTTAAAACTACTAATTTGTAGAATTGATTCTAGTCGGTTTTATAGTGAAACTATGTCTAAGAAGGGAATAAATCAATCTGAGAGTTACGAAAACATATTCTGTTCAAAATTTCTCACGGATGTGAATTTATTATACTTAATTGAGTTCATGAACCGATTGATGTTAGACCACCATTGAAAACCTGGAAGCAATGGACGGCCGTTTTACCTTCAGTCTCGTGTGTGAGCGCTTAACCTATTGGACCACTGAGCCAGCATCCAATGGTGTTCATGATCTCAATCAAAAACCTAGCAATCTCCACAACCCCTAAACTGATTATTATACTTACCCTAATTTTCAATACTTAATACAAATACACCTGGGAGGAACTATGCGAAACTACCAGGTGGATGTCTATATATTCAGAATTAGAAATTATATATAAAAAATAATAAAATTATTCAATAAAAACGGAGATTTCGGAAAGTGGAAATAGAAACATTCAACTAAATCAAACAATTTAAGGATAGTAATCTAAATATAAAGTAGAAAGAGAATCTCCAAGTGGAATGAATGAAGATTTAGATATATTACAATTTATTATAATTTATTTAACCAAAGTAAAACATTAACGTATCGTTAATAAGTGACTGAAATATTTGCTTTTCTACAAACCATTTTGTTTCCCAAATGTGCAAAAATATTACAAAGAGGGATTAGATGGATTACATAATAAGTCAAAATCAACAGAACCATGTGAATATTTCTGAAATTCATCAAACTCATTGATACTGGTTAAAGTGTAAAATAAACAGTAAATTATACGTTTATCTTGAATTCTTATTCATACAAAGAATATGATACGCGTTATCCTCGAAGTCATTATTTGGTCAACCTGAAAATCTTGAGTAGATGGGATTTGGAAAGAATATTCCATCAATTGCATGAAGAAATATCAACAGTTGTAACGCGTTCTATTGGAACTTGTACACCAAATCTTAAGGAAATTTTCGACATACAATATATATGTGCTGTATTTTTGTTTCGTATACAGTGTTTATAATATACAATCTGGTAGTATCATGTTAGCCGAATCTTTCGTGTATTGAGAGTGTTCATTAATTGTTGTTTTAAAGCTTCAAATTTTGATTCTTGATTATCCATCTTTTAATATGTTGCTCATCGAAGTTAGAAATGTATGTAAATGGTTTTGTCAGGAACAATCATGATTTAATTTTGAAGATCTTCTAAACAAGTATACCAGTCATCACGGTTAATATTTGGAGCTTTCATTTTGACCACTTCCAGCAGTTTTAATCTGCTATTCATTTTCAACGAATGCGTACACTACCACATGGTGGTTTGTAGTACTTTTTAAATTATACTTTACGTTTACAGGTGTTTAATGAAATATAAATCTTTCTTTCCAGCCAAAGATCCTAAAGTCAAACTTCCACAAATCGTAGGATACTTGAACAGCCAGACTGCTGAATTAGGTGGGTCATACCACATCCTTATGTTTTTTTTTACAGTTTCAACGTTATTGATATTTAATAAATTGTGTATAGTATTTCGTGTATTGATGTATCAGTTATGGTAACTCACAGATAACATGTAGTGATAATGCACATTCGAAGAAACTAGTTTAATAGTGAAACGTAGAGGTAAATATTTACAACTCAGAATGTAGATTTCCAGAAAAGAAATTTCTTTTTAAGTATTGTGTAGAATTAAATATGCTTGTTGCCAACCATTTGCGAATCAACTTTCACAACTTATCAGCCATCAGCTTACGAACAACTAGCCTAGATTTCTGGTCCTTCCGAATGTCGACAGATATCAGACAATAGGCAGTTTTTAAATGTTGAGTTTAAATCCACAGTCTTAAGTATTATAAATAGTTTTTAAAGTTGGATAACATAATTATCTTATATCTTATAATCTTAAATAATAATTCGAGTGAAGCTAAATGAATATGTATCTAACTTTCGTCAGTTTTTGTTGTATTTTTGTTAGAGGAAAGGGAAGAAAAGTGTGAGAGACTTAACATAAGATTAACAAAGAGAACATATTGACGAACAACTCAATATGTACACACAATGTTTTTACATTTTGGCATGAAATCCGATAGGAAATAATCGATAACCTTTAATTTATAACACTATAATCATTTAAACTACTACCCGAAAAGTTGTTTTTTTATTCGTAAATTACAGGACGAACATTTATAATGACGGTAGATTATGCAGTTGGTTCAGTTACTCCACAAGCTAAGGTACTTAAAAATGGAACTGATCTATCACTTGACAAACGATGTACTGTTCGAGTTGATTCTACTAAACATTCAGTTATAATTACAATAAAAAACGTACAAATGGATGATAAAAGTACATATACTCTTCAATTGTTAGCAAATGGTAATGTTTGTGATAAAGGAAATTTTGATTTATCAGTCATTCAAGTGTAAGTACAGATCATTTTATAAAATATTTGATCAACTTTGATTGATTAATTTAACATATCAATTTGATATTGATATGAATATTGTTAAAACTAAACACTTAAGTAGATTTTATTTTAGAAAGTTTTATTGTTAAAGTAACCTAAGTATTGAATTGTCCGAAAAGATTACACAAATATCATATTTCCAAGAACTGCATGATGATTTCATGTACTTCAGAAATCTTGTAAATGATATTAGTGTTCGTTTACTGTATACTCTGTACACCTTAAGTAGATATTTTTCAGCCGTGCATGACCTAAAATATTTGAATTGAATTGTATACTCTAGAAGTTTATTAACTAGTATTCATGTGGTTATTTATTTTATTTATTTATTTTAACACATAGATAATGGCACAAGGGGCACCAAATACATATGCGCCACACAAACTTCATTCGATATGTGTGAGGGCTGTGATACTGCCTGGGTGCCCAAACCGAAGCAGGTGGTTTACTTAAGGGGCCACTCCCCGAGCCTTCGACCTGAAGGTCTGATCCACAAGGCAGTGGAGCGTCGTAAGGAGATGCATTCCCATGGAAGCCGGTGACCAACAATTGGTTCACACGCCATTTGTTCCCACAGGATCCTGGAGCCCATGTTCACCATTGATTCGGTTTGGAATCCGGTTAAAGCGCTGGACATTCGTTTTTCGTCCTCTCATTTTCGTAAACAACACCCCGCCACGAGAAGGTAGTGAGCAGGACTTCCCTGACAGAGGCTATATACGCGTGGCCATGTGAGAGGATTTCGAGAGGGAGGGCGGATTCGCCTCACTATCGGCCGTACCAGGGCATTCGGGGGCTTCATCTGGTAATATTAAAAGGCATAATCACATATTTTAAAATTGACTACTTTAGTGAGTATACCTAAAATCTCAGCTGTGGATTATAACTACTGTAGAGAGTGATATACTATTTAAAATAATCCTCAGCACAAAGTATATGTGACCTTCAATTAAAATTATCGTTAGCTAGCTGTTCATCCCTTCCAATCAGTTATCGATTCTGATGCTAGTTAGGAGTGAGAACACTGGTACTACCAATTTTCTTAGTTGAACGCGAACTGTATGCTCCAGTCCATTAGAAGATATCCTTAGGATATCCTATAAATTTTAAGTTTATTATCCATGCCATATAAGTAGAAACTAAGAATATTTATTGACTGAAACATTTAAGTATGCAAAAATAACCATATGTTGTTTGTTGTACTTATTTTAATACAGCCAATGGCCTGTGGTTCGCATCTACTCATTCTGTTTAACTAACACTGATTTTAATAAAGTCATGAACTCATAAGCTTATTGACGTATTCAGTTATAAACTGATGTTTCACAATATTTTCTATTCATTTTACTTATAAGGAATGATGAAGCAAATGAAGAGGTTGATGAAGTTGGTGAATTACACGTACCTTCAAACAAAGGAAGTCGACGCTCATCAACTGTTAAAAAGGAGGAGGAATATGTAAGTAAATTAACTTTGAAAGGTTTCAATTGATGTCTAGATTTCATTAAAAGTTTAGTTAGGTGTTTCAATTACATTTTCATGAAATATTTGATCAAGCAGAGATGGGAAGTTTTAAAAAGAAGCACTTGTTATTAATTAACCATGATTGATTTGATGTTCCGATTCAACCCCCTTCGCTCTGTATACATAATGATAACTGTTATAACTTATGGCCTTGTGCCCTATTAATATACGACTTAATGATACCGCCAATTAAAGAATAGTGATTTAGCTATCGGACCAATGACTCACAAACTCCGTGCGAACAGTCTAGAGTCTTAATCGGTCCTTCTTCCCGCCTAGCCTTATCTGTTTAATCCAGAACACAAATCTTAGGCTCTGCTATACGAATCATGTATTTCAAACATACTGCGTTTATATACAAAGCAAACAGACCACACTGTACTGTAAAATAGAAAACAACATTCGTACAAGATTTAGCCAAAAGTGGCTATGAATGTGGGATACTGTAATTAATAGCCCGGGCATAACTCAAGAACGGTAAATAGTATAATAATAGTTCATAGGTCAAAATAAAGCTTGTAATAAGAGAAATATAGATATATATAGTCTAGCTACTTAATAGTTATGCATTAAGAATATACATATAATACCTTTCCATAAATAGTTCTCAAAAGTTACCATTCCTAATTCTCGCCGGAATATAACACTAACTTACAGTTTTTCAGGTTAAAGAAAGTGTTTATTACTTCTAAAAGTCCGTATAATCATGGTGAAAATTTTTCAACTCCCTTATACCCAAAATAAACAGTTTTACCTGTGTGATTGAACTCGTTACTATTCCAACCAAATACTGAAATTAAATCTGATCATACTGTTTAGCCAAATGGCGTCTTCACATTTCAGCCTTCAGTTGTGAACAGTTTTTTCTGTTAAAAATGTATCAGCTTTCACTCTACAGTTAAAAACTCCAGAATTTGAACACTTACATATAATGTACCATTTATTAGTTGTAGTATTACAATAAAATGGCTATTTATAAATGAACTGGTCATCGGTTGTTCTCTTTGTTCAAAAGATTCCTATACAATCAATCTACTAATAACTTAGGCATTTTTAAAAAGCGTCCACGTGTCCTGAGCTAAGCTAATTTGCATAGGGTTGTAGGTTTGTGCAATTGAAGGTAAAAAACTGTAACAAAATTGTTGTTTAGTATGTCCTGACTTTCTGTAATCTCAAAGTAATGTCCTATTTCGTGACTCCTCGACAGTGCGCATCCACGGTCCCGCCTAGCGAGATTCGAACCCAGGACCTATCAGTCTTGCACGCGAACGCTTAACCTCTAGACCACTGAGCCGGCATCCCATAAATAAAATCTAGTTGTCTAAGACAGAATAAACGGACAAATTAAATAAGTCAGTTGAACAATAAGTTATGGGCACCCTAAAGATATCGAGATAATCGGTAGGTGCAATCTGTAGTTACTTTCTCGATCCAAAGCATAGACAAACAAGGCATTTTGCATATACACCCCATTAATCTATCTAAACTTTTAGGACATTACAACATTATGAATAAATGTTTATATTTTCATATAAAGTCTTTTATTTCATATCAAGCAGCCATATCTAATGGCTGAAACAACAATTAAGTTCTATTAATTCAGGAGCCTACCAACTTATTTGACTCATCAGAGGTGCCTTACTTTTGCAAGTACTGTGATTTTAACTGTACCCATCATTTAAGCATAATATTAGTAAATTTCTCAGTCTATTCAGTCTTATAGATGTTTGAAAAGAATAGTCAATCTGATTAAGTGTACACTTTTATAGCAACCAATAAATACTACATCATAAATTTTACTGATTATGTAATAAACCGATAAACTTTTCAATCAATAAAGTAAATTAAACCAACATTTGTTCCAATACACATTCATATATAGAAAAGAAAAGAATTTATCATTTAACTTTTAATAAAAGCTTATATATGTAAAGAAAAAGTCAGTATTCTACAAGTAGAACAACAGGAAAAATATCCTCCTCAAAAAGTAGAGAAACTGACCTGTGAACATTGAAATAAACTACATTTTGGACTTTTTCTTTTAAAACTAATCAAATTATTTATGTCTTTTCAGTTTATTATTAGATTTGCTATAAATTTAGTGCTCTTTTATTTCGTTTCGTAATAAATAGATTAAATTCACTTGATATTGTTTACTTGAATCTTCCCATTGATGTTTAGCACTGCAGTTGGTTAGTCTGTTATTGGCACATATGCATACTGTGCGTATTGCTTCGATATTGTCTTAATTCACAAGTGTTTTAAGCAAAGATGGATTGTGAATAGCAGTGGAAACGAGGACGCGCGTTTCATCCTATTTGGGACTCGTTAGCTGGATGCACCTGCATTTCAGAGTGGCTATCAGTACTCAGCAATTAGGTGGATAACGTGTTGGCGTTGGAAGCGAACGGTACTGGGTTCGAGCCCCACAGTGGCATCAATTGTGAGATGCAAGTACATCCAGTTGACGAGTCCCAAACAGGACGAAACACGGGTCCTGGATTCCATTGATAGCCACTATTCACCCTTAAATAAATTAAATTTTACGCAAACTAAACAGTAGTTTTATTTATTTTAATAATTTCAGGTTTTTGTTTTAGAGGAAACTAAACCGATTAATATGATTGTGTACAGTCTTTTCTCTTTTTAAAATATAGCTAAACAATAATCTCTTAGATGAATAAAATAAGATTATTTTCAGATGCAGTTTAAATTTGACCACATTCATATCTATCATATACATTTCGAAGGTTCAATTTGTTTTTTAGTTTTCAGTGAATCTCCAGGCATAATAATCACAGTATACCCTGAAGTCAGTCAGGTAAATAGGTGAATGTAATATTTAAAAAATGTAATGAGATAATTACGCAATTATAATACTAACGTTAAAGACGGAAATTTTGTATGCAGTTTAAAAGACAAGATATCACATCAAAGTATGAAAATATAATATAGGCAGGTAGAAATAGTGCAGTTATCGTTCACTTTAGTTTTTTTTCTGTATAGCTAATACAAATAATAAGGCATAAGATAATCTAGGTACCAGTGGTGAATGGTTGAATGTGCATATCTTCTTAATTGCTGTTACTGACGAATCTAAATTCGAATGATTACATTTGTGTTGCTAAATACATCAGTTTACTTCCTCAGTGGATCACTGCCCATAAATATGCTTTGGAGCCTATATTTCCAACACGTGTCTGTCTATATAAAAGAATTCTGACATCTGAAAATGTTTACTTTGTCCTGAATAATTAACGTGTAATCAAAAACTAAACAGCTTTGAATTATCTGAGATGAAAACTGCCTCATCATTGTACTATTTACCAATTAGACTTTGTAGTAAAAACCAGGCGTCTTTGAGAGTAAAAACATTTGGAAGGATGCCTTGTACAAGTAAGACTATTAAAGTTATGTTTAGTGAATCAGCATACCATCATGACTGATTGACTTGATGAATTTTTTGATATTTCGATAATAGTATTTCTCGCACCTTCCTGTTAAACCTTTGGAAAACAAGAAACGTTTTAAAATGACCATTGTGTTCTTTATCCATCCAACAGCTTAATCGTCGCTCTTCACAGGAAAAGCCAGGTCTTCTAGATCCTAAGGCTTTGGAACAATCACTTCAGGCTAGACGTGATTCAATGACTAATCGGAGAACGTCACTGGCTGATGCAATCCCTGGATTTGCTGGATTAAAGCATCGGGAGACACCGAAAGTTGTGAGTGGAGCATCATTTATATCTGTCATAATTTTAATATACGTCTTATTCTAAATAAATTGATCAAAATATCAATTTATCTATTTAATTAACAAAAGTGTTTTGAGCCATTTAATTTTTGTCCGACAATTTAAGGCTGGTAGTCATCTAAGACTAAGCTAGTCGAAGAAAGTCGAAAGGAAACTCCTTGCCACAGAACAACAAGTCATGTTTAGAATCTGATCAAGGGTATGATTCCTTTAGGATTCAAACGCATTTAACCTAATTCTATAATCAGATAAGTTACTAGTAATCTATTCAGGCCACAATCAACTGGCTTCTTAATGTACTAAAGTATCTTTTATTACCAGTCCAATTGATGATGGTAATTGCTTATAGATCATTATTTAGTTTGCACTATTCATTCATTAAAATTAAAAGAAGCGTAATTGATGAATAAACTTAAACGGGTAACTTTTAAAATAATAAATGTATGGTTAACCAGTTGAACTAAAGTATTAAGAAAAGTTAAATAATTTCGGTTTTAACATTTCTGTTTCAAGAACATCTAACGTATGAATAAAAAAATGAAATACACAATCTTCAGAGTACTATCTAGTCATCTGTTACAAAATAGCACAAACCTAAGCACGTAGTATCTGAACTCGCATGCAACCACCCAAAGTATCTAAATATGGAATTCGAATACTTCTTCATATCATTTGTAACTCTAGTAAATAACTTTCATTCAGTAATATCATTACCCATTCAATTCGACAGAAATCATTGCAGTATGTCCCTGAATGACAAGAATGGTAATCTACATAAAACCAACTAATGTTCGTTGTGCAATTTTAAAAGATGATTAACATTTCCCCCAATATTTACAGACTTTTATGATTTAATTACTATTCTAATTCTTGTTAACAGGAAAAAGAGTATTTTGTTGAAGAGTTACAAGATGTAAAAATTAAAGAAGGTAGTTTAAAAGCGTTGCTCAAATGTACCTTCTGCAAGTCAACATCTAAATTTCGTTGGTATAAAAACAAGTTGGAAATATTTCAAGGGCCAAAATATAATTTTTTGCAGTAAGTCTGTACTATAGTTTATATTATTTTATAAGGCATAAATTAAACAATTATCCATTAGTTTGGTGATATTGACAACAAAAGTGAGTACATTTATCGCGTTCTTTGTTTTTCACTGGATCTACCTAAAGCAGAATTCCAATAAGTTTGTTCAGATACACTTCAGATGTTCAAAAGAGAAGATTTGGCCGTTACTGCGCGTTCGTCAGATGCATGTATTTGTATATTCATTGATCTTTATTACAATTGTGTGGATGAAATAGTATTGGGATTTCATGATACTAATAATTTCAGTACACAAAAAATCTGATGGAACTAGTACTGTAGTGAAAAAACACATGTGGGGAAAACCAATCAATTGTTTAATGCACAATCACACAGTGGTTTAGTAAAATGTGAAAATTATACACCAAATACATCATTTGAACATCCTTGAATTGTCTCTTACAAGCTTCACTGTTCCTTCATTCTTGTTGTTATTTTGGTTGCTTTCAGTTTCCTCCTGTCGTCTCTTCATTTCAATCTTCTCAACATTCTGTACGCAGATATTCCATATCTGGCTAGTGTTACATACTACTTATATCCATAAACATAAGTACATACGCTACATTACCAACCTTGTTCTAATATGTCTTGTTTTAAAATTTGAATCTACTATAAAGCTCACTAAACACAACCATCTCGATAATTATTCTTAATCCATTATTGGTTGTGTTTTAAAGAATCAGATATTCTTACAGTCATTAGTTCGTCATTCAAACCAACAGGTTGGTGCAGTATCTACAGCATTAAACTTAGTGTATTATTATGATAATTTCTGTAAAGATAACACTTTAAAATAAATAACACATCACTTCGATCTCTATCAGAAGACCTATTAGCATATCAATAAGTAAACATCCACAGTGTTTTCGTATCCTACACATTAAACATCTTTGTCTCATCATAATATACTGGTATAGATCACATTACAGACTTCCTTTAATTTATCTATGCGGCAAAACTGGACATCCCACTTATCCGTATCTAACATAGATTTAATGCAAATTAAGTATAAGAACCAAGTGAACCGTTATTCAATGATTAATCAGTATACTGTTCTTCAATCTTTATAAACTTTGATTTACAGCATTAAAAAATTAACAGAAATAAATCACAAATAATTCTAGTTTCTTTTCAACCCAAGTTTATTCCCCCCTTTTTTCACATAAAATTAATACAACAAATCATGTAATATCAATGCAGTATACCTACATGGGAAACAACAAAATGTCAGTTATATATTTAGCAAAACTGGAAAATGATATGTGAAAAGTAAAAAGTCAGATGATTTTTTTTAAATTTCGTTTCCTTTCAAAACAATACCATTAGCATGAATTTAAAAAAAAACACAAAAACTAATGCATAAGGAATTTTGCTTTAATGACATAAAATATGAATGCTTGGTGCCAAGATCTGTTTTATCAATACTGTTGTATATGTTTAGATGGTTTATTTCCTCGAACATGTGGTTACTCTAAGATCTTTTTTTATATTGACTGATATACTACTGACTGGAAATGACTTAAATTTAAGCTTCGAAAAGCTTTTGGATTTTCTTCAAGTTAGCTTAATTCGTGATATATATATACTTGTTCAGCCTAGTTTATATCAAAAGTCATCTAAATCCATTGATGTAAGTGAACATATGTCGTCTTTGATAAGTAGTAAGTATTCACTTAAATGAAGATGTTGGCCATTCTGTTCAGTGTAAATTTACCTGTAACTGACAGATTTTTCATTATTAATATAGATATTTTCTAAGGCTTATGAGGCACACTAAAATCTCGGGGTCTGAATACTTTTAGGGTAAACTTGAAGTTTGCATACGAGATATCTTTTGAATTTACTCAATAACCCCTGATATTTTGACTAATAAATTTATTTGTGAAAGAAATGTCGAGTTTAAAATGTCTTTTTATTGTAAGTAAAGGAATTTAGTAATATTCAACTCTTGATCATTTTGAACAATTTTTATTTACACTGCTTTATGCAACAATTTTTCTGACATGCAGCTTACAAATAAACGAAGAATCAACCTGAATCACGACATTCACTGTATTTGAGGTTTATGTTATACTGAATGCATAATACAGAATCTTAGGTAGTCCTTAAGATATCTCAAGAGAGGCAAAAGTTTTTAAGATTTTTTCATTATTTCTGTATCAATAACACACTAAAATATCTCTTAACTCTACATGCAATTATACCTATCACAAGTTTAGTCTCAAAGGATGGTATGTCGTAAAATATTAATGTGGATTTCAAACAATCCAACAATTACTCAATATATTAGAAACGGATTTTATATGTTGGCTATTTATTGTTTGATTAAAATAATGAACCGATCAATTTTGGACCACCATTGAAAACCTGGGAGCACTGGATGACCGTTTCGCTCTAGTGTGGGACTCCTCAGCAATGAGCACCCAGGATCCCTCATGCGAAATCCCAATCCAGGACCTTTAATCTCGCTCAAGCGCTTAATCTCTAGACCGCTGAGCCGATATCTAATGCTGTTAATGTCTTACATTAATAGGTTCATTTTCATGAAATTCAATAATATCGATAACTCCGAAATGAAAATATCTAAATTTTGTCTTATTATTTGTAAATATTTTTTAATGAAGACACTTCATAAAATGAGATTAATAAAAAGTAATAGATATGCAGGAAAAAACAATTTTCTATGCAATAACCGTTTGAAACTGAAATATGTTTGCAATGACGCTACTGGAAGATGGACTTAAGTCATTTAACTTTGAACGGGGATTTTCGTTGAAACCTTTTATATAGACATCTCTTATTTATTGTCAGTTCAACTATTTAGATGAGAACAATATTTGACTGAATGTGATATAAAATTCGATATGTCTTATTAAACATTTCAAGCGTCCCTTTCGAATTTATTTATTCAGTTTTATAGTACCTTGAAATTCCGACACTCATGATGATCAGAATGAACATGGCTACTTAGATATTTCGAAACTTTATAAAACTGATTTGATTCAACTGAATTATTGATATGTCTGAAATTAACACTTTTTATTTGTTCAGTAAAGTATAAAACGTATTGTTTATATGCATTAACGTTCAATTTAATTAAATATATAATGATTTTCTACTTTTAGAGAAGGTAATGAATTCGCTTTAGAAATCAAAAAGATTGCTATGGAAGATGTAGGCAAATATACTTGTAAATGTAATGATATTTCAACAACTTGTACAATACAAGTTGAAGAAAAAAAGCATACATATCATTTCAATCAAAAATTGCCTAAAACAGCAGAAGTTGTTCGAGGTAAAGATTTAACAGTTGAATGTTCTGTGTCCGACCCAAGAGCAACTGTTGCATGGTATCATAAAGGTGAAAAAGTTGAAGTAAGAATTTATAATTAATATATTTTTACAGACAGATGTGTAAATTTTTTTCTGTTTTGGTATTATTACTATTGCTATTATTATTATTATTATATTCAACAAATAACGGTCTGTATGAACCAGGATATATCAACACTTCAGTAAAGTCAGATTTCTCTGTAATTTTTCTTTATATTAGTTAGTATATTATAATACTCTACTCTTGTGTTAGATTTATTTCAATAACTGTTGAATGATATTATCAAAATACTATTTGCCTATATCGAACAAGATATTAGTTTACTTATATTCCTATATATTTTTGAATAATCAAATAATTTAATAGTTGGATTCATGAGTCAGTTGAAGCTTTATCACCATGGAAAACCTGGAAGCATTGGACGGTCGTTACGTCCTAATATGGGACTCCTCATCACTACACATCCACGACCCCCCCCTCGCGAGATTCAAACCCAGGATTTATCGGCCTCGCACGTGAACGCTTAACCTCAAGACCACTGAGCAGATATCCAACGTTGTTAATGTCTAACTTCAACCAATCCACTTATGAATTCAACTATTAAATTACTATAATATCCACAAAACCCCTCTCTGATTATAATCGAATAATAATCAATAATTTTGATGTGTTATTTATATTTGATTGCTTGTACCAGAATTTTGAGTGGAATGTTGAGTTTACTTCAATTTTATTCGCTGAGATTCTACAAATATATTCTTTCTCCTTAATGTCTTACATTACCTCGGTGCTCAAATACTGTGAAACTATTTGTTCAAATTTAGACGAAAGTTCTTATATAAACTTTCTTTACTATTTGCACTTATATGAAATAATAAAGCTTTCGAATATTATCAAAAAAATGTTTCCGTTGGACTAAATAATTTAATTTAAATTAGGGTCTTTTTGAATTTAGTACAAAAATTTATCACCACAGCATAAATTAATATACTTCTTAATAATAACACCGATGATGTCTATCATTTACTTTAAGTACACTTGGTGAGACTATAGTTTATAGACAAACCAATCATATATAAGATAACAGGTCTCGGATTTCGGCGCGAAATTCATTCATCCATTTGGATAAATAGAGTTTTGGCATTATAGCTGATGTCAGTTCGTGATGAAAACCCTAGATCTAATTCTTAACCTTAATCATCAACTGTAAATCATAATTCTAATTCCATACACAGGTTTATAACCCTCATTTGGTCCTAGTTATTAGGTGGACACTCTCATGGTCAGTCTAGATTCGTTCAAAGGTTGTCCATAAATTGTACTCTCACCGTAAGCTTTTATTACAATATTTCGACTGTTTTGTGACAAATGTAAATAAATAAATCAGATGTTTGATTATTAAATTCTACAATTTATCTGTTTACTTAATGGATATTTCTATTCTAATATAAATATATGATATATTGTCAATCTAAGAAAAAATATCAAACCTTTAAGGGTCCATCCTTGATATTAAGCCTTGAGATAGTTTAAAATTGTTTTCATGATAAAAGGTGATTATTCAGCTTATCGTAGATCAATTATCTTCAGTAGTTACTTTCAATATATTAGACTGAAAATATAGTCCCAAAATTTTGTTTAAATGAAGTTTATTATCTTCAGTTAAAATCATAAAGAACTATAAGAAATATCTTTAATAAAAATGAATACAAATGTTTAATTTAATTTTATGTATTCTAGTATGTTGCTGGTAAAATTGAAATTAAACGTCGTGAAAATCGTTGCATTCTTCGTATTGTACGAGCCAGACCTGAACAAGAAGGTGAATACTGTTGTATTGTAGAAGGGGATGAAACATATATGGATATTGCAGTTGAAGATCCTGATGGTCTTTTACGCGAGAACTTAAACCTCAACAAGCTTTAGAAAATGATGAAGTGGTAACATTTGAATGTGAAGTGTCCGATCGAGACGCTGAAGTTACTTGGTATAAAAATGGAGAGGTAAGTATAACAGGTATTTTTTCAATTGATTAAAGTGATGAGCAATTAGAAAATCGAGATTTGTACTAAAAAAAAACTGGAAACACTGAAAACTATCAATTTATAAGAGCTAAAATGCAAACAGACAAACCATGACAACACTTCAAATAACTTTTCACATATTTCAATAATAAATTTTTAATACAATATTTATTAATAACTGACATCAACTAGCAAAACACTGAAACACATTCAAAATAAAGTTCCATAACTGTCTAGTCTTCCTTTGATCACTCACTGTATTCATATCTTATCTCATCGATCCATTGGTTAACTTTAGATCCTGTTAGAAAGAAAACATTAATGAGTAGAAAAAAACTTTAATTTAGTAATAGTTCGTTGTTACTTTGGTGTAGAATTCACTGTTTGTATTCTTTGGTAGGAAACTTGTTCTAGATGAAATTTAACTAAATGTATAAGTACAAGTGTGTATTGATCTATATCCTATAGATGCCGTACATTTTATACAACGGGTATCCTACGTAAATCACTTGAGAATGAATTGTATAAAACATCCATATAAAAAATTTCGTAACAGAAATTAATTTTACGTCCAAAGTCCATACTTATTTTCTGTATGCATCTGATATTTATGAATATTTTTGTTAATCTCTAATGTAAGAACACTTCGGGAAGTGTAAAATGAAATTAGCCTTGTAAACTACATAATCATTAAAATAGCATTAGTTAGTACAAGCTACTTATTTTACTATTTTAATTAACTATAAACACCAAAACAAGTTTGTTCATTTTCAAAGAAATCAATCTTACTGTAGGAATGCTTTAAAAATGCTCAGGTCACTTTCATATCGTTTAAAGTAATTAAGATGGGATAAACAACACTGTGCTATCAGTAAAACAAAAAGTGACTGTATACGGAAGATTATTTGCATCGGATGTAAAACCTATTTGTGAATATTTCAATGCAGCATTCGGTGTTAATAAAAACAATATATGACTTCATATCGCCTTTATCGAACAAATACATTCTTTAAATGGGATGAAACATATCCAATAAACTGGTGCTGTGGTGAACGAAAACTCATGTAGAGTAAGCCAGTTAATTGTTTTATGCATAACCAAACAGTATCTTTGTAAAATATGAAAATCATACATTAAATACATCATTTACATATCTCCCTTAAGTTGTTTTTCGCATACTTCGACATTCTTCTAACCCTGTTGTTATTCTGATTGCTATTCAATTTCCTTCCTTTTCTCTTTATTTCCCTCTTCTGCTAGTAAACATTCTATTCTCAATTCCTGTTACATAATTTTATGTCTGTCCAAATAAGTAGTGCACACCGCATTGCTACGACAATTTGTTCAAGGAAAATATCAGCCTTGCAACTATATATATATATATCGCAGTAGGCACTCTAACCATTTTTAATGGGAAAACACCTTGCGATTTGAAGTTGTCTACAGTTAAGTCAGTAAGATGATCACTACACATGAATCATCTGTGAAATATATCACACTCTTATTTAATAATATATTATAAAGTATTAATCGTTTAAAGATCCTCGTCATATTAAAAGACTAGTATTTGAACGAAGAATATTCTTTTCAATAAATTCTCTTCAGATTCTACAATTATATATCCAAATTAATAATCTGAAAAATGGCCAGGTTAAGGGCAAAGTACACCGTTTAAAGCATGTGAATTTAGGATTGTGATAAACAAAATACAATAAAATTGTTAATGTTGACCCATATTTATTCTGATCGTGGATCTTAAAATTTCACTTAACATATACGCAGATTCAAGTTAACATTCTACATGAGTCATATCAACATTAACAATTTTATTGTATTTTGTTTATCACAATCCTAAATTCACATGCTTTAAACGATGTATTTGTCCTTAACCTGACCATTTTTCGGATTATTAATTTGGATATATAACTGTAGAACCTGAAGAGGATTTATCGAAAAGAATATTCTTCGTTCAAATATTAGTCTTTTAAAACGTATTAGTTGTTTAGAACTGGGATATTCTTTTTTTTTTTTAAATCAATAATCAGCATATGAAATTATTGATTGTATCGGCTTTCTGAATGTAACTAACGATAATAAAACAAACTTGATAAAACTTTAAACTTTATATACCAACTCCTTACTGTGGAATTTAGTTAAACATGCTTATGAATATATCAGTTTAATAACATCGTAAATGTCTAGATGTTATACCTCTGATGTATACAGTACAATTGTTTTGAATATCTTGTTTTAATAATAATAGTAATAATTAACAACAGCTGAAAAGTGGAATCAGAATATTACATTTGCTTAATCACATTAATTACAGTCATAATAAATAATCTGTGCATTTTAGTATTCATCTATGGTTACTTATTCTACTATAATAAAACATGTTTAAAGTGAAATGTATTTTCTATTCTGGATTCTTGTATTTTTCTCATTTTATTTAAATGATTATGATTTTATTCCGTGTAAAGATAAAATAGGCCTCATTGTTTTTAATTTATACATTCGTTTCATTTACTTACCTATCTAACCTACCCTACCCTATCTATCCATTCAATGTGTTTCTAACATCTGTTTCCATCCTACCACGCATAAACAATGAAAGAATAGTTTACGGAAAAAAAACTGGTGAATTAATTGACGGTATACCGATAGGTTATTAAAAGAAATTAAGTAAACGAAAAATGGAAAATCGAAATTTAAAAGAAATATGAAAGAGAATAAAGAATTATATTAAAGTTGTTGATGACCTTTTCATCACTTTTATTATTACCGTTAGCAGTAAGAAACATTAATAACATGATTTACAATGAATTAAATCATTATAATAAATTCTATTGTAAATGTGTAAGAAGATTTTGTTTTTGTGTGTATATAAGATGTGAAAATGAAGTACTTTGATATATCTTGCGGTAGACGCATGCACCCTAATTCCATCGTTTATGTGGAGTAAACATTTGTGTATTTTCTTGGAAATACCGAATGATGAATAAAAATTTTATTAATAAGTTGAAATTTTAAGATGGATTGAATGAGTATTTAAATTATATGAGTATTCTTTATTTAAATAGTGGACAGTACAGAGATTTGTGTACTTATTTAAAAGTCTTAGGTGCTTTGAAAGTAGATATTTGGTTATAACGAAACAGCTCTTTGATTTCTAATGACATCAATGACGAATTCAATCTGTTATGAAGACAAATATTTGTAAATTGGTTAACTATAGTATAGACATATATTTACCGTTGACTTGCTTCGATAAGAGTTTCCACTGTTCTAATAAAATCATTCTATTGGATGCAGGCTCAGTGGTCTAGAGGTTAAGCTTTCGCGCACGAGAGTGATAGGTTCTGGCTTCGAATCTCATGAGGCGGGATCGTGGATGCTCACTGCTAAGGATTCCCATAATAGGACGAAACGGCCGTCCAATGCTTCCAGGTTTTCCATGGTGAACTTGCTTCAATTGACTCATGAATCCAACGAAAACAAAACATTTCAAAATTGCCTGTATTGTCAGGCAAGTTAGTATTTCTACATTTTACATAGATTTATTCAATCAAGATGAATTAGAAATCTTTCTATTTTTTTCAAAATTGTCATTAGTACAATGCTACATCTTGATAAAAGTTAGATACTGGTAAAGATAACATTAACAAGCAGCTTAACACTTTGAATCGAAACTATATAATTTAATGACCTTAAAATTGATACAAAGTTATTTTCTATACTCTAAAATAGAGGGATAAAATTCAATCAAAATTTGTTAACTATTAGTAACGAATGCAGAAGTTTGTCCAATACATATTCAAACAATAAATAATCGTAACTCTGCATACTTAGTGAATTGTTTAAAATTTTGTTTTAGATACATAATCTTAAGATTTCTAGGTTTTATAATTATATTATTAGAAAACTTAACACGTTAATGAACACTGATATAATAACAAGAAATTTTACGGTTCTATCCTGAAATACGAAAGATATCGTAGTGAACGAGGACATCAGTGGGGACAACCAAATGTAGGTGAATACAAAATTACAGAATCACTTACTAAAATCCGAGAATCGTACAGTAAATACTTCATTTACAAAATGTTAATCAATTGTCTCAGACTTGATTGTCCCTTCATTTTTACAATGATCATTCTCTGTCCTAATTCTCTTCGCTTTGATCTAAACTTTCTGCCTCTAAGCATTTCACTTTTGATTGACGATACATACAACTTATATCTGCCGAAATCAGTACCACACAACCATAGTATTACTTCAAATGTTTAAGTTATACTTTATGTAAACTCTATTGATTTCTTAATTTCAAGTATTATTTCTTGTACTAATTAAACATTTAAAAAGATGCTTACTGCTGATATTACCATTCAGTGGTATACTAATTCATGTAAACTGATATGAAAAATACAAAGGAACTGAAGTTCAGGAATCTGTTAATTCTAGGGATTTTAATCTCCAATGTCTAAGGACTTTTAAATTCTCAGCAATATCAAACGAGAACTGTAAATGAAATTTCGTACCTGTTTAGTACACGACTTGCTTTTTTATAGTGCCGTTTGCAAAAATGAATTTTCATGATGTGGAAATGTTTCCCTTGTGCTTATTTGCCTAAATACTGTAGACAAAGATAATTGTCACTGTTGAAAATGAAATGTGATATGTTAACTGAAAAAAGTTGGATATTTTGACTTCTTGAGTTTTCTGAATCATATGGTTTAATCAGGAAGCTTTCAGTGTTATTTTGTACACAATTAGTTATTCCATGGATTGTAAATTATCATGGACTAACGAACCTGTTTGTGACTGGCTTTCGTTGAAGTCATCATTTTCTTTATTTGACTTTGTATTCAGGTTCATTATCCTATTTTATTGATCTCTCACAGGGTTGCTAATCGACCTTTGTCAAATGAACTGATAAGTCGGATATAATTCGATACGTATATTCATTCCAAGCTAGTGTGCGTCCTATGCCTCCAGAAATTCTGTGTCATCCTTTGAATTCCCTCAATATTGAACTTTGATGTTTTCCTAGTCAACGTTATGTTAGTAATTATCTACAAGTACTGATACCAGTATGACACAACATTCTGTTTATGCTCATGTATGTGAAAGTTAAGAAGGCATCCACTTTACTCAACGTATTACTTATCGTAGATAATACAAATTATTTCGTAGATTACGTTACATTGCTTACTTTCACTGTTGTATTGTTTTCTTCTGCATAAAATGGAATTAATTGTGTTAGTTTATGAAAGGCACTGGTTCCAGGAAACTTTAAGATCCTCTTGGTGATTTCCGACATGTTTTTTTATATTTCGTTTGTCTATCGACTCCCTAGTTATTGAATTAAACCTTCTTTCTTTCAAAACATATTACCATCACCATTATTTTGTAGCAATCTACTTTGTACACTTTATCTTTCACTTTCTATTTCATTTCGAAACTAATAATTTCATCTGCTACTTTGTATCATACTAAAATTATTTACTTGTTTTTATTACCCACTATTTAATCAAGCCTATTACAGCCAATGATAAATATGAAATGCTAGCTGAAAAGAAAGTGAAACGTATTTTAAAAGTGAAGAAAATTACCATGACTGATGATGCAGAATACACTTGTAAAGTTGCCAAGAAGACAACTACTGCTACTTGCACAGTAAAACGTATGTTTATGATTTTTTTTAAAGGGTTAAATTTACGTCTTATTGTTGTTATTAATATTATAGTTGCTTACTATTCTTGAAGTAATTCGTTCGTAAACAAGAATTTATTGCTTAATGTATCGTTTTATGTTCGCTTTATTTCTGTGTAAAAATGAATCATCATATAAAATATTTATTCACCAGTAGTGTCAAGATAATTTGAACTATTAGAATGCATTAATTGATTTGGGAAGATGAGGAAGATAACCTTAACATCTGAAGGGAAGCGCGGGATTTAATGAACTGGTTGGATGCAGCTAGACGGTTTGGACTACACAGATGAGCTAGCTCCTCTATCCCAGGCGCACGTACAAAGGTAGACGAAGACAACTAGTGTAGCAGCAGCCTCTGCATAAGTAGGCCTCGGTATGCACAAGGGAAAACGTAAGATCCTCATATGCGACACGGAGAACACCAACCCGATCACACTTGATGAAGAAGCTGTGGGTGAGGTGGGATCTTTCACATACCTGGGAAGCGCCATCGATAAACAACGAGGATCAGATGCCGATAGAAAGGTGAGGCTTGGCAAAGCAAGGGCCGCATTACTACGGTTGAAGAGCATATGCAACTCAAAACAACTGTCAATCAATATCAAAGTGAGAATTTTCAATAAAAATGTCAAGATAGTTCTACTGTACGGAGCTGAAACTTGGAGAACTACTACAACCATTATCAAAAATGTACGGGTATTTATAAATAGCTGTCTACGCAAGATACTCAAAATCCATTGGCCAGATACCATCAACAACAGGCTTCTGTGGGAGAGAACAAACCAGCTTCTCGCTGAAGAAAAAATTAAGAAAAGACAATGAAAATGGATAGGACATACATTACGCAAATTATCAAAATTCGTCACGAAGCAAGCGCTAACTTGGAATCCTTAAAAGAAGTGGAAAAGTGGAAGGCCGAAGAACATACCACAATGGGGAATGGAAGCAGATATGGAAAGGATGAATAACAACCGGAAGGAGCTTGAAAGGACTACCCAGTACAGGATTGGATGGAGAGTGCTGGTGGGTGGCCTATGCTCCTCCACGAGGAGTAACAGGCGTGAGTAAGTAAGTAAAATGAAAAGTGTAATATTCAAATACATGAAGAGTAATATGAAACTAGTTTAGTATCATCTTGATATACCTTTGTAAATGACTTATCTGAATATGACATATCATCTTCCTGTTAACTTAATTTCATCAAATAAACTATTCTCAAATAAAATAAGACTAATCGAGTTAACTGATATGATGGGCAGAAAAATCAAAATTCGATCGATTTACTCATTATGAGTTTTATTCAAGATTACTTCCGTTTTGATTCAATGTGATGATCATTCAGTGTAGCATTTGTTTCCTTTTCTCGTATGATATTTCATACTGTATAATATGCGATATTCTTGTATTCCATTGACATGAACTATGCTCAGTATGTGATCCTAATCATTAATCAAAATGGATGTACAAATCAATATATAAATGAGTGTATTTTTGACTACAGTTGTCATTGTCGTGTTTAGGGTTACTAGCAGAGCTTAAAAGCCAGATATAGCGTTCAAAAACAAGACATATCATTAACATAATTAATTATAGATAATTCTTAATGAATTTTTCTATTGAATGTTGATTGTTTCCATTATCATGTTAAAAAACTTATCTTTAAAATGTACTGTTCGTCGTTCATTCTACTTCTAATATTTCTGGTCAGAATAAAATTCTATTCACATGTAAACATATCATATATAATATCAGTGATATTATGGAATGAAAGTATAATTTATAAATGAATTTTCGAAATGATTATACTTTATTCGTTGACTTCAACAGATGATTAATAAAGAACGTTTCAGTTAGAATCCAGAACGAAGATCATGTATCATAAGCAGAGATGAATGGTGGCTAACAGTGAAATCCAAGATGCTGATATGCCAATAAAAGATTGATCAATTGCAGTTCTAAACAACAATGAGCAGATGTAAACAAGCAACACAAAATGAAGATCACATATCTTAAAAATACAGGTCAATTATGTCAGGTTATAGTTGAGTAACTAACTGACTATGACCCAAATACATTCAAAAATCACTTTAATTTGTGTTTCAAAAATAAATTAATGGTTAACTACTAACATTAAGGGGGTTATTATGAAAGAAAGTGATTTATTATTCAAACAATCTGACTGCTAAATACACATTATTTTTTTAATATCAATTTTAGCTGATGTTGAATTCAGACAAAATCTTATCGATACAAAAGGTATTGAAACAAAACATAAAGAATTAGAATGTCGTGCATTTAATCCTAAAAAATATCCAGTTTATTGGTTTAAAGATGGTTTACCTATAGAACTAAATGATCGTATTTCAACAACAGAAATTGAAGGTTCTTTATACTTAATATTTCAATATTTGGAAATGGATGATACAGGATATTACAGTTGTAAAATTGGTAATCATGAAACTAAAGGACTTTTAGAGGTAAGAATGAGTTTATAGTTTTCTTTACTGATAAGAAAAAACATTAATAGTTTCATTTGAAATGCCCTATATCAAAGACATTTTTGAATAATTAAAATAACCCATAGTGTCATTAAATAAGAAATTGCATCATAGATTGATTATGATGCAATCGTTTCTATCCTCCTATAGACCTATATTTTCCATATAACTATATGTACGAATGTACAGCTTAAGTAAATGATTTCGTCGAAAAGGACATTATTTTATTGTCTAACTATAAAACTTTCAGATTTATTGAGATTTAAGCTATTCTTAAGCTACGGAAACGTTTTTTTTGCATTTTAGTCAAGCTAAAATGTTACGTAATGTGAAATGACTTTATTGTTTGTTTAGCTTCACATAATCATTGTTTAGTGTTACAACAATATAACTGAATTAATAAAAAGGGCTCTCAAATAATCGGTATTCGCACTAAACAGTGCTTCTATGTTTTCCATGGTGGTCTAGCTTCAACTAACTCATGATCTTAACCACTGAAGGTTTCATACTGTATAATGATAAACGAAAAATGTTTACAATTAGAATTTGCATAATAAACATAAATGAAATCGGTTTATATTCGTCTATGTTTTATTTGTTTAAAAAATTAGTTTTATGTTTCAATTTATCCTATATGCACTCTCTATATAAGTAAAATTTGTAATATACCACTAGAGGATCTATAATTATTTGTTATCTCAATTAATCCGAACTTTTCATAAGAGAACAGAATTATAAGATTTGAATAGCTCACATGTTGCATAGTTATCGAGAAACGGTTAGAATTTATTTAAAATGGAATTAGGAATTATTCATCATGATACAGTTGATAAGCTTAGAAAACATGATTTAGCCTAACACTAAATATGTATCCGTTAACTGATATGTTTATGGATGACTTCTATGAAATGAATGTTTTGTACAATTGAATGTAGCTCTGAAACACAGATCCAATTCTATGAAATAATTTTAAACTAGTATTTCATTCAATTTACTGACATAAAACTAATAACATAGTTTCAGTCTCTGTTCTTTCGTTCATTTATAATTAAGAAGAGCTACTTTGCTATGCTTTTGGTGTACGCTTTAAGCAAACTATTCAAATGACAGCCAAGTTTCTGTCTTTCACTTCGATTCCAGTCATTAGGATTTCTCTTAGATATTTACAACTTTTCGTACACTAAACTATACTACTACTGATTATCAATCAAAAGATATAATATTTTTGATCTGTCAATCAAACTTTCATTGCCATTTTTTGGTTCCTTTAAATACAGCAATAATTGCCCATAATTGACAGAAGTTTTACATATATCCAAATAAATTTAAATTATTATGAAATATATCGTGATTTATTTTTTTTAAAATTTTGTAAGGTACAAGAATGTGAAAAACCTCCATCAGTTGATCTTACAAATTTCAAGGCTCAAGCCACCTAAAGAAAGGGGCTAACTTCATGACAGCAGTTCCATTTAAGGGTAAGTTTCACTTCTTAAAATATAACCTTTGTAACTGGATGCAATATTATGACGTGTCAATACAATTCGTATACAGATCATTACTGAACAGTTCCCTACCAACTAATTTCAGTAATGAAATTTTTGTATAAAAATTACTTTGAGGAATTTCGAAAATAATTAATAATCAGTTCTCTACTCATTCAATATTTCATTTGTCTTCATTTTGCAAAAGAAAATGCTTAAAAATAATCAAAGCATAAAAACGATTTTGGTTGCCTTTGAGTCAAATTAAACATTCTCTTCTTTATAAGTATCTTCAAAAATATAGAATAAGTGAAGTACAGTCAATTCAGTTAAAACACATGACAGTACATGATAAGCCATATTTTTCACCTCATCGGTTTAAATGTATTACGATAAAAGTGTAATTCACTTGATCTGTTCCTTGAATACGAAAAACCAATATGAATGTGAATAGGATTTCACGCTTCTTGTGAAGTTCGCGATTCACATCAAACCTATAGATTGTTTACAATGAGATGACGGAAGATTTTAGTTATTACAAAACAAAGTATGTATCATTACATTACCACATTGGCAAGCAAATGATTTTCTTAGAAATCCTTTACTTCCTAAATAACCTACTAGCAATCATTCATCTTTATTCTACATATCCCATCAATCGTTAAATAATGTTATGCACCGAAGAAGCAAACACAAACACTTTTTATTTGAGAGTTTCGTGGAAATTAGTTTAACTTAACAACTGACTTTTGAACAGATTAATCTCAGCATCAAAACTAGTGAGAGCCAGTGTGGGTTCTCAGCAGTCGTTTCATCCTAGTAAAAAACATCCCAACATTGCACATTAATAGTCAGTGATCAGATTTAGTACGTTCACCTTAATTACTCACTTTGAAAATCTTCAGAAAACAGTACTATTTTGTAACCTGATCACTTTGCACTATTAAATATTAAGGAAAGATTAACTTTTCTAGCTTTGTTTCAGCTTATCCTATGAACAACAGTAATCATTTATTAGTGTATGTTGTTATCTTAATGTATTAGGATAATACGAATAGAACAATTGTAATATGTATACAATGACAAAAAATGGTTGCACACACCATACTTTTGTCAACTTAATGTATATATGGTCTAAGCAAGTTATAAAACAATTAAAATTTCTAATATGCTTAATTTTTGTTTCCTTTTTTTTTACAACGATTGAAAACTTAGAAATTGTCTCCCTTTTATCATTTTTTTTAGAAGCTACTTGGTAAAAATGGACTAAATTTAGGTCATCATTTTCAAGTTCCTTAACACAGTAATTGGTATTTCACTGCCTTTTATGGTGTGGTTGTTGTTGTTGTTTGCTGTTTTTGTTCGTTGTTGTTCCTTTTTTTTTTGAAGTGTATTCATAAAACTGAATATAAGAAACTATTCAATAGTTTACTATTAAAATAAAATATTTTATGATATACATACACAGAAATATAGGTGTGTTATTCATATGGTGTGTATCATGTATATACATAATTGTGTTTGTACACCTTTTCTTCTCTTTTGTACCAACTATGATTTCAAAATTTTAGGTTTTCAATTCATTATTTAGATTATATATTTACTTAGAAAATATGTTCCGAATGTCCCAAAATTCATCATGTTTCTTTTAAAATACTACTATTTGTTTATTTACTTTTTCTTTAGATGAAATAATAATATACAGTTAATATAACTGAATAGTACAATAGTTCATTCAATAGAATTGTATGTAATTGTTCTAGGAAAAAAGTAAAACAGTTGGCTTAATTAAATATTGAATAGTTGCAGTTAGAATGAATAACTGTCTTTTAAATTTTACTGTATATTCATTTAATTTATTAATTTACTTACGCCTGTTATTCCCAATGGAGCATAGGCCACCTACCAGTATTCTTCAACCGACTCTATCTTCGGCCTTCCTTTGTAGTCCTATCCAATTGTTGTTTATTCTTCTCATGTCTGTCTCGATTTCTCGGCATAATATGTTCTTTGGCCTTCATTTGACCTTGAGGAATCCAAGTGAGAGCTTGACTTGTGAGGCTTTTGTCAGTGTGTGTCCTATTTACTTACAGCGCCTCTTCCTAATTTCTTCCTCCGCTGGGATCTGTTTTGTTCTCTCCTACAATAGGTTGTTGCTGATAATGTCTGGTCAACGAATCCGAAGTATTTTGTGTAGACAACTGTTAATAAACACCTGTATCTTCTGGATGATGGCTCTCGTAGTTCTCCAGATTTCCGCCCCATAGAGTAGAACTGTCTTGACATTTCTATGAAAGTCCTGATCTTTGTGTTGGTTGACAGTTGTTTTGAGTTCCAGATGTTTTTCATTTGTAAATATGCTGCTCTTGCTTTTCTGATCTGCGCCTTCACATCTGCATCAGATTCACCGTGTTCATTAATGATGCTGCCCAGATATTTAAGGGTTTTTACATCTTCCAGAGCTTCTCCGTCAAGTGTGGTTTGATCGGTGCATGTTATGTTGTATCGGAGAATCTTGCTATTCCATTTGTGTATGTTTAGACCTGCTGCTGAGGCTGCTGCTTCACTGGTCGTTTTCTCCTGCATTTGTTGTTGCGTGTGAGATAGAAGAGTTAGATCATCTTCGTTTAATTTGTTTGATAACTTAAATGTATTGTTACAAATTGTCTACTTTGAATCTTGAGTCCAGTTCACGAAATATAAGTGATTATCAGTTAGATATAAAGACGCATTAATTTACATGATAACCGTATATGATAAAGGCCGAATAACATGACGATGGACACCAGTTAGTGATCAGTTATTGAAGATATTCCAGGTTTGTAAAAAGATTACTTTTGGATTGAATATTCATGTGATGATGTTTCGAAATGTGATACTGAATGATGTGATAGTCCAAACTGTTACAAAATGATAATAATACTATCTTCCATTTTGCCTAGTCTAAATCCATACCAGATGAACTACGGAACTTGATGATGCAGTCACTCTAAAATAAGACATTCAACTTTTAAAGTTTGTCAGACTCAAACTTTTATAAAAATCCATTTTTAGGGTATCTGGCGAGTTTAAATACGCTATGACACTGAGTAAATGACTTTAACAAACAGTTTTAAAGCGGTCCAATACAACAATTTATAAGCAAAGGATAATTATTCTCTATTACTACTGTTAAATCGTTTTTCAAAACTAACTATGCTATTTGTATACAAATATAAAGTGAAAAAGATTTTGATTTGTCATTGACCGTAAATTAAAAAGTTTTGAAGTCAGGGTTCCAATTGAATTTGTACATTTTTTTATAGAAAATTGTACGTTTTGTTTTGTGCGCATAAACAGTAAATATTTTTATTTACAGAGTACAAACTATTTCTAATTTAACAACTATTCATTCTCCTTCTTTTTTTTAAATTCAGGTTTCCCTGTACCACAAGTTGTTCTTATGTGTAATGGAGAACCTGTGAATGAAGAAATTAAGTTGAAACCTGTTGTTAAGGGAAATATTGTCGAATTACAGTTAGAGGATGCTGCTAGAGCTGACAGTGGAAAATATGAATTGAAATTGAAAAATGAACTTGGTGAAGCTTCAGTACCACTTGAACTTAATATCCTTGGTATGTACTAAAATTTTATTTTACTATTTTATCTATTTAATTAATTTATTTGCTGCCTTCTATTGCCATACGATATAATTCCAAAATCGATTTTAGTATTAATCGATATAGACTAGACAACCATTGGTTTATAACTCGTCAGAAGCTGACAAAGAACAACCATGTATTGGTTGTTTAATGAGTATTATTTTCTGAAAAAAATCACCCTTTACTGGTTACAGGTAGGTTGAATTGCGGGCTTGAGGACGTTCGGAAGAGGTTGATATCATTAAGTGATATAAGCAAAGATGTACTTAATACATTTTTTAAAAGAATAATCATTAGTTATTTGTGCTTGAAAGATTATGTCACGAAGACGTTAATACTAACTCCCTTTTCATAAAATAAATACATAGTTCGTTTCCCAAAATGAATAGCTTAATAATATTTCATGGTTCATATCTCCGTTTGATCTAAGACAACCACTGAAAACCAGCTGTCGATGCGAGCGTCTAACATTTGGATTACTGAGATAGCAGTTACTAGATTATACACTTAACTTTAAAAATATGACGACATTTCATCTCCATTGGTAAAATATGTCTCACTCCTAACAAAGTTGGACTCTACTTATCGTGGTTCCATAATAGAACCCCCGAGGTCACCTCCTATAGTTAGTTATAAGTGGTCGTATGATTTGCACTACTATTGGAGTTTGTGGCCACCGCTGAATGTCGCATATTTTAACACAGATTGGTCTTAGACATTCAATGAGAACATGGAAGCATATTTTAATATGCTTATCAAACTATATCTAATTTAACTCTATTTATCTTTTTTAAAGATCGCCCTGGAAAACCACGTGGTCCGTTATTGTTAACTAGCTTATCAGCTAAAAAATGTGTACTTGAGTGGGATCCACCTGAAGATGATGGCGGTTCACCAATCAAACATTATGTTGTTGAAAAGATGGATGTTTCTGATGGTAATTGGAAACTGGTCAAAAATGCTAAAGCGCCTCAATGTGAAGTCGAATTGGAAGAAGGCCATAAATATAAATTTCGTGTACGTGCTGTTAATAACGAAGGTGAAAGTGAAAATTTAGAAGTTGATAAGGAGGTCCTAGCCCGTGATGTTTGTGATCCACCGGATGCACCGACTGGACTAGAGGTACATCAAATAATAAATATTATGTCAATTACTTTTATATAAATTTCGCTTTTTGTAGAAAGTGTTTCAGTCTTATATAACGCTGAAGAACATAAGTAATTAAATAATTAATACGCAAGATCATTAACTATGATTGATCTATCGAAATTCTAGTTTTGTTCATAATGCCTGAATATTTTTAAATGACCACAACCGAACGATTTCGTCTTAGACCGAATCCTGTGATTTATCCTATACGCATTCACTAAATTCCTGATTTAGATACCTATGAGATGATAAACAACTTAACAAGGTCATTTTAAGAACGATAATTACTATTCAACCCCTATTTTACTTAACATAATTATCAGTGTCTATTACATGAGGATAAATATTTAGATTCTATATTATTTAATTTGTTGCCTTCAATGATGACACCGTAACAAGGGATTTTAAGATGATATACTGCTTGTCAAAAAGGTTTATTTGGTAAATTCAGCAAATAGCTATCTGATGACACGTGAAAACGTAATTATATGATATATCTTTCCAAACATCTTACATCTAGCTGAAAACGTTCCACTAGATCTATTTGGAATTTTTCTAGTGTAGCTTTCATTTTACGATCAAATTTTAAAAAGGTTTTTTTAACGTGTTTTCTAAATTGTCTATACTTTACATTTCGAACAACAGATTGAAGATTATGATCGTGATCATGCGAAATTAAAGTGGCTTCCACCAAGACGTGACAATGGTGCACCTGTATTAAAATATATCCTTGAAGCTAAAGCAAAAAGTAAAAATAAGTGGGAAACGGTAAAAGAGGTTTCTGATCCAGCAGCTAAAGTTGATCTAAAAGAAGGTGAAGAATATGAATTCCGTGTAACTGCAGTCAATAAAGCCGGTAAATCAGAACCAAGTGAAGTTAGCAAACCACTTATAGCCAAACCACGTTTCTGTAAGTGATTCTTGTTAAAACTACTTATCCATATAAAAGTATATCATTTAAAAGTAACCACAAATCATTAATCATTAACACTTTTTAACATTCTAATTCTTCCTACTTTACTGTATAATCCAGTCAGTCTAGGAATTTCAATATATTTAAACTGATTCGTCAACTTAGTGGTAGCTTTGACAATACATACAAATATGTTTACTTAGAAATAAAGTCACCAATCTATCATAGATTATATGATATTGTGCTTGTGGTTCTTGAACAAACTGTCCTCAACTATACAATTTAAGAAAATTCAAACGAATGGGTATTTTATACTTTATTTAAGCATTTTTTGCTACCAGTTGTCTAAGGAAATGTACCACAATATCCCATCAACGAGGTTATAATCTATCACATATAACATTATCCTTAATAGTGTTTTCACGACTGAAGTAGCCACCGATTAAAAACTTTGTCTCCCGTTATGTCTGAAAAAATCTAGCATGACATTTCGAACCTTGATTTTGTAGTTTATGTAATCCGTTAGTCAAAATGATCTTCAACTCTAGATAACCTGTAATTACTATGAGATTCCCTCGTGTATTTGACAATATCCAGTCAATCAATTAAATGCACCCCACTACTTTGGTCAAGAAAATTGGGCGAATATAAAGATGAGAAATATAATTAACCACTAAAATTTGATTGATATGTGTAATATATTCAACACTACAGTCGAAAACTAGCCCAGTCAATTTGTATTATTTAGTTTACTACGATATTTCCCAGTAATAAAACCATCGATCATAGTTTCGATGATAGTATGGCCTTTAGACTCATCAGTTGATTTTAGTGATATTTCCGTTATTATCACCTTTTGGTATGCGATAACCTAAATTTCGCCAAAGTTAACGATCTATTACTATGTCAATTGATAGAAACTCTTGTAATTGTATCTAATTGATATCGATTTGAATTCAGTTCTATTGTAACTTCAATTCCAAACTAAATGCACTATTTCGATAAAACCATGAGTGTTATGTGGTCATGAAAATATCAGTTTGAATATCGCAGATTTTACTTTAATCTCTTTGTTCTATGTTCATTATCTAATAAAACTTTGAAAGCTTAGTAATATATGGTCACTGTGTTCAATAAAATTAGTAGATCTTGATCAGAGGTCATAGAGCACTTAGTTGAAAGTAAGTCTTTTCTAAATAGACGGACAACCATCAGTAGTATATTATTTTAACTCTTTTTGCAGTCATTCATATTATTAGAAATTCTACTTTTAAATTCATATAAAAAATTTTGTAAATGGTTTAGTGATTTTTATAAATGTTGGATGTCATTTTATTACAAAATGACGTCAGTTGAAGAACTGCCAAAACTACGGAGTACCAAACACCTAGTTCATCGAAATTTGAGACACTTCAACAGTTTTCCAACTATTCAATGGGATGCCAGAACTTATGTGACCAACCAATCAATGAGCGAAGTAGATATTCATCGATGACGTCAGATGAGGATATGTATACGCAGACTACAAATTAGTTGAAATCGGAAATATAAACTCATTGGTTCCGACCACCTGTGATTCCGTATATACGAAAAAGAAGTCCCAATTTAGAACGAAAATAGTTATTTGATGTCAACTCATTTATCTGATTCTTTTGCTAAAGTTATTTTGTGATAGAAACAACCTTCAAATCAAAGTGTAGTTTTTTATTTATTTTAACCTTAAATGTTCTGTAACAAGCAAGTAATTATTTCTTTCTTTTACATTTTAGTGAAACCATTCATCATTAAAACTGGTTTAAAACCAATAAAAGTAAAAGTCGGTGAAGTTGTTCAATTAAAGCTTGATTTTCGCGGTGAACCAGATCCTGTAGCAGTTTGGTCAAAAGAATCAACTGTAAGTCAATCTTATTTATATTCATCAAATTACCTTTGTTTAATTTCGGTGTTAAGAAGTAGTTGTTTCTAGCCAATAAGAATATATGCCTATAAACATCAATCTAAAAGTCTATTTTCAAAATCGTTTAACTAGGCATTTATTTCATAAATTCAAGCATGAATTATTTTATTTTTTCTAAGTTGACAAGTCAAAAGTGGACCATTCTGAAAAGTTTAATGTTATTACAGAAAAATATCGTCTTAGATTAACTACAGAAAACATTCTCTAGCATTATAATTATTACCACATTTATCTGGTATTCCGAGTAATGCCAAAAGCTATTCTTTACAAATCCTACATTCAAGGAATACTCTCAATCTTAGTATAATGAAGCTAAGATTCTTCTCAATACTGTTTTCTTCTACTTGAATTATTTTGACTTTATTGTACAAATATATACTTAGTAGGTTAAAGCTAATTTAACTTAAACAAAACTCTAATCTCCGGAAACACACTAGTTAATTTCCTTCATATAATTCCTCATTAGAATCGAAAGTTGATAAACTATATCACTGACCTACTTTTAAACACTTAAATATTATTATTATTCATGTTATTAGCTCTAAACATATGACATGATAAACAGAAGGTTGAGTATTTCCTAGGGAATTTGTAGCATTTATCTCATTCATCCATGCTATTAACAATCGAACTAAATTATCTTATCTGCAATAACAATATCACCAGTTTACAGACAATTGATGCTATGTAATCACTAACATTCCATATTGAATTATCATCCCTAATAACAGAATGCACGTTAAGCTATCTTCAGAAAAATCACCGTATTAAACATAGGCGAACGTTTGAGGAGATATGTGCTGAATTTAAATCTCAGTTTTAGGAACAACACTGGAGTACACCCTCACTGAGCTAAACAGAACAGAATAAAAACCACATGCCCAGATTCTATAGCTATTTACTGTTAACAAACATAGATAACGTAACTTAAGTCATTATAGAAACATCCGCTCAAGGAGCAAATATTTTTACAGAGGCTGATCAAGTTTAGTTTTGAAGATCAGTAACTGAGGTACACAAACCATCATTACAAGAGTAATACTCAAAATTATCTGTGTATTTGTGTACAGTAAGTTTTGAGTGTAATACGACTGAAACGTCACAGTGTTCAGCAGTTCTTCTAAATTATCGTGCATGTACTTAATTCACTAAGTTGAGTCGTAAGAAATAAGTTAAGGAAAAGGTGTTTTTGATGGAGTTTTGCTCTCTGAGCTAGATGGTTTGGTCGTGGAGCTTTCATCGTTCTTCTGAACGACATCATCAGCACAAACGTTACTATCTTAAAATGTGGTGTACTTTTATGTGTAAACTCAAAAGTAAATCAATGATCACTCAAACTGTTTCTTACTTTTATAGCCCCTTGAGTCAACACCAGAAATTGAATTGACTTTTGAACCACGATCAGCGTCTCTTAAAATTTTATCAGCTCAGCGTAAGGATACTGCTTTGTATACTTTGAGAGTAAGTAACGAAGTTGGAGAGGATCAGGCAAGCATTGAAGTTGTTGCACTTGGTAAACCATCTCGTCCAGTTCCACCAATGGAAATTACAGAAGTCACCAAAAATTCTGCTCAGTTAAGCTGGAAAAAACCGGAGGATGATGGTGGTACACCGATCACGTAAGAAACAAAAATTTATAAAATTAATAACATTTCTCGAAATGAATACAATTAAAGCTATTTTTATAGATTGTATAATAGAGAATCAATTAATAGTAAAAGTAAACACTTTTTTTCTCTAATCACTGTCACCATATTTTAATGCTAAATAAAGTAATTTACAGTCACTTTTAATCTTCACAATTAGTCATTTTGTATGTATCACATTAAGTATTGCTTCAGTTTAAGATTTCAAGAAATCTATATGATATATGTGATTAATGTGAATTACTGAAATATCATTGTTCAGAACGACTATTTATTTCATTAAGATTTTAAGTGGTACATTGAATAGCATCACAGAATTATTTTATTATTACAATTAAGTACTTATCATAATTTCTCAATTGTTTTTACTGTTCATAATCAGTTGATCTGTAAAAATATAAAGAAACTAAATCGAATCAGAAAGGATCAGTGTTATAGACCATTTATTGTATTCAATCTTGTTACTGTGAACTCGGGGAAGCTCTAAGAAGCTCGAAAAGAGTTGAAGATATTCCATCCAATCATCCTTAGGAATGATATCCCAGAATCCATACGTGTAGCTTCCCTATTGAACAAATGCTAAAACCCCCTGTATTCGAATTGGATGACTATAAAGACGATTTGGTTTTTACTAAAAAAAACTACAAATACCTGATAGTTTTTGTACCATATTTGACACTGTTTGGAATAGCATACCCTTCACTTGTCTTCTGTTTCCTCATTTGCAACTTGAAGGGTTCTAGCATTCGAATGCTCAAGTTTCACGCTATAAATGAAGCATCTAAGCTGCAGATATAACAGAAGGTCAATCAGAGAATTTCCTGCTGATATTATGAATTATAAAACCAAAAAATTAAACAGTTATATATATATATATATATTGACAATATTTAGTCAGTTGTTTCATAGATTTCAAAACAAATATTGTCAAATTTACAGAAATATAAAACCAGTGAATTGTTTCATTGTTTGATTGACTGACTGATTGATTGAAATAATAATAATAATAATTTTTGTACAAAATTAACAATAGTCGATTGTTCGTTTTTGTTTGTTTGTTTAGTGTACGCATATTATCAGTAACGGTTACAATCACTTTTCGATAACTCTATATGATTTGGAAAAACAAAATTGCTAAGGGACTATTTGTTTTTTTTCCAAAAGATAAAAAAATCTAATTAATTTTTGCCTCATATTAATTGTCATGCTAAACCAATTGATTTATTGTGAATCTAATTAGAAATCTCATTGTTTATCTGTTACAATATATTTTGGTAATTAATACATTTAAGAATGATGATTAAGTCGAAATTGTTTATCAATATTTCTATTGATGTGTGATATCAATAGTCATTAAAAATAATAGATACCTATCAAAAAGCCGACAGATGTCAATATCTAGATTATTTCAAGTCATCTTATCCCCACGACAATTTTATACTGGGATTTGTTCACAAGTCTAACACAATTTTCAATATCATAACTCAGAATTATGTTGAGTGTTTTTATTGATTCCTTCATTCGGTTGATAAAGAGGTACCATCTGTTAGTGAAAAATAACATTTGAGAATGGCTGGCAAATGACTGGTAAACCAGTCGATGAGGGTGTAAATATTCATCGATTAAGATGGTTAGGACACGTGTTACATATATGCCTGAACACCGTTTACCACGACGAGCAATGCTGACTAGTGTTAGAGACGTCTGGAACAAAGTTAGGAGTGGCCAAACCAAAACTTGGCATCAGTCATTGAAATCACGAACTTCTAGTCCCAGGCATGTTGGTACATGCAGACTACTTGGTTGGGGTCCGCGTGACTATCGTAACCAATGGTTGGAGACTCTGTGTGACATGGCTCAGAATCCATCACAATGGCGTAGGTGTATACAGTCTTTGTCTTCCTTTCAACCGTTAGATTAAAATTACTTCATACCTTTCTTTCTAACTCTTTCTTCCTGTAATATATCCTTGCACACAATCTTTCTTTTATATATTACTACCAATGAAGTAACTATTTTTACGAATTTGGTGTTCATTTTCTTGTGCTAATGAGATATAGTAACTTGGACCTATGCATATATTTGCCTGGTCCTACGTTGTGACTGACTGATTGGAGTTTAAAATGCAGTTTCAAATGTTGAGTTTAATATGTATTGATTTGTTTGGGAATTATAGTTGCAGTTCATTGAAGAGGTTTTAATTTTCATAGTAAATTTGTTAGACAAGTACTTTATAAAAGCTTAGATGACGATTTCTGTCATGAAGGATGGTTTAACTATTATGGATAGTCAATAAAATATGTTCATTACAAAATATGATAAATTAGTTCTACCTAACCGAGTTTTACGAAAGCCAGTAGATTAAAATTGATTCATTCATGAATAGTAATGTAATTAAACACCGTTTTTCCGTTGAATGAAAATGTAACTAAGCCACATGTTATGTATCTAATCAAAAAGAACATCTAGTAGTTCTTAATTGATAAATATTTTTCTGACGGAATAGATAATCTAAAGCCACTTGATACCACTTAATATATTAAAACAATGATATTGTGTCTAGTCATTTACTGACTGACTCAAATAAACTTAAAATATTAGCACTGTTTTCACTATTGACCAGACATCGTTAAAAAACTGTAAGAAGTTTTATAATCAACAATTGAATCGTTCTAAAAATATTTTTATGTAACTGTTGTTTCCTGTAGATTAGCAAAACTACCTAAACTGATTAAACGTATTGAACACGTCTTTAGTTAAACTATTATACCTATGAGGATAGTAATTAACCTCTTACATGTATATATATATTTTTATTAACAAGGCACTATAAAGTTGAAAAAATGAACATGAACAAAGGCCGATGGGAACCTGTAGCTGAAGTAACTAAAGGATTAACAGCAACTGTGAATAAATTAGAAGAAGGTCAACCATATAAATTCCGTATAATTGCTGTTTCAAGTCAAGGAGAAAGTGAACCACTTGAATGTGATACTGAAATAACTGCTAAAAATCCATTTGGTATGTTCCAAACAAGAATATGATTATTTATTCCACTGATCGTTATTAGTTTAGCGGAAGTATTTTAGAATATATTTTATAAAATGTCAAAACGTTTGTAAACTATCAGAAAAATATGTAATGTAAGATAGTTGTAATCAAAAGTGGTCAGTGATCTTTGAAACACATTTTTAATCATACAATAACCTGACTAATGAGATAAGTGATAAATATCATAATCTAATCAATCTTCAATTAATATTCCCTGGATATTCTTTAAGCTCAGATAGTTGTGGCAAATTGACCAAATGATTTGAAGTTAGATAAGGAGAATAAGTGATACATTAGTCAATGGATTACCACAATCGATCTCGATTTACGCAGTTTGGTATACATAGAGATAGAGGCAATACAAACATTCATCATGTTTTAATTTGTGCAACACAGTTTAAATAAAATTGGGCTGGTTTTATTTCTTTTTGTCAGAAATCAAGTCCTATAAGTATTATCCTAATAGTGGTGTGTAGAAATCTAAGTAGATTTCAACATGATTGCTAAATCATTTCTCATCAACTCTATTATTACATTGGTAGATATAAAAGCAACGTGGAAGTTATATACAATCATCAGCGTTAAAATGATTAAGAGTAAGAATGATCTTCAGCTACTGGAATGAGTTTCTGCATTAAACGCACTTTAATTTTAAGATCGCAAAACGATCAATTAATATAAATACTGATGATCCTTAGAATACAATACGTCTTGTTTGTAATTTGATGTTGTAGAAAGACCTGGTCCACCAGAGAAACCAAAGATTGCTGACTATGATCGCACTCACATAGATATAAAATGGGAACCACCTGAAGATGATGGAGGTGCACCTATAAAAGGCTATCATGTTGAGCGCAGAGAGCCAAGGTCGCAACGCTGGATGCGTTTGACACGTGTTCCTCAACAGGAACTTACATATTCTGATTCCGGAGTTCGTGAAGGAAAAGAATACGAATATCGTGTGATAGCGATGAATGAAGGTGGCTTAAGTGATCCAAGTCCTCCGACTGATTTACAATTTGCTAAGGCTAGTCGAGGTAAGTTTTATCCATTAAACTTTGACTCTCTGTTATCCTGACAAAAATAATGTATCAAGCCAAATACAAAGCCGGATCAAACACCACACAAACCTCAGAGTTTGTATTCAGAGACTATAGATAACTCGTTCCAGTTCATTCTTTGCATCAAAAGTTCCCCTGCATTGTGCTAAAGACTAGATTTCACACATACTGTGTCATTTTTAATTTACTTTTTATAATATTGATTACTGATTTGTCTGTTCTAATTCATCGAAGTTTAACACATTAAACGACCCTACAAATTTATCCTTCCAAGCAGATTCAAGAATTCCTTATTAGTACTGGGAATATTTATCACCGTTAAATGAATTAGTTACTAAGATTTCCAAACCACTAAATATTCACAATGTAGTAGATTGTGATGAGTGCTTAATTCGAAGACTGGATTTCTTGAAATTGTAAACTACATATTATCAACGTCAGTAAATGTCCGCTCAATAAAGCTGAATCACACTAAAATCTAGAGTATGATATTTGTTACTATCCATGAAGTAATTATCTATAATCTAATTTCTTTCATTAGTCATTCCTCTTACCGAAGTGATAAGAACACTATGAAAAATTTATAGAACCATTAACATTAATCTTCCACTTGTAGTTGTAGTTAGACTAGCTGCTGTTTTCAATACTTAAACTAGAAATAATTTTTACACCAAACCATTTATAACACTTTTCGTTATTCTGCATAGTGCTGGAAATTTTTGTCTAGCTAATTAAATTCGAGAATCAACTGATTGAGATGTGGCCTCTTGAATTGTTTTTCTTCCAGAACCTCCTAAATTAAAACTAACTGAATTGCCTTTGGGAATAAAACAAGAGATCCGATTAAGAGCCGGTGAACCATTACATATGCCTATTCCAATAACTGGTGCTCCTACACCTACAATAACATGGTTCAAAGACAATAAACCATTGCCAACTCGTTGTCAACTGCAAAATTCTGAAGAACATACTTGTTTAGATGTACCCAAATCAATACGTGATGATTCGGGTCTCTATAAAATTCATTTAGCTAATGAATATGGTCAAGATGAAGCAGTTGTTAAAGTTATTGTAATGGGTATGTTCACCAATTTTTTTATTGACCGGCCATTTTGTACGTCATTTTAAAAAAGGGTAGCCAATATTTAAGCGAAGAATAGTAATAAGACATTAATATCTATATTTAACAATGCTTACTATAATTTCGTAAAAACAGATCTAGTGATAACTAATTATGAAAGAAAAACTGATTGATTTCTCTTCTTAGAATAACATTATCCTCAAGTTTGAATGAATAGTAAAATTTGTTATCAATTAGATTCTGCCATTTTTAGTCAGAAATAAAACGTTGATACTTTCAACAACAAAATTTATATTTCAGAGGCTTAAAATTTGTAATTAAAAGGTGTAAAATGTTCTGTTACAACTTCATTTTATTAGTTATTTCATTTCAATATCATAAGTGATAGACGTGTGGTAGGCGTCGAGTCGCCGTTCACCATGATCAACACTACAGGAAGACTTACTTACTTACTTACGCCTGTTACTCCTCGTGAAGGAGCATAGGCCACTCACCAGCATTCTCCATCCAACCCTGTCCTGGGCAATCCTTTCTAGCTCCGTCCAGTTGTAATTCATCCTTTTCATATCTGCTTCTATTATCCGACGCAATGTGTTCTTTGGCCTTCCTCTTTTTCGCTTCCCTTCAGGGTTCCAAGTTAGGGCTTGCCTCGTGATGCAGTTTGACGATTTGCGTAATGTATGTCCTATCCATTTCCATCGTCTTTTCCTAATTTCTTCTTCAGCTGGAAGTTGGTTTGTTCTCTCCCACAGAAGGCTATTGCTGATGGTATCCGGCCAGTGGATGTTGAGTATCTTGCGTAGGCAGCTATTTATAAATACTTGTACTTTCTTGATTGTGGTTGTTGTAGTTCTCCAAGTTTCAGCTCCATACAGTAGAACTGCCTTGACGTTCGTATTGAAGATTCTCACTTTGATATTGGTTGAAAGTTGTTTTGAGTTCCATATGTTCTTCAATTGTAGGAATGCGACCCTTGCTTTGCCGATCCTCGCCTTTACGTCTGCATCTGAACCTCCTTGTTCATCGATGATGCTTCCTAGGTATGTGAAGGACTCTACATCTTCCAGAGTTTCGCCATCAAGAGTGATTGGATTGCTGTTCTCCGCTTTGAATTTGAGGACCTTGGTTTTCCCTTTGTGTATGCTGAGGCCTACTGATGCAGAGACTGCTGCTACACTGGCTGTCTTCATCTGCATCTGTTCGTGTGTACGTGATAGGAGGGCTAGGTCGTCTGCGAAGTCCAAATCGTCTAATTGATTCTGAGCTGTCCATTGTATTCCGTGTTTTCCTTCAGATGTTGAGGTCTTCATAATCCAGTCGACCACCAGAAGAAAGAGGAAGGGAGAGAGTAAACAGCCTTGTCTGACTCCAGTCCTTACTTGGAATGCATCTGTCAGCTGTCCTCCATGCACTACTTTGCACTGTAGTCCGTCGTATGAGTTCCGGATAATGTTGACAATCTTCTCAGGAACTCCGTAGTGTCGAAGAAGTTTCCATAATGTCCTCCTATCTACACTGTCGAATGCCTTTTCATAATCAATGAAGTTGATGTATAGTGATGAGTTCCACTCAACTGATTGTTCGACGATGATCCGTAGTGTTGCAATTTGGTCTGTGCACGACCGATCCTTACGGAATCCAGCTTGTTGATCTCGAAGTTGGGCGTCTACTGCATCCTTCATCCGGTTCAGCAACACTCTGTTGAAGACTTTCCCTGGTATTGACAGTAGTGTAATGCCTCTGTAGTTTTCACATTTGCTCAGATCTCCTTTCTTTGGAATCTTGACGAGGTGTCCTTCTTTCCAGTCCATTGGCACTTGTTCCTCCTCCCAAATCTTTTTGAATAGAAGGTATAGCATGCTTGTGGTTGCTTCGATGTCTGATTTCAGTGCTTCAGCTGGTATGTTGTCGGGTCCTGCTGCTTTCCCGTTCTTGATTTGTCTGACGGCCATTCTAATTTCTTCCGTCGTTGGTGGGTTGACATCTATAGGAAGATCTATGTGTGCTGCTTCGATGTCCGGTGGATTCATTGGAGCCGGCCTATTCAGGAGTTCCTCGAAGTATTCTACCCATCTGTTACGCTGTTGTTGAATTTCGGTGATTGGCTTGCCTTCTTTGTCTTTGACCGGCCTCTCTGGTTTACTGTATTTCCCTGCTAGTTTCTTCGTTGTATCGTGAAGCTGTTTCATATTTCCTTCTCTAGCAGCTTTTTCTGCCGTCGTTGCTAGTTCTTCCACGTATTTCTTCTTGTCGGCTCTAATGCTCCTCTTCACTTGTTTGTTTGCTTCTATGTATTCAGCTTGTGCTTGGACTTTCTCTGCTCGTGTTCGGCTGTTGTTAATTGCTGCCTTCTTGTTCTTCCTTTCTTTGATCTTGTCCAGTGTTTCTATAGAGATCCATTCCTTATGATGGTGTTTCTTTAGGCCCAGAACCTCTTGACACGTTGAAGTTAATGCTTCCTTGATGCCTTTCCAGTTGTCCTCCATAGTAGTTTCTTCTTCTTTCAGTAGATCTTGTAAGGCTTGGAACCTGTTGTTGAGAGCTATCTTGAATTCATTGAGTTTGTCAGTATCTCGAAGGAAGGCTGTATTGAACCTTTGTAGTGCTGTTTGTCCACTTGTCCAGTTCTTTTTAAGCTTCAGTTTTAAATTGGCTACAACTAGGTGGTGATCTGAAGCTACGTCAGCACCTCTCCTGGTTCTCACATCTTCCATTGTCCTTCGGAATTTTTTGTTGATGCAAATATGATCGATTTGGTTCTCTGTAGTGTGGTCCGGTGAGATCCATGTAGCCTTGTGTATACGCTTGTGTGGAAATATTGTGCCTCCTATGACCAATTTGTTGAATGCACACAAATTTGCAAATCTTTCTCCATTTTCGTTTCTTTCTCCCAGTCCATGTCGTCCCATAATATCTTCATATCCGGTGTTGTCTATTCCGACTTTGGCATTTAGATCTCCCATCAGAATAGTTAGGTCCTTTCTTCGGCATTTCTCAATGATTGACTGCAGCCGCTCGTAGAACTGATCTTTAATGTCGTCGTTGCTATCATTGGTGGGTGCATAACATTGGATAATATTCATTAAGATCCCCTCCTTCTTTGTTTTGAATGATGCTTTGATGATTCTGGATCCGTGAGACTCCCATCCTACAAGTGCATTTCGTGCTACTTTGGACAGCATAAGAGCGACTCCCTGAGTGTGTGGAGCATTGTCCTCCTCGTGACCGGAGTATAGCAGCATCTCTCCCGTAGCTAGCCTTTTCTGTCCAGCTTGGGTCCAGTGGGTTTCGCTGATTCCCAGTACTGCTAAGTTGTATCTCCTCATTTCCATTGCTATTTGACTGGTCTTCCCGGTTTCCCACATTGTTCGAACGTTCCATGTACCTATAAAAATTTTTGCTCTAGTTGTTAGAAGGGGCATCGACCCTATTAGAGCTACAGGCGGAGTTTACAGGAAGACTACGTGCCAGTTATCAGGTTAGATCCCTCCGTAGACCAAATATCAGAAGGTAATTGAAGGTTGTAGTAAAATGTATTTGTTGACGCTTTCGTGGTATTGAAATAATACCGAGATCGTGCCAAAGTTTACAAGCGGAACTACTGAGCGTACGTGAGTTCGTGCAAGGTCACAGACAACGGAATAATGTGTTTTTTTAGTACACTTAAACAAACAGGTACTGTAAAACAATCACTGGCACAATTGGTCATAATAACAATTATTTCCATTATACCAATCGCATTCTCTTCATAAAAGTAGGTCACTACAGACTGTTATTTTTCATTTTAAATGAATCGGTTAATTAATGAATTTAAAAGTACTATCCGTGTATTATTATGGTGTTATACGATAAGTCAGTGATAATCTCTTTGCATTAGATCTATTAATACAAGAGAAATAGTTTATTTGATTGCGTAAATATGCAGTCAGTTATCTGGATTGATACTTATGGTGTGATAGTGTGATAATTACTTATAAATTAGACTTATATTCTGAAGTTCCTGAAGAAAGGGTATTGGAAGACAGAATGGCTAGTCAGCAAAAACAAATCATTTTAAGAGAGACCAGTACATGTTATAAAACTCACAACATGAATACCAGTAACATTCACTTTTTTTAAAGACATTTACCATGTTATAAAATTAAGACCTGACAATCAAGCGCAATGAGTCCCAGAAATATCACCATAGGAACGAAATACTACTAAGATTGTTATTAAATAATGAAAAATCTCTGTACATGAAAAATTTTTCCATCGTTTTTATGAATTTAAAAAACTTTGCTTCACAAATAATTGACGATTAATTAGACTGCGGAAAGCAACAAAATTAAAAAAATCTTCTTAGGATAGAAAAGCTTAATAATGTTATGTATTCCCATTCAAATTAAGTTGCAGACAATCTTTTGTAAGGGAAAATGTAGCTGACAAGAATAAACTTCACTTGACCTTTGATGTTCAGTAAAAATACTTCTGTAATATGTCTTCCTCTTTTCACATGAATCACTTATTGACTGTAATTTATGTATGTTTATTCTTTTACATAAATGGATTATTTTGAAACTAAAGAGGTCCTACATGGATTGATGTAGTATTTAAGCATAGCTAGAGGAGAGTAAACAAATACAGATAGATGTAACAATTAAATCTTTATCATGCAACAGGTAGTATGATTTCTCTGTTTTTATCATTGGTTTATTGGTTGATATATGTATAGCTTGTCAATAATTTAAGTAGTATAGGTTTAGGAGAATAAAATGGAATTATGAAATATGTAGTTTAAATGATCTACTGAACAATTTTTAGAACTATCATTGAATATATAAGTATGAATTCAACTTGTCCAGCAATAAATATTACATAATATCTGTAAAAAAAAACACCCTCCACTAATACCCATTGGTGGTCATCATGTATTTCTAGATGTTATATTTTAAAATCAGTTTTACTTAAATAAATACGTAGACACTCTACTAAAATTAATTCAGACAGGCTAGAAAACTTTAGTTATCACTCAACTTGTTCAGTTATATTTTACATCTTCAAGTTGTTATCGTATAGATCTACACACACCATGTTGCATCAAGAAATACTAGTGTGGGTAGACATTTTTTCCAGTAAAGTGTTTACTTCTTTATGAATGTTTAAAAACTATAACATTCTTTACCAAATTAATATCTACCTTATTAATCTTTTACAGGCATGTAAGAGATAACAAGTTTAGTTTAAATATTTTTTTCAGTCAACTATTTCATTTTTCCCATCGGTATTGTTGCTTTTTTTTCCTTTTCATCATCCCTAATTTCTAATTTAATTAGCATACAGGCTTATTTTTTTAAAATCATAAAGTTGCTTAGGAGCTCACCAAAACTGTTTGTGAATAAATAAGAGAACTGAGAATAAAATTTCTTTTGATTAAAGGAACTATTTCTGAAACTTGAAATAAACACATTTTCTTAACTGATTCATCAGTTTATACGAAAGGGAATATTTATGAGCAAGCACAATTGTTTCACTGAAATTGTCCTTTACAAAAATTGTTGATCTTATATTGACAATCTTAAATTTCCTTCTTTGTTATCTTAACTAAATTTTGTTTTCCTTAATAAGTTTCAATTTTTATTGGAGTAAAATTTGATGAAAGTTTGACTGATTTTAATACATTTCACTACCAGACTATATCACTTAAATAACTAATAGGAATCAGAAAGAATTGGAACTTCTCAAACGTTAATCAATATATGGTTCTGTACACATCGTTGAGAAATTTCAAAATATGAGGAAATAACTGTTTAATGTTACCTGACTTTTAGATGTTCTTCAGTTGATAGTATTAAATAATGAAAATGAGTCAAAACCTTATCAACTTATTAGTTTAAGAAATGAATATATTTTCCATATTTGTGTATAAGTAAACCATTGCAATTCTTTTTTTTTGTACATCGCAATCATGATTACTGATTTAGTTACTTTTTGTTTATTTACTCGGATATTTTTTTTAAAAACAATAATTCAGATAAACCTTCACCACCAATCAATGTAGAAGCAATCGATGTATATGCTGAATCATGTAAACTTATTTGGAAACCACCAGTGGATGATGGGGGTACACCGATAACAGGTATGCATTTTTATAGTTAATTCATTGGCGAGACTCTAATTTATGGACGACCTTTGAACGAATCTTAAGTGACTTTGAGAAATACTAGCCAGTCAGTAAACAGTCAGTACAGAGTAAAAATATGTTGTACAAAATCAAGAAAATAAAGTGGATACACTTCTTATACATGATTCAAAAACTCTTCAATGTTAGAATGATGTTCAGAGGTTCTAAAATTGTAATGCGTGCAGTAGAGGAAATCATCCGTACGGCTACAGAATAGTCGGCCTCTGGAGCCGTGATAAAGTCTCAAAATCTCTTTCAGCCTCGACCACATAGCTACAATATTGTTTGTGTGCACTCCGGTTGTTGAGTGCACAAAATGCTACTTGTGGATAACGACATGATGCACATAGCCAAGCCTATGTAGGAGTCTGTACGCTCTTCAATCATCTGTATATATTGTAGTACCTGGCTGAAGCCAGTGTTACTGGTGCTTTTATTATCCAGTTCTCAATAATTGTCATAATTTGCCTCAGTTAGGAATTATATATGGTGTTTTCATCACGAACTGACATCAGCTATAATGCCAGAAATTTATTCAACCAAATGGATGAAAGACGTTCGCACCATAATCCGAGATCTGTTATCTTATACCTTGTTGGTTTGTCCACAAATTATAGTCCCATCGTTTTATTTGTTATAGCCGCTCAACTATCACGTTTTGTACAAAATTCCCTGTGAACCGATCGTACGTTAGCATTAAGCACTAAAGTTGGTGCCTTAACCTTGAAATTTCTCAAACGCCTCTGATTGACTCGTCCATAAATTAGAGTCCCGCCAATCCATTAATATATACAAATTATTAATGTTTACATTTTCATAGCTGACTTTTGAAGCAATTTTATTTCCCTATGATTAACCCATTAAAAATACAATAAAAATATCAATATAAATGGGATGATTTTAATTGGGTTAATAAATGTTCTGATTATGGAAAAAGAGGAATTAAATCATAAATTCATTTTATTGATTTTCTTGCACAAACAAATGAAATTCTTTACCTTATTGATTAATTTTTTTTAAATGAAAAATCTCCATTTATTATTCTAAGTGAAAATGAATTTCGGAATTCAGGCAAATGTGTTAATCATTAATTTATTGATTTTTAATACATTAATGGTGGTATATAATCTTCCATCTTACTTTTTTAGTGAATTCAACAAAAATTCTTTACAATTCACTCATCCCTGTGAAATGATTATTTTAATGTTTGTCGAGCCACATAGTCTTGATCAAATCCTATCGATCAGGTTATAAAAATGGCAACTAGCTTAATGAATTGACATCGCGAGCGCTACGCTAGGATTTGAGGTGATTAGAAGTATTCGACGAGGAATTTTAAACCTAGTTTTAAAGTTATTTAACACTTGTCAGCAAGGCTAATAAAAAAGGAATTCGGTGGGGATATCTCAGACTGTAAATGTGGTTGAGCTGAGTTTGAATCCGCCAAGAGGCATCAGTTCCTTCAAGATTTGAATCACGTCTTAGTGATGAGTGCTAAATACCACAAAATCTAGGTCCACGACTTTTTCGTCTATCTCCAACCATCTAAGTCGAAATTCTTTGCTTTTTAATGTTCATGTGAACATAACCATAAACGTCTGTAACCTATAGTGACTCACGTGCAATTGAGTTTAGTTCAGTCAAGGTCTTTTGTTGACCTATTTAATGGACAAAATCATCCATGATATAACAACTTGTTGTATTATCTTTATTATTATGCTTGTATGAAATACATATGCTTGAACATTGTTTAGCGCCTACGCATGTATTCATTCTGCTAGCTTCATTATTAACTGCTTAGTCTATTCGCTGACTCATCCATTTTCCTATACATATATATATGTGTACATTTGCATGCATTCACTACTTCACTACTACTACTACTACAACTACTTGCTACTGCTACAATCGTAGTTCGCTTGCTCATTCATTTTGCCTCTCTGCTGTCTGGTCCGAATTATCTACTAAATAAACTGTAGTAGCTGCTTCTATTTGCCTTCTGATTTCAAACATCGTTGAAGATTATACGATAACGGTTCGAGGGTGATTAATTAACGAAGCACAGCCACTACAGAATTGGTAATCCCGACGTGAGAACGGGAAGCGAATTTTGACGAAATAATCAAATTCCAAAAATCCGACTACCTTCATCTCAATTTGGATTATTAAATGAACTATAATTACAACTGTGGATTTATATTATTATTTTAATTACACTTACATTATTTCGCAAACATTAAACGTGACAATTATAATCATAATAAATAACAATTATTCATAAACAATTGATATATTGGTGCAATTTAGTAAGTCTGTTCCATTTTATAAATTGTGCCATTTTTTTATTATCATTGTTTTCACCCGTCTATTTTTCCTTGTGATTGTTAAAGTATTTTCGTGTGCTACTTAATTTTTATAAGCATGTCTTATGAAAACACAGTTTCAAGCGTACAGCAAGCCTCGTCCGTGAGGTCTCTTAACCTCCCTGCCCCTTCTTTTAAAATCGCAGACCCAAAACTTTGGTTTATAAGACTTGAAAATTATTTTCTCGCTAACCGCATTCTTTTGCAAAAGGATAAGTTCGGCCTGACAAGCACACTACTCCCAGACGAAGTAGCTGACAGCGTTCGAGAGGCACTAGCAAAACCAGACACAGAAAAACCATACGACGTGCTAAAAGAGGCTGTAATTAAAACTCTCTCTCTCAGTGACCAACAAGCCGTCGAACAACTTCTTAACCAAGTACAAATGGAGATAGAACCCCATCACAACTAAAAAATTATATGAAAAGTTTACTTGGCGATAGACACATTGACAATAATCTCTTTTATCAACTGTGGCTCCGCCGACTCCCTGCAAATATACAGCAGATCCTAGCTGTGGGAGATACGGATGCTGATTTAGACAATATAGCAAAGATAGCCGATAGAATATACGAAAGAAGCAAGCAAGCAAGCCCTCCACTACACAATGTGACGGTAGACGATAGACTTGATACTCTACAGAAGGAAATAAATGTTTTGTGCCGAAAACTCTCAGAGTTAACGCAGAGAGAAAAGCCACGAAGGTCATCGCGAGATCGTTCGCGTGAAAGGACCCGGTCAACTTCTAGACGACGCACAACTCCCGCGATATGTTGGTATCATCAAATGTTCGGCTACAGGGCCAGAAAGTGCCTACAACCTTGTAGATTTAACAGGAATAGTAACCGATACCCACGAGTATCAATGGCAACAGCATCAACACACATAATGCCTGAAAATAGTCGCCTCTTTTATATACAAGACCGGACCACTGGCGCACAATTCTTAGTTGACACTGGAGCGGAAATTAGCGTAGTACCTCCATTTAACGAGGAAAGAAAAAACATTAACCCGTCGTTAGTGCTAAGAGCAGCAAACAAATCAGATATTAAGACATATGGTAAACGGAAATTGTCCCTAGATTTTGGACGTGGCGCTTCATACCGTTGGAACTTTGTCATAGCAGACGTATCGATGCCCATAATAGGCATAGATTTCTTATGTAACTTTGACCTGCTAGTAGACTCTAGACGACACAGACTTATAAACGGCAGTCAAACCACTTCGATAAGAGGAATACTTACGGAAGCCGTTTCAATGAACCTTGTGATAGATAAAAGTTGTGGTGATCCATATAAATTGTTGCTAAGGGAGTTCCCTGAACTCGTAAAAGTAACATACAATAAAGCGGATCTCAAACATTCTATTCAGCATCACATCGTAACGAATGGTCCACCAATCAATGCAAGACCAAGAAGGTTAGATCCCAAAAGACTAGCCATCGCAAAACAGGAATTCGACAAGCTAATGAGGCTAGGCATTATAAGGCCATCGAACAGCCCGTGGGCATCCCCGCTACATATGGCCCCGAAAAAGAATGGAGAGGTTAGGCCATGTGGGGATTACAGAGCACTAAACAAACAAACGGTAGCTGACAGATATCCTATACCGCACATTCATGATTTCACCTACAGTATAGAAGGCACTACTATCTTCTCGAAGATCGACTTAGTCAGAGCATACTACCACATCCCTGTTGCCCCACAAGACATACCGAAGACAGCAGTAACAACCCCATTTGGGCTATATGAATTCCTGCGTATGCCTTTTGGACTGACTAACGCGGCACAAACCTTTCAGCGGTTTATCGACCAGGTCATTAGAGGTTTACCTGGGGTATACGCGTATATCGACGATTTATTAGTAGCTAGCACCACTAAGGATGAGCATATACAACAACTACGGCAATTATTTATGCGACTCAGAGAACACGGCATTTCTATAAATATTGAGAAGTGTGAATTCGGAAAAGAATCTTTACAGTTCCTAGGTCACAATATAACTTCTCAAGGCATCACACCAATAGCAACAGAAGTCGACGCCATTAGGAATTATCCCCTACCCGACTCATGGAAAAAGTTACGCCGATTTCTCGGGTTAATAAATTATTACAGACGATTTATCCCGAATTGCGCGTCAATATTGCAACCACTAACAGATGCATTACGCGGAAACGCACGGACATTCCAATTATCACCAGACGCGATCCAAGCATTCGAGAACGCTAAAAAAGCACTAAATAAAGAAGTGACACTAACTAGACGAAAGAGCGAAACACCGTTAGCTATCATGACGGATGCATCAGATGTAGCGGTAGGAGCCGTTTTACAACAATTAGTAAATGGCATATGGGAACCGCTCTCATTTTTTCGAAAAGACTGAATCCGACACAAACAAGATATAGTACTTTCGGAAGAGAACTCCTAGCGATTTACTTGGCAATAAAACATTTCCGACATATGATTGAGGGTACCATTTTCACAGTATATACAGACCATAAACCCCTCACAAAAGCATTGAACGCCAAACAGGACAACTACTCGCCGAGGGAAATCCGACAATTAGAATTTATTTCCCAATTCACGTCTAACATACAGTATGTCAAAGGCAATAGTAACGAAGTGGCAGACGCGCTATCCAGAACGATGGTCAACGCTCTCGTCCAGTCCGAAATCGATTATCACAAGTTAGCAGCATTACAAAATATCGACGTCGAGTTAAACAGACTAAAGTCTGCCAACACAACCTCGTTAGTTCTCAAAGAAACTCCATTGGAAGAAGTAAGCATCACCTGCGATATTTCTACAGGTCAACCAAGACCATTTATTCCAAAGCCGCTAAGGCGAAACATTTTCGAAGCCATGCACAATATTTCGCATCCCGGAATAAAGGCCACCATCAAACTAATCAGCGAACGTTTTGTATGGCCAAGTATGAATCGGGATATTCGTAATTGGACGCAAGCGTGTATAAAATGCCAGAGAGTTAAGATACATCGCCACACCAGTTCCGCAGTAGGTCATTTCCGTCATCCCGATAACAGATTCGAGCACGTACATATCGATATTATAGGACCACTGCCGGTTTCGAATGGTTTCAGTTACATTTTCACTTGCATTGATAGATTCACGCGATGGCCTGTAGCTGTGCCCATAAAAGATATTACAGCCGAAACTATCGCAAAAACCCTAGTAGAGCATTGGATTTCTCATTATGGTGTACCTACTAATATCACAACCGATAGAGGAGCTCAATTCGAGAGCCGCCTCTTCCAACAACTCACAGAACTACTCGGAATCAAACGAATTCGCACAACATCCTACCATCCGATGTCGAATGGTATGGTAGAGAGATTGCATCGGCAACTTAAAGCTTCTCTTACAGCTGTCATCAGCAATAATGATTGGGCCAGCAAGCTACCGTTAGTCATGTTGAGCTTAAGATCAACAATCAAACAAGATATAGAATGCTGCCCAGCAGAATTGGTTTATGGAACCACACTACGTCTGCCAGGAGAGTTTTTCACTGCAGGTAAAAGCGATCCAACTGATATAGCGGACTATGTACAGCGTCTTAAGCAGCATATGAGTAGTCTAAGGATAACGCTTCCGAGACAACATCAACGCCGTGTGTACATACCCAAACAACTAAGTGACAGTACCCATGTGTTTATCAGAAGGGATAATGTGCAACGTCCCTTACAACCAGCCTACGATGGTCCATTTAAGGTGATTAAACGAGACGACAAAACTATCACGGTAGAAAAAGCTGGAAAAACGGATGTAATTAGCATCGACCGAGTCAAACCAGCTTTCATCGAAGCCTACGATCAGCCAGTACATACAGATACTGCGAAAACCGTTGAATCATCGAAGCGTCAGTTCCAATCATCAACGACATCGACAAACACAAGCAAAGAGAATCCAGTAACGACAAGGTCTGGCCGAAGAGTAAGATGGCCCCAACATTATGTCGCTACAATCTTCTATTAATAATTTTCTACTATTTAAAATATTAATTATAACTTCCACTTCATTGTACACACATGCATTACTAATTTCATGTTATACGCTATAAAACTCAACATATCTTATGTACCCCTACACTTACACGTATAATTTTTATTTAAAATGTAAAGCAATACCGCATTCCTTCTATTTATTGCTATTATTTTTTAAAACCTCACGGACGGGCGCAAACCAAATGTACAGCACACACTAACTTCATCTTAATTTTGTACAAACCATTTTTTTCAAACGACTGTAACTACCCTACTCAGTTTACTATTTTTTTTGTGCAAACACAGACATTTTTCCATATATCTTTGTTTGCAGGGGGGAGCTATTATAGTGACTCACGTGCAATTGAGTTTAGTTCAGTCAAGGTCTTTTGTTGACCTATTTAATGGACAAAATCATCCATGATATAACAACTTGTTGTATTATCTTTATTATTATGCTTGTATGAAATACATATGCTTGAACATTGTTTAGCGCCTACGCATGTATTCATTCTGCTAGCTTCATTATTAACTGCTTAGTCTATTCGCTGACTCATCCATTTTCCTATACATATATATATGTGTACATTTGCATGCATTCACTACTTCCACTACTACTACTACTACAACTACTTGCTACTGCTACAATCGTAGTTCGCTTGCTCATTCATTTTGCCTCTCTGCTGTCTGGTCCGAATTATCTACTAAATAAACTGTAGTAGCTGCTTCTATTTGCCTTCTGATTTCAAACATCGTTGAAGATTATACGATAACGGTTCGAGGGTGATTAATTAACGAAGCACAGCCACTACAAACCCAACTATTTACTGTAATGGCAACTATTTACCTTAAACAATGAATAAAGCATTGTCGTTTGGAAACCCATTTTGTTTGTTAAACCATTTGACGGTGAATTTAGAAACCTTGTTTGTTAGGGTTACAAGATAGAATTTGACGGTTTCCAATACGCTAGCAGTTAACATACCGAATTAATAGATGTAATTTACGTCTGTATTATCAAAAGTGTTAACCGACAGATCAGCTCAAAACGAGAATCATCATTTAATGAATAAGAGTAAAATTTTCTATAAAATAATCACTGAAAGGAACAATCACGAGTTTACATATACTATAATGAATTTTCTACTTGAAACTACATCATACTTCTACTAATGATATTGTTCTACATATTGTCAATTATAAAAATGTGTTATTACAGCTCCCGTTCGACAACTAATTTACATGGATCTGTGACTATGGGCATTGTAAAGATGAAATACTATTAGTTTACTTATATCTTTAGACCACTATCAAACAGGAAAATAGCCTGATCTCTGAAAACCACCGAATGATATATTAGTTTACTTTGAATTAAAGGAAAATCAATAACCAGTAGAAAGTTACTGTATAAAATTTTCCCATATCCTAACAGCCTGACAGATAGATCCACTTCGTTTTCGAAAGAAGATTATACTTTTTATAAACTTTTAGGGTTTAAAATAAAAATGATTGACGAGTTCTCTAATATGAAAACTAATTTAATGGGACTAGACCGATTAAGTAGCTAGTTTACAACGATATTTCAACACTGACAGTGAAACACGAATACACCTTTTCCTATATTGTAGTTTTTGAATAGCCTTTATAATGTCCATGGGCCCGATAAAAAGGAATTGTTAAATAGATATTATTGAATAATCATCGCACTATATCGTAAATTGACTGAATTTAGAAATATGAACTAACTGACTCGAACTCAGTGGGTTAAGGGTATCGTGCTGGCTACAGGAGGTAAGGTCGTTGAGTTATATCCAACCTGCTGTCGTGGAGAAGCCATCCAAACTAATAAAGAAACAGTTATTAGGCCGTCACTGGCTTCCTATGGTTTGTTAGGTGAAGTTACCTTATAAAGTAAAACTCTTCAAATAATACCCCTATTAGGTTTTATGACGTTATCAGTCTTACCAATTAATCTTTGTTTCTATTTTACAAAATCCAGATTATCTAGTTGAACGATGTGATGAAACTGGCATTTGGGAACGTGTATCCGGACTAGTTACAGATAATTCAATAAATGTCAAGAATCTGATTAAAGGGAAATCTTACCGTTTTCGTGTATCTGCTGTAAATATGATAGGAAATAGTGAACCAGGGGAGACAAAAACTGCGATACTTGCCAAAAATCCTTATGGTATGTTTAGTGTTTTCAGTGAGTGTATGTTATATTTAATTCGCTTTATAACATATTAGTACGTAAGTGGTCTAAATTGAAGACAGAAATTTTTGTCCTATTTTATGTTTTACTGAAAAGATAAGGTGTAAAGAAATGAATTTCACCTATAGTTGATAATAAAGTATTGATCCTAAAACAAATATTTTCAGTACAAAAGTCTTAGCGACTTAAATTAAATACCAGAATCCCGAATGAAACTCTAGAAACAAATAGTTTGTCGAAAAAGAATCATGAGTTCATCTGTGTTCATCACATAATTTTCATTGATCAAAAATAATGTATTCTAACTGGAATACTTACTTACTTACGCCTGTTACTCCTCGTGAAGGAGCATAGGCCACTCACCAGCATTCTCCATCCAACCCTGTCCTGGGCAATCCTTTCTAGCTCCGTCCAGTTGTAATTCATCCTTTTCATATCTGCTTCTATTATCCGACGCAATGTGTTCTTTGGCCTTCCTCTTTTTCGCTTCCCTTCAGGGTTCCAAGTTAGGGCTTGCCTCGTGATGCAGTTTGACGATTTGCGTAATGTATGTCCTATCCATTTCCATCGTCTTTTCCTAATTTCTTCTTCAGCTGGAAGTTGGTTTGTTCTCTCCCACAGAAGGCTATTGCTGATGGTATCCGGCCAGTGGATGTTGAGTATCTTGCGTAGGCAGCTATTTATAAATACTTGTACTTTCTTGATTGTGGTTGTTGTAGTTCTCCAAGTTTCAGCTCCATACAGTAGAACTGCCTTGACGTTCGTATTGAAGATTCTCACTTTGATATTGGTTGAAAGTTGTTTTGAGTTCCATATGTTCTTCAATTGTAGGAATGCGACCCTTGCTTTGCCGATCCTCGCCTTTACGTCTGCATCTGAACCTCCTTGTTCATCGATGATGCTTCCTAGGTATGTGAAGGACTCTACATCTTCCAGAGTTTCGCCATCAAGAGTGATTGGATTGCTGTTCTCCGCTTTGAATTTGAGGACCTTGGTTTTCCCTTTGTGTATGCTGAGGCCTACTGATGCAGAGACTGCTGCTACACTGGCTGTCTTCATCTGCATCTGTTCGTGTGTACGTGATAGGAGGGCTAGGTCGTCTGCGAAGTCCAAATCGTCTAATTGATTCTGAGCTGTCCATTGTATTCCGTGTTTTCCTTCAGATGTTGAGGTCTTCATAATCCAGTCGACCACCAGAAGAAAGAGGAAGGGAGAGAGTAAACAGCCTTGTCTGACTCCAGTCCTTACTTGGAATGCATCTGTCAGCTGTCCTCCATGCACTACTTTGCACTGTAGTCCGTCGTATGAGTTCCGGATAATGTTGACAATCTTCTCAGGAACTCCGTAGTGTCGAAGAAGTTTCCATAATGTCCTCCTATCTACACTGTCGAATGCCTTTTCATAATCAATGAAGTTGATGTATAGTGATGAGTTCCACTCAACTGATTGTTCGACGATGATCCGTAGTGTTGCAATTTGGTCTGTGCACGACCGATCCTTACGGAATCCAGCTTGTTGATCTCGAAGTTGGGCGTCTACTGCATCCTTCATCCGGTTCAGCAACACTCTGTTGAAGACTTTCCCTGGTATTGACAGTAGTGTAATGCCTCTGTAGTTTTCACATTTGCTCAGATCTCCTTTCTTTGGAATCTTGACGAGGTGTCCTTCTTTCCAGTCCATTGGCACTTGTTCCTCCTCCCAAATCTTTTTGAATAGAAGGTATAGCATGCTTGTGGTTGCTTCGATGTCTGATTTCAGTGCTTCAGCTGGTATGTTGTCGGGTCCTGCTGCTTTCCCGTTCTTGATTTGTCTGACGGCCATTCTAATTTCTTCCGTCGTTGGTGGGTTGACATCTATAGGAAGATCTATGTGTGCTGCTTCGATGTCCGGTGGATTCATTGGAGCCGGCCTATTCAGGAGTTCCTCGAAGTATTCTACCCATCTGTTACGCTGTTGTTGAATTTCGGTGATTGGCTTGCCTTCTTTGTCTTTGACCGGCCTCTCTGGTTTACTGTATTTCCCTGCTAGTTTCTTCGTTGTATCGTGAAGCTGTTTCATATTTCCTTCTCTAGCAGCTTTTTCTGCCGTCGTTGCTAGTTCTTCCACGTATTTCTTCTTGTCGGCTCTAATGCTCCTCTTCACTTGTTTGTTTGCTTCTATGTATTCAGCTTGTGCTTGGACTTTCTCTGCTCGTGTTCGGCTGTTGTTAATTGCTGCCTTCTTGTTCTTCCTTTCTTTGATCTTGTCCAGTGTTTCTATAGAGATCCATTCCTTATGATGGTGTTTCTTTAGGCCCAGAACCTCTTGACACGTTGAAGTTAATGCTTCCTTGATGCCTTTCCAGTTGTCCTCCATAGTAGTTTCTTCTTCTTTCAGTAGATCTTGTAAGGCTTGGAACCTGTTGTTGAGAGCTATCTTGAATTCATTGAGTTTGTCAGTATCTCGAAGGAAGGCTGTATTGAACCTTTGTAGTGCTGTTTGTCCACTTGTCCAGTTCTTTTTTAGCTTCAGTTTTAAATTGGCTACAACTAGGTGGTGATCTGAAGCTACGTCAGCACCTCTCCTGGTTCTCACATCTTCCATTGTCCTTCGGAATTTTTTGTTGATGCAAATATGATCTATTTGGTTCTCTGTAGTGTGGTCCGGTGAGATCCATGTAGCCTTGTGTATACGCTTGTGTGGAAATATTGTGCCTCCTATGACCAATTTGTTGAATGCACATAGATTTGCAAATCTTTCTCCATTTTCGTTTCTCTCTCCCAGTCCATGTCGTCCCATAATATCTTCATATCCGGTGTTGTCTATTCCGACTTTGGCATTTAGATCTCCCATCAGAATAGTTAGGTCCTTTCTTGGCATTTCTCAATGATTGACTGCAGCCGCTCGTAGAACTGATCTTTAATGTCGTCGTTGCTATCATTGGTGGGTGCATAACATTGGATAATATTCATTAAGATCCCCTCCTTCTTTGTTTTGAATGATGCTTTGATGATTCTGGATCCGTGAGACTCCCATCCTACAAGTGCATTTCGTGCTACTTTGGACAGCATAAGAGCGACTCCCTGAGTGTGTGGAGCATTGTCCTCCTCGTGACCGGAGTATAGCAGCATCTCTCCCGTAGCTAGCCTTTTCTGTCCAGCTTGGGTCCAGTGGGTTTCGCTGATTCCCAGTACTGCTAAGTTGTATCTCCTCATTTCCATTGCTATTTGACTGGTCTTCCCGGTTTCCCACATTGTTCGAACGTTCCATGTACCTATAAAAATTTTTGCTCTGGTTGTTAGAAGGGGCATCGGCCTCGTGGCTTCCGAAGGAACTCGGCTTTCACCATGAAGCGTCATAATTCTTCTAACTGAAGACCTTCTAACTCCCAGGGCAGAGTTTAAATGGTTTGGATTATTTTTTCTGGTAAGCGTTTTTTTAGCGAGTTAGTTTTCTACGGGATGGGGACGCTAACCCCATGCCCAACCCTCCTCCTTTATCCGGGCTTGGGACCGGCAGTAACCCTGTTAGAGCTACAGGCGGAGTTTTCTAACTGGAATATTTCCTACTATTCATCCTTTCATTAGTTTTTGTTTGCGACTACATGATAACGATCGATATGGAGTCATGAAAACTTAAAATTAATTGGAATCACGAACTGATCTAAGTTAGATGACGACTGAAGACCGTGACCAGTGGAGTTAAACTATGTCAGGTGTCAGGATATTACCCATCAAAGACAATGAACGATGGATGAATAATATGGTAGATCGATTAAAGATAAACTTGTATACTACTTGATGCCGGCTCAATGGTCTAAAAGTTAAGCGCTCACCCATGAGTTCGATTTCCTAGTACATAGTAATCCCATGCTAGGACAAAGCAGTCTTCCATTGCATCCAGGTTTGTAATGGTGGTCTAACTTAGATCAGTTCTTGATTCTAATGGGACACAATAAGTTACCTGAAGATATTTTCATTTTGGATACTAACAAAATTGAAGTAAAACTGATAACTAAGGATCAATTCCGGTAAGAGTTTATGAGTTGGAGATTAACATATACTACATTTTCAACCTAAAGTCAACTTGATAAAATTAATAATACATTGAATGCTTTTCATATTCACCTTTAGAAAGTTTACTACGACGTGAATTGATCTATTCCATTTATTAACTCTTAAAGTATACATGGAAAATAAAACCCGAAAAGCGATAGATACATTAACTTACGTGGATAATTAAAACATGAATATCAGTAATTAAAATTGAAAAATGTAAGCAAAAAGGCATAAAAATCATTTGACCAATAATTCAAACACAAACTAGTTTATGCCACTGACTGAAAATAAACTAAGATTACTTTTGTTGCATACACTATAGTATACACTATGAGATATTAAAAAATGACATTGTATCAGCCTTCACATTTGATAATTTCATTTGTGTATTTTGGTATTCGAGTTTTACGTTATTCAGTTAATCCATCTCACGTCAAATTAGCTAATCACTCTCGCTAACTGTAATTGAATAATCACCTTTTAATACTCACACCCCATTGAAACACTGTTTCCTGATTTTGCTTTACAAAAAAATACAATATTTTTAACTGCGGTAGTTCTTAAATCAATCCTACTTTAAAGTGCTTAAATGTTAACCAAAAAGTGTTTGAACATAAAGTATAGATGCATGGACCCTCTGTAATTAAACTGCTTGCAATAAAGTGAATTTAAGCAACGTTTCACTACAAGTTATTTTTTTTAACCACGAACTTGAATAAATAATCTCTTTATATTCATAGTACTGAGTAATTGTTTTATTAAACTAACTCATTAACCATGACTTTTCTATGTAGATCCTCCTGGTGCACCAGAAAATTGAATATTGATGAATATGATAAACGTTCAGTGAAATTATCTTGGAAACCCCCAGCAGACGATGGAGGTAACCCAATCAAAGGTAAGTAATTTGTAGATATATACTTTTTTTTAGCAAAAATATGTATTCTATAGTAAGGTTTTGGGGACAATTTTAGATTGTTTATTATGCAAGTTCACAGATTAGTGCTACAACAATGTGTCTGCAACAACCTTGTGTAAATAATTCTAGGTTTATATTATTGTCATATCTTCTTCATTTCTATAGTAAATACCTGAAAGATTAAAAAGATACATAACTAATGAGTGGCTATTTATCTTTTAACATTAATAATATTACTGAAGTTTTACTTTATAGTAGAGTAACATTTGTACGTTACATTTGAAATTTAGCCTTTTACTTTTAAATGTCCCTGATTGTTTCATATTTTTACTTTGTTCCATCAACATAAAGTCAGTACTTATCTGTTGACACATTAGAATATTCTCACTCAGAAACTTAAGTAATTAGTAGATTTTACACTTCTACGGTACTGAGTAACTGTGAAAAGTGGTTATGAATAGGAGAAGCTAGTAAGGTTAGGCCGGAAATACCAAAAGCAAAAACTGTCGCTTCAGTCCGACAATAATAATAATAATAAGCATTTTAGAGCGAAAAGGTGTTCATTAATTAATAAACTGATGACATCGTTCAAATATTTTCCTTCATTGCCTAAATACCTAATAGTAGAGACTATACGATTGTGTAAACCAATTATCAGGTTAAAAAACTTATAATTCACTTAACATTTTTCTTTATGTTGGCTGATGGGTAACTCACTGTCTATCAGTGCAATATTCACCATTACTAAAATTGTTCTATACCACAGTAGGATCATAATACCGAACTTTGTGATCTATCATCAATCAATAGTACTATAATACTAATCAGTTTGATTCTGATTATATCTTCAACGTATCGCAACTGTCGTTTACGCATCAACTCTATTGCGTTCACCGTTCTACTGTTTGTGCTCACAATCGGGAATCATCACAGTTCCCACGATGCGAAGTAAGAGTACAAAGGAATGATTCAATTAACGAGTCCCAAAAATCACATCGTCATTAGACCACAATGAAATCATTTGTAAACTAACTTTTACGAAAGTTCACATTTGTCACCCTGACCGAAATTCGTAATGAATTGATGCAAAAAATATTGACCTGAAAAATGTTATCTTTTTCTCTCGTCATATATCAGTTGTATAATCGGCTTTCTATTCAACTGATAACGTGACTGATTACAGTGATACATGGTAAGAATCCATTAATTAAAAAATAAGTACAGTTTATCGTTTGCAGATTATCTTTACAAAAGAATGTAAGTAGGGAACTAAGATCGTTTTTAACTAACCTCAACCAAATTTTATTGTAATCTTTATTGCCTCTCTCTATAATTGTAATTCTCTGTTTACAAAAATGACTAAAATAATTATGTTTCATCCTTACAGAAGTAAAACTGGCAGTCAATCGCTTGAAAGTTATCTTAAAATTGCTAGCTAAATCTCATGAAATAACCTCAAAATGATCAACTGTACATACTTTCTGAATTATTTCCTTAAAGGTTACCTAATTGAAAAACGATTACCTCGGGGTGAATGGCGTAAGGCGACAGGATCACTTGTCCCTGGCACAGAAGCAACAGTTACTGGAATAGAAGAGGGTCAAACCTACGAGTTTCGTGTCAGTGCTGTTAACGATGCTGGACCTGGTAAACCTTCTAAAGCAACTGAACCACATCTGGTCAGGGATCCAGTTTGTAAGTTAAATTAATAATTGAACCCTTAATTTAATATACTTACTATCTATTTATTATTTTAAAAAAATTTTTTTCATTTTTCTATCCATTTTATTACGATTTATTTTTACTGGTACCATGACCTCAGTCTCGTAGTAGACAAGAAATCTACTGACTACTGTGATGGAATTTAATGCTATGTGCTTCTAGTTCCAGTTAAATTTTGATATATATCTCAACGACCATTTAATATCATCAATGATAACTACCTCAATTTAGATATGGTTAAGCCTTATCAGTTATGAATCCTCACTAGAAATTGAAGAATACACGTCGGAGCTAGTCACTAATGATTGCATGAATGACGTTAAGCTGTTTTGGTAATTATTTCATTTCGAAAATAAACAAAAATATCTTCATTTGATACCGAATTCTAAACTAGTATTGAATCAACCTGGCTGGCTCTTATTGGGAGTTTATATTCGACAATCCTTAGATCGATAAGTCTTTTAAACGATCGAATACCAGATAGTGATTAATGAAATAAGCAAATAATAGGTATAGGTATCATGATCATTGAACATCTAGTAACTTAGTTTAATCAAATTCATTTAGCAATAGTGAATTAAGAACACTGTGTTCACGAAATATTTAGTTGAATGAAGCTATCAGTGTGGCGCATGCTACTTATGTTGAGAGATATAAGTATTATGTAGCACAAATCGGAAGTGGAATACCTGATAGCGGAATATTGCAATGAAGAGAACAGGATGGAAATCGGGAAGCATTCAAAATAACAACAGAATTAAAGAAATAATGGAGTATGTAAAGGACAATGAGAAGATGTGCAAATCATGTATTTAATGTATGATTTTCATATTTTACTAAGCCACCGTTTGATATTGCGCTAAACAGCAAATTGGTTTTTCCCGCCTGAGTTTTCGTTCACTTCATCAGTTCATGCAGTGATACAAAGAACATCAACTAATATGATATTATCATCTTTAAATATCAACCACTTCTCATTATGTTATTATGATTGATAAAAATATTTCATACAGTAGCTGAAATTGTAACATTAATCTTTAATGACTGCGGATCGTGGAATTCTGGCTTCATGCTTCGTTCTATGTGACATTGACTCATATTTATTTTTAACCATAAGAACAGCTGCTACAGATTTATCCATATCACTTCTGCAAATGAGGATATTCATTGACTTACTATCAACGTATTATGTGAAATATTTATGATGTAATATTCTATGTACACATTAAGGTGAACATTTGTATTGAAAGAATAGATTAGTCGAACAACATCCAACAAACAGTTACACAATAGATTGACGTAAAAAAATAAATTAGGCATAACAAGTACAGTAATATCAATTTCGGTAATAACAAGCATGAACGAATAAGAAATATTCCAAATGACCTTTTCCTAATATTATCAATGATGTTATTCTTTTGTTAGTAATCTGTGGCATTTAAGATTCAATCGGTGTAGAGTTGACTATTTCCAATTTACAACATGGATTATTTCAACTTTAGTATTTTGTCTTTTGTACCCCAAACATAATAATTTTGGATTTATAAATTTAGAACCTGAAAGCAAAGATAGATAGATAGATAGATAGATAGATAGATAGATAGATAGATAGATAGATAGATAGATAGATAGATAGATAGATAGATAGATAGACAGATAGATAGATAGATAGATAGATAGATAGATAGATAGATAGATAGATAGATAGATAGATAGATAGATAGATAGATAGATAGATAGATAGATAGATAGATAGATAGATAGATAGATAGATAGATAGATAGATAGATAGATAGATAGATAGATAGATAGATAGATAGATAGATAGATAGATAGATAGATAGATAGATAGATAGATAGATAGATAGATAGATAGATAGATAGATAGATAGATAGATAGATAGATAGATAGATAGATAGATAGATAGATAGATAGATAGATAGATAGATAGATAGATAGATAGATAGATAGATAGATAGATAGATAGATAGATAGATAGATAGATAGATAGATAGATAGATAGATAGATAGATAGATAGATAGATAGATAGATAGATAGATAGATAGATAGATAGATAGATAGATAGATAGATAGATAGATAGATAGATAGATAGATAGATAGATAGATAGATAGATAGATAGATAGATAGATAGATAGATAGATAGATAGATAGATAGATAGATAGATAGATAGATAGATAGATAGATAGATAGATAGATAGATAAAGGGGAGAGAAAGAGAGGAAAAGAGATTTAATAAGTACTTTCGATCATACAATAAGAGATGTCTATCATACTCACTTATCAATTTGTGGTAAATCACTAAAAACCTTCAAAAATCAACTTCAACATTCGCAATATAACTTCCTATTTTAAATATCTGTATTGCATATTTTATAAGACACCTAATTATTCTAAGAATCGAAACCTAATTGATCAACTTTTTCATTTGTATAATGACTGTATAATGATTGAATATGTGAAAGTATGAAATAAAAATTAGTAATTTAATTAAGAAGTTTTACAATATCAGTCTACTCGTGATAAACGTTCATTATTCTCTACAAAATGTGTTATGAAAGCTTTTAGTTAGAGCAAGCGGTATACATTTTCAACTAAACTGTTCAAAAGATGTAAAAGTAAAATTTCAACTGATTAAATTGTACAATAAATCCATAGCTGTCTCATCTGACACAACATCTTGAAAATTTCAATACTGAAATCTTGATCAGTGTTTGTTTACAATTTGATGTTTAAATCTAGATCCACCTGGACCACCTGAAGGGTTGAATGTGGAAAAGGCTAATAAAAATGGTGTCAAACTTTCTTGGAACAAACCACGACGTGATGGTAATGCACCAGTCACTGGTTATGTAGTAGAAAAGAAAGGGGATGATGATCAATGGATTCCTGTTCAGAATACAACTAATCCATGCGCATTTGTCCCGATGAAAGAAGGAGAAACAGGGCAATTTAGAGTTCGAGCAGTCAATTCAGAAGGACCAGGAGAGCCAACAAAACCGACAGCTGTAATCACTGCTGTAGATCCACCTGAACCTCCAAGAATATGTACACCTGAAGAGGGAGTTGGAGGTCCTGGCTCTGGAGTAGGTGGGCTGAAAGATATTACGCTCAAGGTAAGTATCCTCGTGAAAAAATAATTCTAATAAGGTTGAACGCAGTAAAAACCTCAAATGATTAACTGATAATCATTTGCATTTTCAGGCTGGTCAAGAGTTGTTATTAGCTGCGGCTTGGTTTGGAAGTCCTAAACCAAATCCTACATGGACACTAAATGAGAAAGTTGTCAAACCAGATGGCAAACTTATCCAAATCTCAGATGAACCTCCACCACCACCTGCCAACCCTGGTCCTGGCGGAGCATCAGAACAATCTTCCGGTGGAACAGCTGTTCTTCGAATTCCAAAGGCACGTCGAAGTGATGGCGGTAACTATGAATTGATCCTAACGAATGATCTTGGACAAGTCAAGACATCTTGTCATGTTGAAGTTCTAGGTATGCATTTTGTAAATGTGAAAAATGATAATCATGATTATTATATTAACAACTTCTAGCCTACCATCGTTTTTTATATACTTGAAAGTTATACGCTCATTGAAATTTCTTAAAAACAATAGAACCTCATCTGCGTGAATAATATAGCTATATTGTTCCCTTATTGGGTTACATTTGTATAAAGTGTTTCGATTTCAAACTAATGTGATGCGAATGTAAAGCGATGAATAAAACAGTAAAACTTTTAGTAATCTGCAATACTTCTGTTGTTATTCACACATGCTGTCGTTATTCTTCACAAACTAATTAACTCCCACTTTAACATATCAGTTTTCTACCGAATTCAGAGTATACAGTGTTTCAGTTTACTGAACACTGTCATTTAACATAGAGACTCAATATGTATTCACTTTACAATGAGAGTGAACTAAATCAATGTGTGATACAATAAAAATACCCAAAACGTAAAATTACACAAGTCCATTACACTGTATGATAATATATTCACAAATAAAAGGATTATTAGTGTTCCACGTGTAATTATTTCATGACATAACATAAAGCATCTATTAGTGAAATACTTCGTAAACTAGTACACCTAGTGTAAAAAATCCAGTCTGTCGGTCTGTGTAGGGCGAGAGAGAGAGAGGCAATTGAATTCATACTGATTGTCTTGTCTTTTTATTCAATTTACACGTTACATTTAACAAAATTTGAAATTTCTACATTAATTACCGGTCAAATTTCGTTGATGTTATTCCTATTCATCATTCTTTTTTACTTCTTAAAAATAATTATTTTCAGACGTCCCTGGACCTCCAGAAGGGCCTTTAGAAGCAATTGATGTGAATGCTGAAGAAATTACACTTAAATGGAAACCTCCATTAGATGATGGGGGACAACCAATTTCAAATTATATTCTTGAAAAACGAGTTAAAGGAAGTGATAAGTAAGTACACTCTTACAAAATCTATATGAGTATTTAAAAAATGAGAACAGCACGATTACTGAATGACTGTACGAATGATGATACTATGCACAATGGTGGTCTTGTGGTTAAACTACTTGACTTTTAGCCACACGGCTGCAATTTTGTTCTTCACTTCGCTTTAAATAACCATCTGGTACTATTAGACCTCATATAGAAAACCCAGCTCTAAACAAAGTATATAAAAATGTATTGTTAATTGAATTCTATAGTGATATTAACCTCAACCAGAAAAATCCAGACAAGCTAAAACTGTTTCAGGTATTAAAGTTAGTATGATTATCTTCATGTTAGGATATTAACTTTACTAATCGACACTAGTGAGCATAAAATCTAAGCTCGGTACCGACTCGTAATTACCATGAAACATCTGATATTTAACAATCAATCACATAAATAAAATAAAATGTGACCGAGTCAAAAATACAAAAGATCATTTAAGGTCATCACATGTACTAATAAAAATTTAAATATTACCGGGGTGGGTTTTTACTTTCAGTCAAATCGCTCAAACATTATCATTGAGATTTCAACATTAAAATAATCTCTATCGATCTCATAACATAAAGCTTTAGTATAATTCCCGTAAACTCCCTTGCTCCTTCATGGAGTGCATCTTTTCTATGAAGATCATCAACTTTGAAATAGAATTATTGTTATGTTCAAGCTTAGTACAAAACCTTTATTATTAAAAGAATGTATAAATATGGTACTGATGAAGTTAATTTATTACATTTCAATTAAAATAAATCTGAATGGAGCTTTGCGAAGACTGTAGTAATTAAATAGTTGAATTCATGAGTCGTTTTAAGCTAGATCATCATTGGAAACCAGGAAGCACTGGACGGCTTTTTCATCCTAGTACAGGACTCCTCAACAGTGTACTCATACTAAGACGAAACGGCCATCTAGTGCTTTCAGGTTTTCAGTGGTGATCTAGCTTAAATCGATTCATGGATTCAACTATAAACTAAATATGTAGATTGTACAGAATTTCGACTTTCGCTAAATATTTATCATAAATATTTAGTTTTAAAAATGTTTTTCTAAACATAATTTACTCTCCTACAAGATATTTTTAAATTTCTTATCAAATTCTAGTTGGCAGAAAGTTAGTGCTTTCTTGAATTCACCAAATGCAACTGTTAAAAATTTAGAAGTTGGACAAGAGTATGAATTTAGAGTGATGGCTGAAAAATCCTATGGGTGTTAGTGAACCACTTTTAACAACTAAAGCTATTAAAGCAAGACACCCTTATGGTAAGTAATAAACTTTAATCTGAATGATGGATTATTGATTTTTTTCAATAATTCATCGTTAATAATATTTTATTTCCATCAATATTAATGGATGATTATGATCAACCAGAATGATCAAACACGTTTATGACATTTCATTAAAAATATATTATCAAATCAGAACTAATGAAGAAATAAGGCTACTTGGTGAGACATTAGCATTTACACACCACTGTTCAAAAAGAAATAGTTAGTTGTTATTCTCAAAGATTGTTCTCTCTGATACTGGCCATTGATCCATCAAACGAATGTGAAGCAAACAATGAAAACATCTGGCAGTGTTGAGGGCTTTTCAGTATGTACCTAGTCTGTGACAGAAAATCAAGAAACTATTTTCAGTTTTTTTAGCCAATGCGCTAAATTTTCAAAAAACAAACTCATCTTTGTAATGCGTTTTATCCAATACAGATCCACCTTCAGGTATGAAGAAACCTATCATCGAAACTACAACTGATGACTCGGTAACTTTATCTTGGGAACCACCAATGAAAGGTCCAACCACTGGTTATATTGTAGAAAAAGACCAAAAGGTTCCAGAGAATGGACAAAGTAAGTAATCACCTAATAATTATTCCTTTTTTAATCGATTACAGTGTGTATTTGATTAGTGCACACTGTGATTACTTTGCCATTTCTCTAACTCTCTGAAGATTTAGGAATGTTTTATTTGTTCCAGTTGAAAAATCGTGTTAACATCAGATCGAGAATATAATAATCCCACTGAATCAACAACCCGCACTCTATCAATCTTAGAAACATTTTTCAATCGATAAGTCATGACAACTTCCAAAAAATACTTCGACTTCACCCTAATCTCAGATTATTCAATCCAGTTATTACATAAACAAAATAGTTCATCATACCAAAATCTCAGTCAAACATTTTTCATTTTAGTGATAGCTTCTGACAGATTTGTAGACAGATCCGAATGTTGAAAATGTGAGATCACAATTCGACAATGAATGTTCTACAATCCTGAATAAACTGGGTCAACAAATGCTGTTACTATGCATGAAAACGAATCTGCAGACAAAGACGATAGCACGAGCTTTGAAAGATCACTACTTAGAAAGATTAATTGTAATGTAATGTATGGAAACAAAATTAATTTTGATAGGCCAGCATCAAGTTTGATAAGGGATTATTGTCAGTGTGCTACAGGCCTAACTATAAAAATATTAATAATAATTAGGGATTTAATTACTAGTACATGCATCATATACAACCCATGTCACCCCATTTTCTTTGGAAAATGTTTCGAGGGCAAACAACTAAAACCATTAATCTTCCTACAATTCACTTAATTATAGATCAAATTAAACAAGTTGATGGTAATCTGAACAACTCTAAAACGAATAGTTTTTTCTGATCGAATATCAAGTTCCAACTGATTGATGAATAACATACACGTCCAGCTGACCAATTTATTAGATGGAATTTGGTGAGGACTACTTTCACAAAATTTGTATACGGTGGCACTATTACTAACAAAACTTCCGTTGATGCGGACAAGCATGAGCAGAAAGAATATTCCAATCAGGATAATGAGTTTGTAGATTCTGCAGTTAGAGAAGTAATTTATTAACGTGTCTAAATGACTCAGTTAATCAACCTTCACGGAAATACGTTCAGTAACGGAGATTTTTCTCATTAAATACTGACTATTTACAGCAGAAATACTTTATAAGTGATGCACTAAATGGGGCAGAAATTAACATACTCTAAAGATAAATTATTCAAAATCATATTACCGTAACTGATGTTCACTGAAAGTAATCACACGACTTATTGCTACCGTTTCGACTCTATTATTTAGCCCGAAAATATACAGATTTGAGGTTGTAACTGACACTTATTGGATATAATTTAAGCTTTTAGCATGCAAAACTGAGTAAGTGAAAATTCTACCAAGTTTCAACTATATCGAGCTGATATGTTATTGAAACTCGCCATACTACTAAAGTTTATTTAGTAGGTAATTAACAAAATCTAGTATTTTTCAGAATTGAAATAAAAAAAATATGTAATTTTGAAACATATTATGTCCACCATCATTTGGTATATTTATTTATCATAACTAACATCATAATTTTAATTGTAGAGCGAATACAGGCAATGTAACAGGTACTGAGTACACTGTGAAAGGTTTACCGAAAGGAAAAGAATTTGAATTTCGTATTGTACCATACAATTTGGCTGGTAATGGTGAACCAAGTGAACCAACAGAACTAATCAAAGTTCAATTCCCAATAAGTAAGCAGTGATAATGTTTCAATTATGAATTCAATTAAATTAACGCTTTTGTGATAACATAATACTGACTTTCGATAAAGTTAAAGTTGTTTGTCATCTTAATTGAATATCAATCACGCAAGCAATGAAATTCCTCCAATACTGGATTGATTTTTTTTCTATGCACTAGTTCATTACTAGAAGTCTATGAATTGTCTTATTTGGAAACGTTGACCTAAGTAAAATCTTTGTCAGCTAGTTTCAAAAAATGTATACTCTACAAGAAGCATTGAAGATATCGTTTCTATCCTAAGGTTAACTAGCCATCATTTTGTCACTCATTGGACAGAGGTCATTTTGTGAGTAAATAAGTAATAACCATGATGATAATAAATTTAATCCTTACTTGAAAGCGTTGGATTATTATTTCAACAATTCTTAAGATACTTCATTTACCTATAGATATCCAACAGGTTACAAAATCACAACTTGATAATGTATATAATATGTAATGAAAACTTCAATACTAGTCACGATTATTATCCCAGTAATAACATCATTAACTAATTATTGTATAAAAATAGAACATTATAACATCCAATTCAATGTCCATGATCTAGTATGTAAATTGTTATCTATCTTGAAATTATGAAAAATTGAACAACTGAAGAAAATCACATCAACTATGTCACTTTCTCTTCCCTCTGTTCTCCCCTCACCCACATCGCTATTATGCATAGTAGAATGTCCGAAAGATAAATGTATAAGATCAAATAAAATTATCTTTATCATTAGTCATTTTTCATTAAACTAACAAAAATGTAATAACCATATCTGCAAATATACATCGAGACACAAACATACACATAACAGAGAGGAAAGCGAATAGCTTCGTACGTAAAATATATTCTGAAACTTATATATCAGATATGATAAGATGACAGTTTTATTTTTGATTACGTTAAATAACATAGAAAAGCTTATTGGTTCTATTTCTAGATTTTATTGATTTCCAAATGTATTTGTTGATTACATGCGAAATTCTACCGAATGCCCAAATTTTAAATTTTATAACCTTTTTACTTGAATGTGTCAGTGGCCCGATATTTGATTACAGTTGGACTGTATGATGATTGTCATAGAAATATACATGTCACTAATCCTCATATACAATTATCGTTTTAACTTCAGTTAGTGAGTAACGGAATTAAATAAGTGAAATACAAGAATAAATTTCGAATGCGTATATTTCATGCAATCACTGATATGAACAGACAGTCAGGGAGACGGGGAGAAGGAAACGAAGAGGAGAGTGAGGAGCGAAACTATGTGATGCACAGTGGAGAAGGCACGTGAGCCAACTCTATTTAACCGAGCGTGAATCGATATTTATAGTCACACAAAAATAAGTTACAGGCATGTGATTAGTAAGCATAACGAATGCTTGCACATGAAACAATCAAGTCTGATATGCGAACGATTAACAAGGTCAAAATGTGACTCAAGAAGAATGAATAAATTGGACTATCTGGAAGCTAGAATAAGCTATGTGGACTTGACATAGTAACCGACACTACAAATGTATACCGTGATGTAGAAATAAGTGATATATTCAACTCGTAATCGCGTTGGACAGATGATTGAATTATGGAAACTATGATGTATTGATGCAGGAAACATCTATATTTGTTTGTTTTTTGAATTATATTTTGTATTTTTGTGCTATTTTACCGAACAAAAATAACCTTGCTTGCTGGCAACTTGTGTCCATTTTGGAACCAGTTCATTTTGACAGATCGTGCCTTCAGACGAGTTCCTCCAGTAATCATCATTCGACCTCTTTACGTTGGTTCATACAATTTATTGGTCGATAGTTTACTACAGTACCTTATTTTTATTAAAGTGAACATTATTATCATTTTGGGTCAGTGAATGAAACAATTCTCAAATTATACCCAGTTTTAATTTTTCCTCTTCAAGTTCCTCGTAAGCAATCGACACTACCTCTGATGTTAATTCTTCAACCACTAAATATTTAATTCTGTCCTGGCACATAAATCAAAAACAGTGCTCAGAGGGGTTTATCCTAGCCTGGTTACAGAAATTTGTTGGTTTGTATATGAAAAATAGTCATTCAGTATATGAATAACACTATTCTTTCTCGTTTGAAAGACCGTGAATACCATATCAAGATAGTGGAGTCTTCTCTAGTTTACTACTAGAATCTGATTAATTTACTAATGGATGTTAAGAATGGGCATCCACTTCATTAATCGGAAGAACCCAAACCTTAGTATTTAAAAGGGATGTATTCAGTCTTTCAGTTCAAACTAACTCACTATAGTCATTTCATCTATAAATTAATTATCTAGATTAGACATACATAAGTCTTTGCTACCACTTCCTTCAGTGTACATTTCTATCCTTCCCCCTTACCATAAAATATTCTTAAATGAGGATTCATTTTCCTTAATTTATAAACATTATTATTATTATCAAAACCACTACATCGTGTTTTCATGGTTTGTGTTAAAGCTATTGATTAAGACCCAGGATCTTAAAGTGTCTATTTTCCTTATCCCTTTCAACTTCGTAAATGACAATTCCTAAATATTTGAAATCACCTATTTCCAAGTCAAAAACCATGACTAAATCAGACCAACGTTTTATGTCTCCTCAAATATACTGGCTAATGTACAGCAATAATCAAAGATTTATAACTGTTGGGTTCGAAATACAAAATCACTGAACAGTTTTTTGTCATTATATCCCCTGGTTTAATATTAAACTATTTAAATCACTCACAAATGTATCAAGTAATCTATCATAAATACAATACCCCAAAGAAATTTATCAACATGATATCGTTTAAACGGTCAATATTGATAACCTGTATATTAAGGGTCTTGATACGTTTTAATAACGTTTATTTTACTGTTCGATTATCAGCTCCACCAAAAATAGGACGTAATGTACCACGTGAAGTGACTGGACGTGTTGGAGAACCATTTAAAATTCATGTACCTTTTACTGGAAGTCCACCAGATAAAGTGGAAGTGACTAAGGTAAATTAATTTCAATAAATCCTATGCTATCTCTTTTTTGGAACATATATTTGTTCATTAAATGGTCCACATTTCCAACTTTAGTTAACTAATATATTTATGATTTGATTATAACCCAGTGGTCGAATTGCCAAGTATTAGCTGAGTGATCTGAATGTCATGGTTTCATTCCCTGTCAGAGTCATGATTGAGCACTGCTGAAGAACCTTACACTGGGACTAAATGACTGCCCATTAGTGACGTAAATAAATCCACTCAGATAACTACCGAAATACAAAGCGCACTAAACATGGTAATCGTAATATATTGTGCCTAATTCTGGGTAGGGACGTTAGGGAATACTGCTGAACAACCCATCCAGTGACCATTGATTTTCAATGCTTTTTTTGCAGATATGTGCCAATTATGAAATTTAAACAATGCTTTAGATGTATCACTTATTTAAGAATCAACCCAATAACTTTGAGCTCTTATGGAAACGCACACTTTTAGGCAGTCAAATAATTCACACGACAACCACAAATTGCGTGATCTATCTGCATAAGATTTCGTACCATAGATATTAACGTTATCGTCAATCTGATCCACTTCAGAAAGTGTCAGAATATTATGTCTTATATATAAGGCATTTTTTAACTAATATTTTATCGGGAGAGGTTTTGTGGAGATTTTTAGAAGTTTCAATGGCTGAAATCACGAGTCAACTGAAGCTAGACCACCATGGAAAACCTGAAATTTCGCAGGAGGCGGGATTGTGGATGCTCACTGCCGAGGAGTCCCATGCTAGGATGAAACGGCCTTCCAGGTTTTCCATGGTGGTCAAGATTCAATTGACTCATGATTTCAACTATTATTAATATCTTCTTAATTGAAACAGAATAGGAAAATATCTTGATGAGGGGTATATAATATTAGTATTTTCTAATGTGGAAATTTATTTTCCAAAAACTTCGAATGTAGAAATATTCACTATCACTTACCACAAGTCATGCTTTAAATTGAGCTATTTAAGAACGGAAAGAAATCTGGGTAACAATAATTATTTGGCTGAATTCTTGAGTCAATTTAAGCTAAACCACCATTGAAAACATTGTCTAACTTAAATTAACCCATGAATTCAACCATTAAAATTACTACAATCTCCATAAACCCCTATTCTGATAATAATTATTTACGTTATCAGCATTATCAGTATAACTTACCTTAAACGATAATAATAGTTCTCAATAAACTGTAGAAAATCTACTCATCTTAGAAATCACTTGTAAAAAACATGATTACAATGAATCAAGTCGATAGTCATTTGCTGAAAACCAGGTTATTAGATATAAACATAAATATAAAAGCATGAAATAACTAATTTTGTGATTTGCTATTAATTTCAGTTCTTTCTATTATGTTACTGATTATGTGTGACTTTTGAAATCTGAGAGAAAAAGGAAAACTGGACCCATAATTGATAGATGAACCCAATGTCCTGTTTTTGTCCTTAAAACTGATTTTAGGTTGTATATAATTAAGACATTTATTATACAAAGTAGACTGGAGTAAACTTCTCGGAATTTTCTACTAGATTTTGTAAATGCTATTAAAAGAAGAATCTGAGCCTGACTGCTCATAATCTACATATTGTAAAATAGGGAATGTCATTGATCTATGTTGTCCTTTTGAAAAAAATGTTGAGTGATGTTCCCGAGTGCAGAAATAAGGAGTCATTAACAAACGACATCCGGATACAGTTCCAAATGAGCAGCTGAAATGATGTATGAATACTGAATTATTCAGAGACTAAAAACATAGTTCTGAAGGATATACAGCTTCTAAACCTCTGTGAGATATTAATGTTACTGTAACTGTATGAGTATGTCAACATGCAACAGATTTCATACAGAAAATTTTTGTAAAACCTACAGTAGCCACCATCTTATTTGCCTACGCATGAAGAGTTGAACGAATGAAAATATTTTCTCTGAACTGACAGTAGTTGCGATCTCTTAAAGAAATCTTCAGTCAATCAAATTATGCCACCAGTAAGCACCATATGACATTTTTAACTGGTAATTACCTAGTCCATCCACTCAGAGGAGATATGCACTTGAAATGTAGGTTGCGTTCTTTTCTTTAAACCGACTAATTCGCGACATAACATCTCCATGGAATTAATAAAGACTTGAGTAAATCAAATATATATATATCGATGAAATGTGCTTATCAGAGGATAGGAACTTAGAACATAATATCAATGTTTATACGTATCATGGAAAAACTAACCACTGTAATCAGCGATTATGGATATTTAAGTAGCATACTGGTTAAATCAGACATTTACAGAATTATCATTATAATAACATGTATAGTTTTAAGAAAAACACCGTGTATAAAGTTATGTCATAATTTTTTTTTAAAGGACAGTATTCACTTATGAAACCAGTTTGTAGTGGAAAATTTCAGCTAGAAAATTTGTTTTCAAATGTTTTCCTCATAGTTCTGCACTAATGTTTCCATTCTCGATTTTAATCAAAAACAACACACATTTTTTTCTAATTGTAATTATTTCACCTTATCGTTAAGAATGGAATCCCTGTATCACTTGAAGGTGGTCGTTTCAAAGTGGAAATCACTCCTGACGAAGTTATCATTACGGATAAAGAAGCAGAGAAAAATGATGGAGGCTTGTATAAAATTGATTTGGAAAATGAGAAAGGTCGTGATTCAGCTCCTGTCAATGTAAAAGTTGTAGGACCACCTGAACCACCTCAAGGACCATTGGAAATTAGTCACATCAAAAATAATTCATGTTCATTAAGTTGGAATCCGCCAACAGTAAGTAATTGGATAAATCTTTATCAATATTTCCTTAGTTATAAATTGTAAACATTACTAATTAATCATAATTCCTAATATTTATTAATATGATAATCATTTCTAATGAAAGTTAAAAGTCGGTCGTAAAAGGAAAATAAAATTGGTTTTGAATCCACTTATTCATTGATTTGTACTAACTTGTTTCTAACTGTAAAGAGATTAACGAAATATAGTGAATTTGTCGGTTAAGAGTCTAAATTAACTAATAGGAACGTATTATATGCATCGATCGATCGTACTAAAGAGAGTTAAAAGAAAGTACATAATTTCACAGTGTTATTTTCATCTTAGCAAATGGATAATAGAGATTCAGCCATCTGTTTGATTTATGACCGCCTTTTACTTTTACAAATATCAATTACCAAAGGTCAAACAATGTGACCCTATAAATTATGACAAAGAATGTCTGACGTCAATCGTTGAAAAATCCACCTGTGTATATAATCTGCAACCAAGTTACCTGTACAAATGGATTGACTAACAACATCTCGTAATCGTCAGTCTCACATCATAAACTTATGTTTAACAGGTCATCAATGTGTCCGATCACCAAAGGACCGCAGAATGTGGTGTTGCATGTTACTCATCTAAACTCTATACCTATTTATTTAAACAGCGTTATAAAAATAGCTTAACAAAACATATGACAGACGAAGCATTCTAATCTTACTAAACATTCAGAATCCATCCGTAATATTAGCTAATAACCTTTAATCAAATACGTTTTCAGATATTTTCTCTCTCAAAAATGTTAATCATATTGTATTATGTGGGTGTAATTATCGCTCCTAAATAATGTAGCTTTCCCAGATTTATTCATGTATGTCATTGTATATGTCCCTACATATCTTAGACATTATTTGATTAAAAACGTTGTCACACTTAACTAAGCGTCTTTTGGTTACCAATATTCATAGTTCACATTATACCCATCTATTCATTCAGTTAATTTATCTGTCTATAAAAATACATGAGCTACATAAATCCGAAGAACTTATACTTCTACTTTTCGATGTAAATTTATTATAAACATGCAAAGTTTAAAGAATATGTTAATTAGAATCAATACTTCATCGTCATCTTCATTAAAGTCAAAAAGCTACCACATTAGCGCTCCATGGTCGTCTAGGTGCATTCAACTTTCCAAAGCCTTTCTGTGGCATGAATTATCGATTTCAACATATTTGAAATAACCATTTCAGAACTAGACTCATTAATTTTACTTACATTATCTTTTTCGATATTATTTAATTTTTTATTCAACAGGATAATGGTGGAAGTCCAATAACAAATTATATTGTTGAAAAACAAAATACTAAAACCGGTGATTGGAGTGTCGTCAACTCATTTGTTCGCACACCGAACTGCGATGTAACTGGCTTGGATGAAGGTAATATGTACCGATTTCGTGTACGTGCAGCTAATGAAATCGGTGTAAGTGAACCTCTAGATGCGGACAGAGCAATAGTTGCAGAAAATCCCTCAAGTGAGTCCATTTATATATATACTAAGCTTTTAACTCATGATATACCACCAAGTGATTATTACCACAAATTGTCAATCATTCAACGTCCAAGGCAATCATAAAGTAATTCATGAATACTAAATTCTCTTGTCATAGAATTCATGAGTGCCATCTACCATTAAACTCAGAATAACTTATCCAGAAGTCCCTTAATTTCTATTGCTTACTTCAAACATATTCATTTTTTAATCTTTTGTTGAAACCACCCGGAAATTTCTTTTAAAAAATGATTACATTCCTTTTGATCACGCAAAATGTTCCTGTTTAGCACTTTTTTGATCTCGAACGTCACAGGATTATAATCTTTTCTATAAACTAAACCGTTAAGATTAAATCAATCTTAATATATTTCCTGATTGATTTCATTTTCTTATTACCTGTGTAAAGTAAGATTTCTAGACAAAGATTTAAAGTTTACATGTTAATTAATCATATTACCATACAGTTATCCACATCCATTAATGTATAAGCTTTATGATGTAAAAATAAACTCAAATAAAATGCTTCCGCTTTAATATTTCCTCCCAACAATCCTTCATTGGAATACAAATACTGTTCACAACTTACCGAATATTTATCCCATCAACAATCTAGCTTCAAGATGACATCACTGAAATCGTATTAGAATATTTCACTCAAGGCCTTCAACGTAACAGATAGTTCGAAACATAACTTAGAATCTGGACTATATATCTGGTTATTCTATTCAAAGACATCACGATAACTTTTCTTCAAAGAAAAATTCATTCTTCAAAATACCTTTAATACTATTCCATACCAATAGTTTGCTAAGTAAAATAACGTCGATGAGAAATGATAGTTAAACTAACTACAAATTTCATAGATATATTTATTTCAGAGAAATATTATCCTTGATACTTAATCCTTTTAAAATTACGTAATAAATATAATTAGTTTATGAAATATGATGTCAGCTATAGAGAAAGTAGACGTAATAAATTTCTCCTTATGATAAGTATTATTGATAATTTGAAAAATATATATTCTACCTAATAATGTAAATTTCAATATATACTTTTAGCTGTACCTGGAGCTCCTGGAAATCTTACACCAGCAGATGTGGATGCTAATAAAGTGACATTAGAATGGACTAAACCTAAATCAGATGGAGGACGTCGTATTATAGGCTATGTAGTTGAATATAAACCTGTAAATTCGGATGAATGGCGTTCAGCTCCAGAAGGATTAGTCAAGGGTAATTCTACAACTGGTAAGTATTTATCCTGTGAAGAATAATTAAAATGTAACTGTACATATTTAATTATGCATAACAGATAAATATTCAGAATGAATGGAAATTCCTAGTTAAATACCTTAAGTGGAAAGTGTTCATTAGTGTATTTTAACAAATTACTACTATTATCGCTAATCTCTATTTCCACGCAGAAGATAAACCAAACACGTAACTGTAGACAGAAATAAGTAGTAGGTCATTTTCATATGAATCTTGACTTATAAATCAATATCTGTCAAATCTTGACCAAAATTCAAACAGACTATTGTTCTAACTACATAATATGATAATAATATGTTTAAACGAATAAACATGGAGTGAAAGAGCTGTCAAATTAACTTACTACTCATCAGTATAGCAAAAAATGATTATTCCTTTAGTGAAAATCTAACAAACAGTTTGATCCAATCCTGTGTTTTGCCATGAATGTGGACTGCTGACATTTTAAAAATAGGAATAAAAACAATCACTCGATATGACAGTTTTCTATGACCCTTCAGCTTATGAGAGTTCATGTTTAAATCTTTATTATAATTAAACAAATCACTCTTAAAACTGTTTAAATGAATTGAACCTTATTGAAACCATGAACCAATCAATTTTAAACCACTAATAAAAATCTGGAAGCACTATACGACAGTCTTGTCCTAGTATAAGACTCCCCAGTAGTGCGCATCCACGATCGCACACACGGGACTCAAAAAAAGGACCTTCGGTCTCGCGCGCGAACTCTTAACCTCTAACCACTGAGCCGTAATCCAACAGTGTTAATGTCTAAAGCCAACCAATCAACGATGTTGCGCGACGTTTTCTGTTTTCTTTGATGGGTAACTGTTTCACGCCCAACACGGTTGAACTCCACTGGTGATGGCTTCTCACTAGAACTCCAAGCATTCCCTCAGAATATTTGACGTCTTAATAATTCTGATTATTCATTAGAAACAAAATATTATTACTCTAGCTAATTCCAAAGGTAAAATTGTTGACAGAAATAAATGAGTCAATTCCTAGAGAAACGGATACCAGTTGCATTGTTTATTACTACTACTTATTTGGATTGGAACTAGTTAATATACCTAACCAGTGTAACTAATTTATTCTTAGTCGTTGAATAGTTATTGCATGACTAATAAAGTTATGCTAACAGATGATGACAGTGATTAGAGAAGTAATCTATGTAAGATAAATAATGTGAGTAATACATAAGAAAATTATTTTTATATATTCAGTTTATCCCATTTTAACTTCCCAGAATATTGATTAGACGACACATAAAACACCAAGTCTTAAACACTTCATTTACCTACTTTAGTGGATCATTGATAGTACAATATTATATGATTACTTTTGCGATTAACGTAAGCACTAGCATTAATAAATAGTATTCTAAAAGTTAGACGTTATCTAAGCACAACAAGCTTCGCTAATACAAATATGTACAACATGGACTTCTATATGAATTCCAAGGACACTGTAAATGCCAAGGTTATCAAGGCGCTTAAAAACTGATTAATAAATCCTCTAATCCAATTCAGTACATTTGAATCAAAATAATTTTAATAAATCATAAGTGTATCACAAATTGGAAATAAATGATAAACTAGTTCTCTTTTTTCCTTGATAAAACTAATTCCTACAAATTGACATTTCTGTTGGTTATATCTGTATTTGTTATTATTGTTATTTGTGTTTAGTCGATGGACTTAAGAAAGGAGAAAAATATCTATTTCGAGTTTGTGCTAAAAATGAGGTTGGACTTAGTGAACCGTGTACAGCTAACAGACCAGTTGAATGCAAGCCTAAATTCAGTAAGTAGTATATATTCACAAAATGAGATTTTTTTCTAATAATAGAAAAAAAAGTTTTTTATTAAAAGTCAGTTTTATTATGTGTCTATTATTCGATAATCGTCAAACCGTTTTTTTAGCGTTGAAATACTATGAATAATAATAATGTACATTTTCATGGTATATAAAGATCTATTGAATAGATCAGTAGGAAGTAGAGACAAGTCAGTTAGGGTAGTATGATAAAAAATAATACTGAACTTATGTTCTCAGACTATACTGAGCTTTTTCATTTAAATTTCCAGGTAGAAATAATCTGAATTATCTGATTTCTTTTAACTTCTCAATTATGCTCTACCGAGTTAATGGTATCTATTAGTGTTACATTACTTGAAATAAGTTTATAAATCTAATTTTAACTTCATCTCCATACTTCTAACAACTTAAGAAAACAATATAGAGAATATACAAACTTTTGTAAACTTAATATTTATATGGATCCTTGATAGTTTTTATGTGGTTGCTCAGAAATGATAGAAAACTCCTTCATTTCTCAGATCTATCAGTGTGTAACTCATACTCAAGGACTGGGTTCACAATTTTAAAGTTAATTAAAGTGTTTTAAGGACAAACATTTCGATGACAGCAAATTAAATGTCTTTCAGTAAACAATACCAACGTGTAAATATTATTTGCTAATTCCGAAATTATGTTGCACGGTGTAACAGATAGGGAATAAGTAGTGTGTTACTAAAAACTTTTACAGCAAACTTGACTTTTTTTAGTCAAAAATCAAAAAAACTGTTTACTTAACGGGAAGGGTTTTGAAGAGATTTTTAGAAATTTCAATGGTTGAAATCATGAGTCAATTGAAGCTAGAACACCATGAAAAACCTGGAAGCATTGGACGGCCATTTCGTCCTGGTATGGGACCCCTCAGCAGTGCACATCCACGATCCCACACGCGGCGGGATTCGAACCCAGGACCCATCGGTCGCGCGTGCGAGCGCTTAACCATTAGACCACTGAGCTGGCGTCCAAAGGTGTTAATATCTAACTTCAACCAATCCACGAAGTTGTGACACCGTACACCATTGTCTTCAGTGAGTTGATATCTCACAACAGACCTGGTTGAACTCCACTGGTAACAGCTTCTCATTAGAACTCCAGGAGTATATCTTGAAGTCAGTTACTAGTGAGCAGATGATTATTATCAGAAACGGCCGCCCAGTGCTTCTAGGTTTTACATGGTGATCTAGCTTCAATTGACTCATGATTTCAACTGTTTATTTAACGTTATCAAAACCAGAAACTCTATGCATGATCAACTATAAAATCACTTAAGTTTTCTTTTAATAAATTCCTGATGCGATATTTTGACTGTTCCGTCATAAAACTTAGTTAATTTTGATAGAATCTCTACGGTACATTTATAAACCAGCATGCACTCTCCTGTTTTGGTATTGATAACTGGACTGCTTAGTCTCTGTTGACGTATAGACTCCTTCGACAAATTGCCGAATCCAAAATTTTATTATTACTATAGATACCGACTATCTATGAAATATAGATATGATATTTTCTCATTTTCGTAATTCATAAGCTTCATATATTTGTGCTGCTCATCCCACTGGTATTTAAAACCAGTTCTAACACTTCTAATATCATAACGGCATACACAATTAAAGCAAAGTATATATTCAAGGATTTATTAATATATAATTGATTTTATCACTGACAGGCTGCACACTATTCATTCATAACTAATAATTTCACGCGGAATAGAATATTCACCAACTAACTAGACAACTTGATTTGGTTTTATGAACTGAATACAATTTATGACGAATATAACTAGTGATATCTTATGTGATATTGAAATCCTTGCCAGAATGAAGTCGATTTAAAATAACAACTGATTTAGCAAAAACTGAAAATGTGACATTCAAAGTGCTTTATATGGCTTGTGAAATCTGTCGTCAGTATAATTCCCAACTATTTACATCAAACAATATTATAACATTATAGTAATGGCACAAGTGTTACGAACGATGATTTGTCAGCCTGTTGTATCTTATTTTTATAAAGATTTTCATTACCTATAAATGTGAAAATAGTATCACTGAAAGCAATATTTCTTTATTTTAGCCACAGCTGATAGTCCTGGTACACCTACTGTTGAAGATGTTGGGAAGAACTTTGTCGACTTAACCTGGTCTAAACCAATGAAAGATGGAGGTGCTCGTATCACTGGTTATTTAGTAGAGAAACGGAAAAAGTTTGCTACTGACTGGGAACCCGCTACACCAGATGGAAAGCCTGTTATGAATAATAATGCTCATATTGATGGCCTTGATGACAATGCTGAGTATGAATTCCGTGTGAGTGCTGTAAACGCCGCAGGAATCGGTGAACCGAGTCAACCTACAGAATTAACCAAAATATGTCCAAAAAGAGGTAAATTATTAGTGCAGAAAAGAAATACGATATTATTTGTCACGGTTGATTAGCTATGATATTTTTAATTGTAAACTGGTTTCATTTGACAAATCCATAGGCTTCGGGAAAAGTAAAATTATTTACATATGTACATATAATGAGTCCCTATGCTAATTAAAATCGTGTGATCAGTGATCTAGATAATCAAGATAACAAAGTGGGAGAGAAATAATAATCCAATTACAAATCAAATAAAATGTTGACGATTATGTCATGTATAGAATGGCAGTAATGATATAAATTACGGAAATAGTAAAATAGGGTGAGAGTTATTTCACCCTAATGATAGACAAATTGCTGATATGACCAATGGAAATAATTGAGTGAATATTTTACTCGGGTAGCCAAGCTGTACAAAAACCACTGTGCGTTTAATGATATTCCAAGCCTGTAAATAATCAAAAAAAAATAAAAATAAAAAAGACAAGTAAATGCTAGTCAACAAGAATCCGATTCAATGGTCATTATGTCATCATCTTTATACGCTAGTCATTGAAATACAAAATCCGACCGGTTACCAAACTCTCATTTTGACAGTGTTATGTATTAAAAATCAAACAGAATTTAATCAATCATTCTAAATATAATTACTTTAAAATGTACAGCTTTCATTGAATCTTTATCAGATAAATATACCATGTTTATCTTCTTTATATCTCCCTTTAGATAAGCCACAACCACCATCAGACGTTGAAGCTAAAGATATATATGCTGATAGTTGTGTATTAACCTGGAGCCCACCTGAATCAGACGGCGGATGTCCAATCATCGGTAAAATTAAAATGACCTTTATTAGATTTTTTTCTAAAATAACATATCATTCATTCGTTGTAATGATTTGAACTCATATATAATTTGTTATAGTCAACTTATTCACTAATCTTCAATAATAAGTATAGATGACCAGATAGAATTTATTACCCTTTATACTTTCCATTACTTTGAAGTGATGACTTCACGTTGAAGATATCATAAAGCCACATGTTTAATTAAAACAACGCTCCAGCATTTGAGTTCTATTAAAACTCGATGAGAGCAACGAACCTCAGGATAGAAAACAGTTTACGGATTTTTGGGAACGATCTCTTAGAAGATCAATTTCGTTTGAAGGCAACTTGACATATCTGGGTATGAACCTACACCATATTGAGTAAAAGCTGGTTGTTTTAGCTAGAAAATATCACTCTCTATTATTTAGGGCGAACTGTTAAACGATAATCAATGAATAATTTATCTAATGTATGCAAAATGCATACAAATGAAAAGTAGTGAGCTCATAAATCCATCATGACGATTCTACCTTCCTAGATATCGAGACATTCACCAGCATGAATTGTAAGTCGGGAAATATTTCAAAACAAAATCAATTGTTGAAACATTAACTGTCTATATTCATTAATAAAAACAAGAATTAATGTATTTACAAATCTAAATCTCCCGACTTATTACAAACTTTACTAAAACAGCTACTGTCAGTACTGTGGAAACTGCCTGTTCGATTATGACATCCGTCATGGAACTACTTAATAATAACATAATAAAATACTTGTAAAAATGTCAGTGATTGTAACTTCATAACACTAACGATTCGTTAGAAAAACTGATTTGAAATTCTCTAAGGCAACAGTAACAATTATGGAAGATAACTAAACAGACTAAAGGTAGCTTTCGGTTACTATCAGGACCATATTAATCATTATAGTATAGGTGGCAATAAACTAAGCTTATCAGAATATACATTCATTTAAAATAAGTTGATATAACTGTATGTATATGTGGTATGCTAATTGGTAAGCAGAAATGACATTTCTATAATTAACTCATTTCAAGAAAGTTACGATGAGTAACAATTTTAAAGGTCATTATTAATCATTTCGAGAAAAATGAAGTTAGAGTAATGGAAAAAAGTTTATAAATCGTAAATCATAGTAACTCTGAAATACATTAGAAAAATGTATGTTAAGTTATTGAAAAATTACGAACTTTAATCAAATAAGATAAAACAAGTTGAACATTTCAGTAACGTAAATATAGGCTGTTGGATTGTAATACATTGGTCTAAAGGTTTCTTACTTACAGCCTAGACCTGTAGGCACTGATTTCGATCTTTAATAGGATTGTAGGCAGATTAAATAGTTGTCCAGGGCTTCCTGGGTAACAATAGTCTACTTCTGATATTATTTGATGACGACACTCATCTACGAAGAAAATCCCTTTCGTAACAATGTCATTTTCAAAGCACGACGTCAATCTTTATATGGAACAATCTGTGCCGTGGTTTTTTGTGTTTTTTTTAATCAGTACTCGAGTTTATCAATAAATCTCATAGAATGCAGTATATACTAGTGGATTAATTAAATAAATTGAATTTATCAATTAGAGAGTTATACGAAGTATAGAAAATGATTGTCCAATGATATTACTGACCGCATTTTAAAAATACTTATGAGAAATGGAAACTGCGACTGAAAATATTAGGGCACAGTAAGTTTAAACGAATGAGACTTCGTGTGATTTACCGATGAGAAAAACATTAACAAAGTCTTCAGAGAAAACGAACAACATTAAAAGAACGGTGGTTTAAATTCGTAATTTAGCATCCCACGCATTAATGAAGAGTTTTTCAAACATCCCCCCATTTCTTTTCCCACATCTTTTGACCAGTAGTGTTCGTAATTTAAAAAATGGTATAATTGGCTATTATTAGTTCCGGACATTAATAAAAGCCAACATGTTGTGCAGTTATCACATTTTTAATAACGATAAGTCTTATTAATTACCATATCACTAGTTGAGACCCGAGTTCAAACGCGGTTATAGTCAAAAATACTTTGTTTCTCAGTTTGTTTCACTTTTACATATATAAGCGCAAAAAGATATGTATCTGGACTTATTGAGTACATGTTTCGATAACATTTAAACTAGTCACTACATTTATGCTCGTATCCTTGAAATTTATTGTTAAGGTAGGGAAAAACAATCACAGTCACTTTATGTCAGCCAAAGAATATGGAAGAAACTCGAGGCATGAATAAAAAATTGATTCAACAAACTGTTTCTGTATTCACAAACTGACTATAGACTGTGTACATCTACATCATCAAAAGATGCAACCATATGCATTCCATTAGATTCGATTAGTTATTACACATAATATGAAATGAGAGAATTCATTTGGGTCAGTATATTAAATGGTATTTTTTTACTAGGCTAATTGCAGACCACTGGATATTGACCATTACCAATCCAAAAAGTTTTAGATGGATTGTTAATTTAGTTTTATCAGTCACCAACTACGTTTCTGTAATCATAAAGATTACTTGGTGTAAAATTTTGTATTTAAATATTTAATTCTATAAAACTGGAATGGAAATATGTATTTTACCAAATAGATAAGAAAAGATTAAATTTAATGTAAGTCGGAAATTTCGTGTAATGGAACTTGGAATAATTGAATAAATTAATTGTTCACCTATCATAACATTATGGCAAAATATGCGTAAACATTAAAAGAAAAAAACACACGAAAGAATACTGAAATACCCTTGAATCAACTGAGAATATAAGTGTTACGTCCTTGATCTGTCGACCCACTTTTGGTGCTAAGGATAACTTGTCTAATCTAGATTATGATTTTGACACGATAGGCTGACCGGTTTAACCTTGCGTCTAGTTCGCGTGAGTTCGAAGTGGGGTAGAGATAAGAAAACTATCCTATCACCTAGTTGACTGACAAGCACGCGAGTGAGAGAAGTCGACTGGAATACTACTCGATTTATTCTCAATTCCGATCTGGTTCCCGATTTCAGATCAGTGTAAAAGAGTACATGAATAAATAGATGACTAACCAGACCACAACGCACAACGATTAAGAAAATACAATTATGTACAAAACTGGAGATCAGCGTCGAAAATAGAGTACAAAATATTACGTTTAAATTACAATAGCTTTGGAAAAAAAAGCTATGACAGTGAATCATACATCAAACGAAAGCTTGTGATCTGTAGAATAGAATAGGGACAAACATAAATGTTACTGTTTTACAAGCTTTAAATTAAATGAAATAACGTCTCGAAAAATAGCTGCCGTAGTTTGTCAAGGCTTCTTGTTTCTCTGTTCACATCAATAAGTAAGTAATTAGGATATACTATGGGATTACGATTATATTTGAAGTTGAAATAAGTTTACTCAAAGTTCTGCTAGTTATCAAGTGTTCATTTTGAAAATCATACACAATTGAATAATTTAACTGTAAAATAACTGATATTTTGAATATAAACTACATTTTCTTAATAAAATTTGGTTTTTCAGACTATATCGTTGAAAAGTGTGATGCAACCACTGAAGTATGGGAACGTGTTCCAGCTGTAGTCACTAGTACAAGCTGTCCAATCAAAGGTTTAGTTGAAGGTAAACGTTATCGTTTCCGTGTATCTGCTGTGAATGCTATGGGACCAAGTGAACCAGCAGAGACGAATACAGCAATTACAGCTAAAAACCCATTTGGTAAGTACAACATTAATGGTACATGTAGTGAACTATCAGTAGATATTAACAAGTTGGTAAATGAGAAGAATAAATTATTTAATAACGCTTAAACCATGAGAGCTAATTTAATAGTGTCAGTTATAAGAAGTTCTGAATAACTTTTCTTTATTTTCGACGTTTCTAACCCACGAGAGTAATAATTGTATATCTTGCCTATACTAGATTTTAATTACATTTCCAAGTATCATATTTACATGTATAACTCTGTTACACTAGACTAACAATCAAGTCAGCTAACTGTCTGACATTTTCATTTACTAATGAAATTCCAATTCATAAAATTTTCATTTCTTTAGAAAAGTAAATTACATAAGCAATTTGCACCGAGTAATGATTGACGTCACCGTAGAAAATATATATTCAAAAGTTTTAGTCCTTTACATTTTATTTACCTGATAATTATAAAGAGATTAAGAACGAAAAGTGTTCATAGAAAATAGAATTCATCCTGCCTAGAAACTTTTAATTAACTAAAAACAGTCTAAATTTAGAGATAATAAAAGGACTGATATAATTCAGTTGAACTTAAGAGGATATCTAGAAATGCGACAAAATTGGTTGAAAAAATGACATTACCGACATGTAGTTTTAAGCTTATAAGTTTTTAACTATTCATATGTTGAAAATGTAGCCTTATATAACAAGAGAGGTTAGTGAATAAACAAATTAGCTAACTAAATGATAAAATTAAGATGTAATTAAGTCAATGAACAAAGGTCACAGATTTAGTTAAAATGAATTAGTTTTTCAGGACACCATTGTTAAGAGAAATAAGATGAAGCAACGTTTACCATCTATTATTTATTAAATCAGGAATCAAACCAGTGGAGCTAATCCTGTCGGGTAGAAACAATATCTACCTCGGTACAATCGAAGATGGTGGATCGGTTGAGGTCAGACATTAACACCGTTGGATGCCGACTCAGTGATCTAGAGATTAAGCGTTCGCGTGCGAGACTGAAGGCTCTGGGTTCAAATCCCAAGAGCGGGATCGTGGATGTGCACTGCTGAGGAGTCCCACAAGTAGTACGAAACGGCCGTCCAGTGCTTCCACGTTTTCAATCAAAAACTTAATAATCTCCACAACCCTATACTGATATATCAGAAATGTCATTTATTATGGCTATATACTACTTCACATGGACTATCTACCATTTCGATAGTGTAATAAGACGAAGATTATCAGAACTATGTGATATATTAGCGCAATACATCTTGAACAATCTGATCATACATATACTTGTTAAGAACATCACATCCCACTGTGTTTACCAATTTAAATGCATGTGTGTGGTCACACATACAAGGGAGGAGCAATCGTGGTCTCAAAATTAGGGTGTGTGACATATACCGAAGTGGTTACAGAAACAAATATAATCGAATGATCCAAACACATAATTAAAACAGGTCATAAGATTGACCTTAACACGGCTTTTGTGGTATTGTATAAAAGTCTAAAAGGGCGTATACTAATGTTTATTAAGCCTTAGTCATACAAAAATTCAAACCCCCTTCGTGTATTCAAAAACAATTTGTTCTCACCTTAAACCTACCCTGATAATATTAGCTTATCATTCAGAGTGATTAGGTTTCAATTGTTTTCACATTATTTTCTTTATTATCCTTGTCTCCTCTTACCCCATTTCCAGTCTAGTTGACCTTTTATTTTTTATACATAAATGTTCTTAACAAGTATATATGTGATCAGATTGTTCGAAATGTATTGCGCTAATATATCACATAGTTCTGATAGTCTTCGTCTTCTTATTACATTATCGAAATTTATTAATGGGACTAATTGCTTTAAATATCTACCATTAGTTTGATATTTATACTTCTCTGATTAAGGAAATTACTCATCAGTATTCTTATTAAAATGTAATAGAAAACACAAGTTATAACTTTATATTTGATTTGTTTTCAGATGCACCGGATGCACCAGAAAATGTAAAGGTTGAATCATTTGACAGTCATGGAGTTACATTAGCATGGAAACCACCAGAAAATGATGGAGGAAATCCAATTCATGGTAAAATCAATATATTTCGAAAATTTATTCATAAACGATAAATATCATACAAATATTTGTTACTCAAATCTTTATACTTTTCATGATTAATTTAGGTTACTTGATTGAAAAACGCACACCAAACGGAGAATGGAAACCAGCCACAACAGGATTAGTGCATGGAAAGGAGGCCGAATTAACAGGTTTAGAAAAAGGACAAACTTATGAATTTCGTGTTAGTGCAGTAAATGACGCTGGAGCTGGACGTCCATCTAAAGCGACACTGCCTCAAGTTATAAAAGATCCAACATGTAAGTTTTTTTCATTTATTATTAAGAATTTGCCTTTTAATCATTTCTGTTGTGTATAAATATACAAATTCTCATTTTCGCTTGATTTTAGACCCACCTAGTGCACCAGATTCAATTAATGTGGATAAAGTTAATAAAATGGTGTAAAATTATCATGGCAAAAACCACGTAAAGATGGTGGAAGTAAAATCACTGGATATCAAGTGGAAAAGAAAGATGAAAATGGTAATTGGGTACCTGTAAAACAGACTACAGAACCATGTGCATTTATCCCAATGAAGGAGGGTGAGACTGCACAATTTCGTGTACGTGCAGTGAACGATGAGGGTCCAGGTGAACCGACTCGACCTACTGCACCTGTGACAGCTGTTGATCAACCAGAAGCACCGAGATATGTACCCCTGATGATTGTGTTGGTGGTTTAGGCAGTGGAGTTGGAGGCCTCAAGGATGTTAAGCTAAAGGTTAGTTACTCTTATCTGTTCATCACAGCCAACACTATTGTATTCATTTATCTTATAAGATGTTTAGATCTTAGATTATACTCACTATACATTATTTCAAGAAGTTTAAATGTAGGTGTTTGTTAATTTCATAAATAAATTACATGAAATATTTTTTTATTAGATTCACTGGTTTTAATTCGGCTGTAGAACAGCTCAATTTAAATATTCAGACAACGGTCCTTAATTTTCCCCTTCCGACAAAAATGTTATCAAACAAACTCAATTACTTTAAGTATGATTTCTAATGTAATCGTTACTGTGATCAAACAATCATTTGCCTAAAGTGGTAGAATATTATCTACTATCCTCAATTGATAATACGTCATTTCCACTCCTCATTTACTATAAACTATTAGGAATCCAAGGTTTCATCTCTGAAGCAAATCATATATGAATATTTGATCACCATATTCCTATCACATTTTAGGTTATTTATGAAATACTTCAACTATAATTTTATGTACTTTAAGATGATTAACGGATTACTGAAAAAGTAAAGCAACTTTCAAGAAATTTTTCAATTTATGAATTTACACATTTTAATCAACTACGTTACGTTGTATATTCTGTTACTGTTGAAATCGATTGGTTGTAAAAGTTACTCACTTACTGATATCTACATTTGTTATTATTCAAAATCCTTACTGATAAATAATTTAAATTTTTGATGTACCTATAAGGCTGGTCAAGACTTAAAGCTTCCTGTTGCTTGGTTTGGTCATCCGAAGCCAAGATTTAATTGGAGTCAAAACGATAAACCTATACAAATTGATGGTAAACGAATAACTGAAACAAATGAAGCCCTACCACCACCTGCAAATCCTGGACCTGGAGGAGTTCTTGAAATGTCTCCAGGAGGTACAGTAGTTTTGTCAGTTGGAAAAGTCCGTCGTGCAGATAAAGGACAATATCAGTTGACAATTGTCAATGAACAAGGTCAAGCAACTACTTCTTGCCAAGTAGAAGTAATTGGTAAGTATGTTCATTAATAGTGGAATTTAACATTTCATTTACAAAATATAAGTAGACCAAGTACAAAAATCATATAAATGATTGAAATATTCTTTGAAAATTACAAACTATATAGAAGTATGCAGAAAATGTAAAGAATGTTGTCGATGACATTTAAAATCCATTAAATCCAAAAGCATCAAGCGAGTCCCACATATTCATGTTAACACATTACATAACCATTCTTTCAGTAATTGAACAAGTTAGTATTTCTTCAGCACATAAATATTACTTTTTCTTAGAAATACTCAATCACAGGAACGACAAATCACTTGTAATCAACCTGAAAATGAAATTTTTGTCAACCGATCTAAACAATTAGGATAACTGATTTTCAGCCTGACTTTGATGTCACTTTAATATAAGTGTACTTATTGCATCTTTGGTCTGTCTGCTTACTAATCGGTACTTAATATAAAGGAGGAGAGATCTACCTCGACATAATTTGATTTCTCGTCCCGATAGGTTACTTGGCCCAACCTTGAGACTGGCAATAAGTTAGTTCGACCGTGACTAAATAGTCTCGAGGGAAGGTAGGAGAAAACTATTCGATAACTAACATATGACTTATAGGTTGGCAAGCCCAGGGAGAAAAGACGATTAAACGGGATAGTTATCCGTTTTATTTCTAATTTGAACTGACTCAAAATGCATATGAATAAATACATAGCTAGCAAGACAACGACGTACAAAGGATTGGTTGAGGTTAGACATTAACACCATTGGATGCCGACTCAGTGGTCTAGTAGGTTAAGCGTTCGCGTACGAGGCTGAGGGCTCCGGGTTCGAATCCCACGAGCGGGATCGTGGATGTGCACCGCTGAGGAGTTCCACAATAGGACAAAACGGCCGTCCAGTGCTTCCACGTTTTCAATGGCGGTCTAACACCAATCAGTTCATGATCTCAATCAGAGACGTACAAGGAATTAGAAAAAACAATCATGTCTAAACTAGAGCATTATAGTAAAAAATGGAATACAAATATCACGTTTAAATTACAATAATTCAATGAAAGCTTATGACTTCTGGAATAAGGCAGGGACAAAACCAAAAGCTAATATATTATAGATTTTGAAATATGCGAGACATTGTCCCTAAAAATAACTTCCATCGTCTGTTACTGCTTCTTCATTTTCTCTTTTCACATCAGTACTATAATCAGATTTCGTATGAATCTACATTAGTAAGTAATTTCTCTTGACTAACTGTTCTACTTCTAAAGAAAAATGTGGTCTTGGTTTTCTCCCACTTTTCAAAAATACATGATTTATTCATTAGGCGAGTTGATTTCAAACATCGACATTTGTATTTTAAATACATGGGTATCTTTTTGAACAGACGTACCAAGTCCACCAGGTGGACCACTTGAAGCAACAGACGTGAAAGCAGATGAAATAACTTTGAGATGGAAAGCACCTGAAGATGATGGTGGTGAACCAATAACTAACTATGTGCTACAAAAGAGACGTAAAGGTTCAGATAAGTAAGTTTCGAATTTTTACAAAAACCTTAAAATGTAGTTACTTTTAATTCGTTTAGTAATTACAAGGGTCTTGCGTACTCAGCACTGAGCCACACAATTTGTGTAAGGGGTTTTACAAATTAGGTTTAATTTGGATCCTCAACTTAATTTAGTATGCATTATAGTGGTAAACCTCACTGTGTAGAGGTGTTTTAAACATCCAAAACAATGTCTCCTAAATGAATATACTTCAAGCAAATAAAAGTGGCTTGAGCCACATTGTTCATTTTAAGCGTAAATCATTATACGCATAAAAAATAGACACGAATAAATACACAGACACAGAAAAACACGTACGAAATACGTATGTAAAAGGAAATATGGTCAAGTCCTTAAATCTAATTTTGCTTGAATGAGTCCAACTCGGTTTAGATACTAGCGTGAACAGATATGAAATTGTATTACCTAACCAATATGATTAGAACGATTAGTCTGTCATATGATTTTACACTGACTGTTCTAATACATAGACATATAGTCAGATAAGCTATTAATATTTTTAATTATAATGATGACTTAAATTAGTCTTATATGATGCAAGTATATTTTTCCAATGTTTCCGGTGCCTCTTGAAAAAATCTATTTTTTTATTATCATTCAATTTGCTATGTACCGAAATATTTGTTTAACTTGATAAAAAATGAATTATATATCTACATAACTCTTTGCTTTTAATACTGTTTTCATTGTTCAAGTTGGGAAAAGGTCAGTGGATTCTTAAATTCACCGAATGCAACTGTTAGAAATTTAGAAGAGGGCACAGAATATGAATTCCGTGTAATGGCTGAAAATGCAATGGGTCAAAGTGAACCTTTAATAACAACCCAACCGATTAAAGCTAAACATCCATTTGGTAAGTAAGAACAAACCTATTTGTTCTGAGAGTATCTAACTTATTTTTCTACTCCGCTTAAAATTCTCAGAGCTAATGACAGTTCATCCTATTTGGCGGTCTGCTTGAATATCTGGACTGTCTGTTTCCTCTCATCTAGATATTTCAACAAGTTATCTGTTTTCTTGTTTGTTTTAAAACATCGTTATGTCTATCAATCTCATAATCTATTCAAGTGCGCTTATGAAAAGTTTGTGACCTTTCGCTGTACTAGTTACAAAAAAGCCCAATCAGCAACATTGTAGTTGCTGGCAATATGCGTTGAAAAGAATGAACATTATTTAGACGTCAATTCCTGAATTGCCGACATTTAACTGTTGATCACTCAATATTTATGGTCAGAATCGGTCAAGAAATAAGAAAAGGAAACTTAATCAAATAATTTGTGCTGAGAATTCTGTATTGTATCAAAAATATAATATTGAACAAAAACAAAATTAACCTACTTATATTGCTAAACAATCAGATTTAATTTCCTACGTGACAGGTTTTTTGTGGCTAAATTAATTTCAGAAATATGAGAATGATAATAAAGTAATTTATTTACATCTTTGCAAACAATAATATAAATTTATGAACTACCTGGTTTTACTGACTACGCAAAGTGAATTAACATAGTGAACTATTCATCGACATAGTTTGAGGATTGTAGTTGAAACAGTCCTCCGATTATTTTTGCTTTACAGAGATGAGACACTTACCAATTCTTGAAAGTATTTAGTAAACAGAGTAACATTACAATCATGCTCACTTTATGAAAAAAACTAGACATTTTAGTGTGAATCTAGTATATGTGGAAATTGTAGATATTTTATTACTTTCATCCTTCAAAATTTACGGATTAAAAGTTCATCATGATAGTAAAGAGTTATTTTTCTATGTGGTATAACTTGACCAAAAACTGGTATAAAGTTGTTCATTAGTGGTTTAGCAATAGACAATAAATTGTTTTAAGTATTGGTCTTTATATAATCTCTTCTGCTTTGTTAATGGAAATTGTGACTATATAAGTTGCCATAACTTTGTATCATTTGTGGAAGGTAAGCATTAAAAACTAGCTGTACGTCTTTTGATTTTAGGAAAATCATATCATTTTTGATAAATATTTAATTAAATTGCAAAACTTTCACTAAATCAACATTTATTCATTTCACAATATTATTTACACTCTAATTTATTATTTCTTCATGAATTATCCATTTACAGATCCTCCATCCGGTATGCAAAAGCCAACTGTTGAAGATACAAGTGATGATTCAGTTACCTTAGCCTGGGAACCTCCACGTAAAGGTCCTGTTACAGGATATATTGTAGAAAAAAGAGCTAAAGGAGATAAAAACTGGTCTAAGTAAGTACTTTTTTACTTGGACGGTTAAATAGCACTATTGTGAAGATTAGATTTTGAGTTTTCTATGGAGATGAATGAATTTGTTTCGATAATTAAAGTAACCCACTGTTCATTGAACAAAAATAAAAAGAATTCAGCTAGCAAAATTGCCTTCTCGTTTACAATCGTATTTATACTTGTATGACAAATTTATAAGTCTATAGAAGAATAGAAAGACATTACCATTTAAAGTGATCCGAGGTTTAAAGAATCAAAATGAAGGTTGCTTAATGATCGAGTGGTTAGGAAAAAATAGTAGAATGAAAATAATTTATAGGTCAAACATATGAGAAATAATTAACCACTTAAGAGATATGAGGCAGAAATGAAAAACGCAGAGATCATAATGCACAGTTGAATATACACCATGAAAAGTCATTAGAGGTTAATAAAATGTGATAACGGTCTAAAAAGTACAAACTCAGGCAATCGAATTTATGAACGATTATTGTGAATTGTCTACATACTGTTCGTTCATGATGTGAATATTTGGCCTTCATAAAATAACTGATTATTTTGCTAAGATATACCTAGTGGTGATATTATAATCTGATTCTTGTTGATCCCTACGTAAATAAAATCCAGTATTATACAAAAGATATACTATTAAATAGAGATTCAATGCTGACTGAAGAAATTTCTTCAGAACTTAAGATAATAAGGCTGATTAAAATATAAGTATGGGGGTTGTGGAGATTAGTAAGTTTTTTATTGAGATTTCACATGGCCGAGGAGTCACAAAATAGGACAAAACGGTCACCCAGTGCTTCCAGGTTTCCAACGGTGGTCTAACATCAATCAGTTCATGATCTCAATAAAAAAATAATTAGTATTTGTTTAAAAATTTCCTTCCACAAGTTTAGGAATTTCAGCAATCTACTTAAGTTTATGGCACGACAAATTTCATTTATTAAGTCTAGGAAAATTATTTATTTTAGTGATTTTTGACAAACCATTAAATGCTTCAACTGATTGTTTATGAACCATTAACTCAATAAACTAAAATGAAAGAATTGGCAATCGAACTTCATATGTCATGTGCGGTACCACAAATATCATTCAAAATATTAGATCGATACTTGATTTGAATACCTGTACCCTAGTTTAAATCGGAGGGTATAGTATTCTTTCAGCTAGTAATCCACCACAATCAATTTGAATTATCCGGAATGTTATTTACGTATTCTAAGTTAATCAAAGTAACCGTAGTTACAACACACCAGATGTTGTATGTCAACATAACAAGATATAATTTTTTCATGTGTTTGCTAATTTGATATGAGACAAACGAAGGAAAAAATATGGTGGTGAGTGCTATTTAATTTTGAGTCATTGATAATGAGTATGAAAACTTAGAGAAAATTCCATCAGTTGAATTTGCTACAACTAATAGTAACATAGCTAAAGGATTTTATTAAAATAAAAGATGAAACAATTGAACTAATGTAATCAGTGGTAGTAGAAAAGTAAACAGAGAAAATTGAGGGACGAAAATTGTGAAATTATACTAAAACTAAAGGTCAAGGGACAGATAAAAACTTAATCTATCCATACAGTTTCGATATATTTTGAGCCATATCAACCTTGAATTATGATTCCTTTGAGGACTTCAATTGAATACTTGAACCAATCTATATTTGCTTTAATATTAAACTGATATCATATCTTTATTTAGTCAGCAGCATATTTAACATCTTATTCCACTGGTTTAAATTCAGCAGCTACTTTATTAACTGCACTAATTTTTCTCTTTAATCAATTTCTATTTATACAACAACAGAGCCAATGCAGCTCCAATATCCGGTACAGGTTATACTGTTAAAAATTTACCGAAAGGAAAAGAATTTGAATTTCGTGTCATTCCAGTCAATGCAGCTGGTCAAGGTGAACCAAGTGAACCGACTAAATTTATTAAAGTACAGAAACCCATTAGTAAGTGAAAAAGTTACATCGTAACATAATATTATTTTATGCCTTAATACGTAAATTACCGTGATTAATCGTTAATTGTAATTAAGGTGACCTCAGGAAAAACGATTGGTAGTAAGTGATTGACCATGAGGACTACTAGGTGGCATTTAAATAATTAGTTTCATTGTGTCAGTATGCCGATGGCTTGTACCTAAATGTTATATTTAGTCAGTTAATTTGATATATATGTAGAAGTATAAGACATTCATCATGTGTGTTCTTTTTCCTTTTACATAATTTAAAGTCACATATGTTTGATTGGTTGATAGCTTTTGAAGTGTTTTTGATAATCTATCACTTCAAAGAGTTTTCGTACTTTGGAAAATTTACTTTAATGGTAATAAAGAAAAATGTAGCACCAGTAAGAATACCGATCACATTAGTAACCAAATTTAATAATTATCAGTATAGGGTTGTGGAAATTGTCGATTTCTTATTGAGATCATTAATCGTAGATGTGCACTGCTTAGGAGTTCCATACTAGGACGAAACAGCCGTATAGTGCTTCAAAGTTTTCAATGGTGGACTGATAGTGGTCGATTTATAACCTCAAGAAAATTTATTGTTTAATTTGTTCAAAGGTGATAGCTAGTACATTATGACTGAACTCATATATATCTATCAACTAAGATGCTAAAAATGACATCTTATCAGTACTTATCCTGTTAGTATAAATAAAATGGATTCATTAATTTCTATAGTTCATACCGCATGCCTAGTCCAAGCTTTTTCTCCCCAAATATGTATGGCTGGAATAATAAAAAGAGAAAAGTGAATACAAATATCTGGACCTCAAGGATTAATGGAACTAAAAGTTGTGGTGTTATATATGAGTTATGACCGAAGGTAGGTTAAGATTTCGGATTTAAACGGGGTCAAACTTACATACTTTGAGTAAATAACAGATAGAAAAAACCTGTAAATGAATTAGTAACTACAGTCACAAAATTTTCAACAAACACCGGGATTTGAAACATGATGTTAACAACCAGCGTTAGCATAGGTATTATTAGGTGCATGGGTTTTTGCTTTTTTTGTTCCTGACGTTCATGGATGAGCTTGAATATTCTTTATTGACTAATAGACTACCTAAAGGGATGTTTCGCGACTCGTTTCATTCACAGTATGCCTATCTTTACAATGTAGATGGGTTTGAAATTCAGTATATTCACTAAAAAATAAGATCCAGGTCCGTGAAGCTGATCACTCCTGAATAAGATCATAAGTGTATCCTGAATTCCGTTCCCAGCCACTATCCAAACATAAGTCAAAGTGGCGAAATGTGAGTACTAGTCCGTTATTGGGAGACTTATACAGCGTTATAAAAGCTGACTTGATACCAACCTTATGATCCGTATCAACGAAACGTTTTGGAACAGAGGGAAATGTTTACGTATCCTATGATCTTATCTGACCATTGGAATACATTCATTTATATAGCCACTTAGGTATTTTTCCAACAACCCTAACATGCATACCATGAATGCTCCTCCCCACATTTGTGCCCAAATATACGTAGGCACGTTGAGATATAACGTACTTGTTTACACGGTATTAGGTTTTTAATGAAACGTAACTCATGACTATCTGATAATCACGAGCTGGGCTGTTTAAAACGTCCTAAAAATCGAAAACTTAAATTTTTGTTTCAACGTAAGACTATTTGGATTATCTCTGAATGATAAGATGATATAAGTACTTTTATTGGGTGCGAAAGGGGCAGTAGATTCTACTATATTGAGGCTTTTCAGCTCATAGACTTCACTAACTGACCACTGTTTATCAACGTTTCATTTAAGATATTTAATTCGTTGTCAATAATATCACTAGCACACATATGATTAAACCTACTGAATAAGCCCTTCGCTGACCCTTGTTCGAACCGGATTAGGCACTGACTAGAAAAACTGATATATTCCTCTGTTCATGTAGATTTCCGATGTACCAAGTGTTTGATAGAATCATCATCTTTACTAATTAGTATGTCTAAGAAGAGAAGCTGGTTATTCATCTTTTCTTCATATGTCGAACAAATGTATCTTTGAAGAGTATTGAGTCCATTTCTAAGCGGGTCGCATCCTCACTTTTGTCAGTTATGACCATGATATCATAAAATCGTTTTCCGTATGATTTTGTTTTCCTACTATCTTCCAATTTGTTTAGTTAACATTTTGTTCTTCATATATAAGCGCCCGGCGCGAGACTGACAGGTCCTGGGCTCGAATCCCGCGAGGCACTGCTGAGGAGTCCCACAATAAGAAGAAACGGCCGTCCAGTGCTTCCAGGTTTTCCATGGTGGTCTAGCTTCAATTGACTCATGACTTCAACTGTTTAGATTACTAAAATCTCCACAAAACCCCCTTCTGATATATAAATGCCTTAACATGTATACGTGTGATCAGACCTGATTTATCACATAGTTTTTTTAAAATTTGTTTTCTCATGGTATTATTTGACTTTATTAAAGCGACTAATTTATTCGACCCACATATATTTGGGGTTGTGCAGATTTAACATTAAAGTAGTTACAAAGAGATCTCACTGGTGAATCAATTTTTTTAAAATTTTGTGTTCTACTTTCTCAGAGTTTTATTAGGTCAATAATTTTAATATTACTTAGGGATACGTAAAAGAATCTATATGAAAAGTTTCAAAAAAATAGTTAAAATGAAAGGCTTCCACAACAAATTGATGCCACAGTATCGTAAATAAGATATATATTGATATATATTATAATCACTTCGGTTTTCCCAAAGATCTTAGCGAAAACAATATACATACATTAAAAAGAGCTGAAATACAGATATACAATTTGATTCACTTATAAATTACTTCCAACCAATAAGAAATAAGCCAACTGTTGTTTTAATAAATCATTGATATAATGGAGCTTATAACTAAATTTCGACAGAACCAAGACGAAAAAATTTGTGATCGTTGCTTTTCAATGATTTCTAAAATATTGTCAGTTCATGAAGAAATTTACCTTTGAACTGAAGAAATCATTACTTATTTTGAGATTAAAGTTGATTGTGAAATAATTGTTTCTACTGGCATTTTTATCCTTTTCTGTTGCCTACAGCTATTCCAAAGATAACTGTTGATGCACCAAAAGAAATAAATGCTCGTTTAGGTGAACCATTTAAAATTCGAATTCCATTTACTGGTGGACCACCAGAAGAAGTCGAGTTGATTAAAGTAAGAGGGAAAGAAGGTTGAGTACTCATAATATTATTTCATCTTTTATTATTAAGTTGTATTTATTTGTCAGTTTTTCAGGTGAATTAGGTTATTATAGAAACATTCAAAAAGAATAAAACTGAACTGCTAGTTTTGGCTTCACAATGATCGGACAATTCATTTAACTTCAGTTATTCTGCTTATGTCTAAGAATTTTTGACTAAATTAGTCAAAATATTATGTGAAATGATACGTATTTGTTGGAAAGCTAATTCAAGTTTGTCATTAACTAGATGGATTATATTAGATATAAATAATATTAAATTAGAGTGAAGACAATATTGCATTGAATACTCAATTCTAAACTGTGCACTTAGTAACACACACACACACATAGTCTTGGTATATATCTTTTGGTTTTATAAATGTATTAGGATATTTTCCGAATGGTTTGTTTTCACTATACGTCATTTTCGCCTTTAAATCTATCCAAAAATAGTTACTTAATTTTAAAGATATCAGTGTTAAGTGTGCATGAGCGCTAGTTTACGCCGACTTTTAGCACAGAAATATGGATTGGGTTAAATGACTACACTGGTCACTTCACTTATTTTAGCTGTTACAATAAGACGATGAATTTATGGACAACATAATACCAAGATTGATATGGTAGGTGCATTGAATATATTGTACTTAAGGCTTTGGTTATTTAAATGTTTACCAAAAGATAGTTATGGATAACAGAAGTGCTATTCGACATATGAAGGTGGACGAAATGAAAATTTCTATTTAACTGTCCATTAAGATAAACATTTCTTGCATTTTAAGGTACTACACATTGAGAAACTTCGAGTTATATGCTTTAAGCGAGAGTTTAAGTCATTCAGTATAAATGTGAATGTAGTCTGACTGAATTATTTGAAAAATATTTAACACTCAGTGTAAGCGTATATCTCGAAATGTAATGCTGGTTGTAGTCGAAATAAGTTGACAAAGCTTGACTGGGTCCATACCAAAAGCTATTGCTATTCCGTGTTTCCATCGATTTAAGTTTAATCTGTCCACGATATTGATGGTTTCATGGATGAAATTTTCGAAATTTGAAGTAATAGTAGCTCAAGATACTCAATCTAGTGGAATATTGGTCACACTGATTCAAATGTAATTGTTTTTTATCTCGTTCAAATCTTCATATTATCATCTCATATTTCTTATTCTTTCCGAGTTTACTTCAATGACCTTATACTTTTCGCAAGAGAATCTGATTAGACTAAATTTCATCACTGTTCAGGGAAAACCAAATAGTTGGTCCTTTGTCTTTTAAGTTAATTTGAACTATGTATAATTGGGTTAAGACTACCTATAAGATATCCCTTCATATAAAGTATTATTAGTTAAATAACATAAATGATAACCCTAAAACTATTTCAGCTCAACAGGAACTAATCATTCCCAAGTTTTATTGACTTTTTTTAAATAGCCAGTATCTTTTATGTTATTAGTCAGTCACAACGTAGAGCCTGTACGTATGTACATCACTTTTATGCTATTGAAATACTAAAGTTTATTCTAAATGCTCAAGTTTTCCAAACTACTTAAAACTTGTATGACTATTACTATTATTTCCTTTTCCTTTTCTTAAAATAACAGGATGGCAAGCCTGTCCCATTAGATACAAATCGTTTTAAACTTGAAGTGACACCAAATGAAGTTATTATCACAGATACAAAAGCGGAAAAAGAAGATGCTGGACAGTATAAAGTTGCTTTGAAAAATGAAAAAGGTGAAGCCAGTCATCCACTCACCGTGAAAGTACTAAGTCCACCTGATACTCCTGAAGGTCCTTTGGAAGTTAGTGATATCAAAGGTGATTCGTGCAAATTAACATGGAATCCTCCAAAGGTCAGTTATAAGTAATATGTAATTCGATACAAATGAAACGAATTAAATCCTCATAGAAAATAGATGCAATTAGGCAAAAAACTAGTTTGGTTTGTATTTAAAGCAAAATTTGAATAGTGTAATAAAAATTCACTTTATAAGAATCCTGAGCATTGTACTACTCGATAAAAACCTCCTTCCCAAACGTTTTTGGACACAACGTGGGACACATACGGTAAAATTTACAGTTATCCGACAAACCTCTATTTAAATGTTGTAATTTTTCACTAATATATTACTATACGTTATGGATTGTAATATCTACCTAACAATTACCAGCTACTTTGACAACAAGAGCGACGATTGATCCAAGGATACTCACATCAAGGTTTAAGTGTAGATAAAATACGAAAGATCATATTTTTTAACCCCAATTTTTGTTTATAAATCGCTTTATCCTGTGACTAGGTACCTTGTTGTTTTTAATTAGTAATCGTACCAAATTTTATCGATCCCAAAAGCAGTATCTCAATTCTCATTTGAATGAGGATAAATGTGAATTAAAAGTAATTAGGTGCTCTTTTCACTGACATTAATATCAAATCAATATTCAATTATATGTATTCTCGTAAAAAAACATTACTTGAAAAATTATTAAGAATCAGGGAGGGCTAATCCTAATTTAGCACTCATCTATTATTTGCTCAACTGGTCTCACAATGGATCAAACTCATTAACTTCAGATTCCACAGAAGGCAACATCCCCATAGAAGACTGAATGAGTAACCGATATACATTATATCACTTACTTCAGCCAAACTATGTAACTATCAAACATTGATGACAATATCTAACTCTTGAATTCCAATTCAACTAATTCCCACAAACCGCCACACTAAACACTTATCATGTGTACACTCGAGGTTAACTTTAGGGTGGGAATCCAACATCTTTATGTGAAATCCTGACTAGTGAATTCCATTTTTATCAGCCACAAGAAAGTTATCCACCAGGAGATCGGATGTTAATCACCTCATGTGGAGAGTCGTTAAAAGTATGAACTATAAACCATTTGACTTCAACCCAGTGGTTTATAGGTATCTATCTCTCTAAAACACATAAGGGTCACGTTTTCTATATTGTGTGGAGTCACAAATGTCTATTGCTAGGGAATACCAAGTTGGTACTAGATGGCTGTTGGTTGTCCTATGGTCTATAAGGTTTTTCAGTCAATATGAATTTACGACGATAAACATTTTCAAATTCAACTAATCTTTGCGAGACACCCAACCAAAAAACAATAAGTAACGTCGGTGACTGTCAGGTATCTGGGCTAGTTGCTTAGATAAAACACTGTCCACTCAATCCATTGCCTCCAAATAGCATTTGCAAGCTCACCAATCCATGTAGGTAAATTTTTGCGTTCATCTCTCTCAAATCCTGATGCTTAGTTATGAACTCATTTTTTAGTTATATTGGAACGTGTAAATTAGGTTAATCACTTAAGCACTAAGGTAACATACACAATCTATGTACGTATGATTGTCCCATATCTATTGTCCAGGTAAAGTTACGAAATGAAACTAAGAACGATATTTCAATCTGTAAAGACTTAACTACAGAAATATTACCTTGTGGAATTGGGAAATACTCGTATTCCATCTTGGCACAAATAAGCGATTAGTTTAGTCCCACCTTTTTTAGAGCTCCTACTGTGGAAAAGTGTCTATCTTAAACTTAAACCGCTGATACTTTGTTGCCCTGTGGTGTTTCATCGCATACGTTAATAAGCAATCTATTGGTTTATTTGTTGCCTTGAAATCCCAAATCCAAGTGACAGACAATGAGCTTTATTCATTCCAAAGCACTTGAAATATGTGGTCAGTTTGACGTAATTTAACTTGATATTTCAGAATAATGGAGGCAGTCCGATAACAAATTATATTGTGGAAAAACTGGAACCGAGAACTGGAGAATGGTTGCCTGTTAGTAAATTTGTCCGAACTCCAGAATATGAAGTTACTGGTTTAGAACCAGGAAACAATTATAGATTTCGTGTACGAGCTGAAAATGAACTTGGAACAAGTGAACCTTTAGAAACAAGCCGTTCAATACTGGCTGAAGAACCAAGTAGTAAGTTACATATGTGGGTCTTCATTTATCACTCGATTCGTAATTGATTCTTAAATCTAGTGTGTTTAATACAGGACTACTAGACAATTTTTATAACATATCAATACTCTTTGTTATCATAGCAGAGAATCACAGAAATCATTCAACTGAAGAAGTGCATACTTTTTTCTTTATTTAGCTGTACCAGATGCGCCAAATAATTTGACCGTGGCTGATGTAGATGCTAATAAAGTTACACTGGAATGGTCTAAGCCGCGTAATGATGGTGGTAAACGCGTAAACGGTTATGTAATTGAATATAAACCACTCAATTCAACAGAATGGGAACAAGCTGCTATTGTAAAAGATTTAACTGCTACTGGTAAGTTTCTGAGGCTACTATCCAGTAATTTAAAACATATTAACTACCTAAGTATCAACTAAATATGCAAAGTGTTTCAAATTGCTGCATCATAAATATCTTCCGGGACATAAAGTGTGACTGAGAATGAGCTCAGAAATATAAATGTCTTTATTTGTTTTACGCAAACAAATCATATTCGTTTTATGTATGAACTAGAAAGTTACACAAAACTGACGTTTAGTAGGATCATTTGACTGCCATTGGTTAGCCCAGACAAATGTCACACTAACAGCCTCCAAAAGAATGTTGAATGTACATAGTTTTATGAAGTGTTTAGAACGGTTAATCTTGTATAATGCATAGTCTCCTAGCCAACCCTATAAAGCAAAACATATTTGGATTATTCATACGGCATCTTCTAGATGTCTCTCAGCTCCCACAATATATTTCTGTCAATCGGTTGAAATGCCATGGATCTCATTTTCAATTTCAATGATCCCACGACATAGAGTGGCAATCATGTAACACCATGGATGCTGACTGTCGCATTACCTATATGGTTAGACTCTACCAGCATGAAGATGCAGTATGACCACTGTCTACCATCACGTGATTTTCATAAGAATGCTTTGAAAGTAAATAATTTGGAATGACAATCATACAGATTCGGTATAATCACGTATATGAGTCAGGGTATGTCGGAGTCAGTGAGGTGATTTATCAAAAATACACTATTAAACTGAATATTTCAAATTCATTTTTTCCTAAGCAAACCGACTTCACTCTCGTAGTAATTAGCATAGCAATTTAAAACAGGTTATCTCTTTGATAAATTTAGATAATGCAATGAGAAGACGAAGATCATCAGAAAAGAGTTATATATTTGAGCGTTTATTTCCAAACAATCTGATCACACATTTACTTGTTAAGGCATTTATATATGAAAAATAAAGGTCAACCAGACAAACTGAGTAAAACAATGTGTACTTTATATTTCAAATGGCTTATGATGTAAATGTGTAATCAGATTGTTCGAAATGTATTGCGCTAACATATCACAGCAAAATAATTCGACAAACGAATCTTTTCAAAGGAGATCATTTTGAAAGCCATATATGCATTAAATTATAAGCATGTAAACAAGCTGAATGATTATTGATGGTATTCGTCAAGTATTGACCTCAGTTGGTGTACCATCGAAATGTCAGGGGACATTTAACAATTATGGGTATTCATGACCTCTCACAAGAAGGTAGGATAAAAGAAGAGTAAACTTGAGTGGCGATGTAAGATAGTGAACATACTTGTATTTTAGCTAGATTACTTTTTGTAGGAAATTACTTTTCATTTATGTTACTTAATTTTAAAAGATTTTTGATAATAATTTCTTTTTGTTTCAAATATTTTAAAGTCGATGGGTTGAAAAAGGGTGAAAAATATATGTTCCGTGTTTCTGCTAGAAATGAAGTAGGTGTGAGTCAACCATGCTCAGTCAATCGTGCAGTGGAATGTAAACCGAAACATAGTAAGTAAATTTATGAAATTCGTAAACTATTACTAATGCATATATATATATATATATATATATATATATATATATATATGTTGGGACGGCTTCCGAGAATTACGACGGAGCCTCCAAAGGCCTTCAAGGAGCTGAAGAGTTTCCATCAAATCAGAATGTAATGGAGGTTTCTAGAATATCAACATGCCATACCACGATTGAACAGTAGCATAATTTGCCTCTTTGAGAACTGGCTGAATTATAATGATGTTATAACAAATGCTAATATCTATAAAAACCCGTGATTTTCTCTACATTTTGATTCTTACCCAACAAACACTTCTTCAGCTTTCTTCTGATTTTGCGACTGTGGGGCTCTATACGTTAACTTATTATTTTTATGTTCATAGTAGACAAAAACGAATTAAAATTTCTTCATCATCTCAATACTTAAAAAAAATCGTGGAATATCTCATTGACATCATAACTAATTTGTTGGTTTATTAGACTCTTCCGTTTTCATCATATAAAACTATGAAGCAGTCATAGCTTTCCGACAGATTTATAAAACCTAAAGTAAACATATTCCATCAGTACAGAATACTTCATGGACATGAAAGCCATTCAGCTTCTGCTTGATAATTACAACAATAATCTCTCTGTAAATATTATGACTGATCACAAAATATAGAAATAGTATTGTAGTGAACGCGAACACTCAGGCGAGAAAGACCGAAATTACAGAGTTATTTTGTAAAATATGTAAATCATTTATTGAATACATCTTTGGACATCCTCCATCAGTTGTTTCTTACAATCCTCATCGTTACTTCATTTCTGTTGTTATCTTGATTACTTTTGTTTTCTTCTCTCCATTTCAATCTTCTGCTGGCATGCATTCCGCTTCCAAATGGTGCTACATACCACTTATGTCTATCAACATAAGTAGCATATACCACAGTACCACTAGTTCGTAAATTTTTAGGTTTGTGATGACACTTGATTAATTTCTATAAATTTATGTACAACTTTTTATCTACTGAAGTGTAAAATTTCAATTCCACTCAATTTTAACAGCTACAGCCGATAGCCCAGGACGACCAAATGTAGATGATGTAGGAAAGAATTCAATCGATTTATCCTGGTCACGTCCAGCTAAAGATGGTGGTGCTAAGGTGACAGGGTATATTGTTGAAAAACGGAAAAAGAATTCACCAGATTGGGAACCTGCTGTATCAGGAAATACACCTGTTACTGGTACACAAGCCCATATCGATGATTTAGATGAGAATGGTGAATATGAATTCCGTATCAAACCAGTAAATGCAGCTGGAGTTGGTGAACCAAGTGAACCTACTCCGATGACTAAAATTAGACCAAAAAGAGGTAACAATTATTTTCATGTCTTCTTTAATTTTAACACTTATAGTTGTAGAAGTAACTGTTCTATTTAAAATTTAATGATGATAAATAATTAATGTTTACGAGCTATAAGCAAGGATAAATAAAATAATCTAGATTATATATGATATGATGGATGTTTTAAAATATATTTCTATCTCTCAAGTATACTTCGATAATAAGACTAGTCAAGTTATATCAGATCCAGGATTCAAGACCCAGAATAGAGAATCAGATTAATCGCTAGATAATATTTTATTCAACGCAATTAATAGCATTCACACACACTTAGTTCGAAGTAGAAATCAATAACAGGAAACCACCTATTTAATGGCCAGTAGGCTAATTTCCTGTTCGTCGACGCTCAGTGACCATTTATATTTCACTTTCACTATCAAATATCAATATAGAAGTATTTCTTCAGATGCGTATTATGTAAACTTATGTTTATATTTGGTTCTCTCTTGTTCTACGTTATAAGTTACATGTTCTCATTATTGAACAAACTAACTGGACAGTTGATGAAGTCTGAAAAAAATCGAATGTTTGGACTAAACATTTTTGAGACTCATTAAATGACTATAAATGGCTGTAAATAAATGGTAGGTTTTTATCTCAAGTCATACTATAACTGGCATTCTGTAGACGGTATAAATGTTTTAAGATTTCTTATTACCGTTTAAGTGGGCAATTAAGAATGTAGACATAAGCTTGATTATTATAAAAATCACTTTCAACTGTCAAACAGTTATCGTAGTGCTATAAAACTACTGAGTTTAGTAGTAGACTTATATTGATTCAGTATCCTTTGTATTCTTTTATTTTTCAAACATTTACAGTGTAATCATCAAAACTATCTGAAAACAAATGATATTAAGATGGTTTTCAATAACAACCTGATAAGTTGAACAGTTGAATATTATATGATCAGATATATATTTCTTTCCCTTGACTTACGGATATCATTTAAGGAGACCAGGTCTTCAAATGTGTTCCAGTAATGAAGGTCATTAGCCCATAGCACCCTCATACAATGAACTTATATTTGAACTATATTTTAGTCAAGATTTTAAAATTACCTATAGAGAAAAATGTATCTGTTTATGAAATGTTGGTTGTATTCAGAATGATTAAATTTATTCATTTATAGCAACCAATTAAACTAGTCAGTGAATTAGTTATTCACATTGATGAAGAAGACTTCAGGTGCTTGCGTTCATATTCTTGTTTAGTCACATGTACATTTGTTCATTTAATCAGTTTTCATCTCATAGTTAGAAAATGTATGATACTTTTTCTAAGATCTATTGTAGTTAGATTTAAACTGTCAATGATGATTTTGTAATGTTGGCTTCTATAGTTTTATTACAATAACAACTATGAATTGAATTTTACTAACAGCATTAATGTATATATCTATTTTTTACTTACTTTTTTCTTATTTGTCACATCAAGATAAACCAAATCCACCTGAAGACGTTGAAGTCACTGATCTTTCAGCAGATAGCTGTAAACTAAGCTGGAAACCTCCAGCTAAAGATGGAGGCGCCCCGATTACTGGTAAAACTATGTTATGAAATGTGTTATGTGTCACTCTATTGAAGATAATTTTTTATATAGATGATTCTTAGCAGAAACATTTACGAACACTACTGGGTCCTACCTCAATTTTAATAGCGTAACTGTACCATACTCTTTATTAATCTACCCTTCTAGATCTCATTTTGGAGAATTCAGAACTAAAGTTAATTAATAATTAATTATTCCTTGAAATGGTCGTATTGAGACCCTTTGAACCAAATTAGTGTGAATAATTACAAAGATTTTGGTTATTTATTTATCAATATAAAAAAAGATATTCCTCACCCAGAATTTATTGCTACCCCCAACTTTTCGCTTATTTCAAGGTAGTAATCGATATCTAAAACGGAAATCGCTAGCGTTCAATGTTTCATGGACGCAAATATCACGTCGTACGGATCATATATACAACATGGAAAAGTGTTTTCAATTAACATAAGGTTATACACCAAATTTAAATTAAATCATTGCAGTCTGCAATCTCACTTTATCAAGGTGCACAGATTTTCACTAGTTCTAATCAAATATTATTTCGGTTATTGTAATGTGTAATACTATGAGTTGTAATGTATATAAGAAGGTTGCTGAATTTCATACATAAAAACACTTGTTCACAATGTAAGTTAACTCAAAATAGCAAAACATATAAGTCCAAACTTTCTCAAGTTCCAAAACTTATTCTAAGTCAATAAAACATAGAGTTTAGTCAATAATGCATATTTGAAGAGCTTCTTCAGTCTATTTTTCGCTTTCAGGTCTATTGGTTTCATCAAAAGACAGTGATGAAATCTCTCATCGTCAAAATATGATAATACTGTCAACAAAACGCTTTGAAAGCTTCATGATTTTATAAAGGTTGATCATTGAGCCGTGACATTTTGTAACTATATTCCTGGGTAGATTCTTACTAGACGGCTTGTATGTATTCAGTGTCGAGAAATGAGAGCTGTTAGTTTTCGCAAGTTGCATAGACAAAAGATTGAGTTTGATTTCAAACCATAATTCCTAAGATTCTACCGTAAAATTACCATGTCTCCCTGAAATATGTCACAAGCCTTCTCACTGAGAGCGTGGATCAAGATTTACCACTGTAATATGTACATGGCTATTCAGCTGAATTTACGACTTGATCACGACAGTAAGATTATGAGGGATATGCAGATTTCATTTTCTTTGAGATTTAACTTTCATGAATGTGCAACTAAAAATGACTTTTACTCTACCTACAAACAACTTGGTTTAATATTGAAGAGTGAATTTTTGTTGGAATGGTGTTATAGAACGGTAAATAAGTATCATCATTATCACCATCTTGATAAAAAAAATTGCCTCTTGCAGAAAGATAAATTCATGTAAGACTAATCTACTCTTTCAAAACTATTTTGTCATTTTACAATGAAATTTTACTTTGCTTATTAAATGCATGTTCGGCAACATTGTAAACTTCTCATTCACGAAGTTATGCATTCTTTTAGCAAAAAGTAACCTGATGAAAAAAGTTATTCTAATTACCGATAATTTTATTTCTTATTTATAGATTATATCGTTGAAAAATGTGACGCAACAACTGGAATCTGGGAGAAAGTTCCTGCTTTAATTGTGGGAACATCATGTCCTATTAAAGGTTTAGTTGAAGGGAAACGTTACCGCTTTCGAGTATCAGCTGTTAATCCATTAGGTCAAAGTGAACCTACTGAATTATTAAATGCTGTAACGGCTAAAAATCCTTTCGGTAAGATCATTTTTATTTTTAAGAATGTTTAATCCATTATTTTTTTTTTTCATAAACAGATGCACCAGATTCACCTGATAATTTAAATATGGATTCATTTGATAAACATTCTGTGGATCTCTCATGGACTCCACCAAAACATGACGGTGGAAATCCTATTAAAGGTAGGTAGTGTGTGTGTTCACTGAAATAATAGGTACATTATGAGATTATTGTAAAGTTAATTGTCCTTACGAAGTCATGAAAGTGAATGTTATTATATTGACTGTATTGTGTCATATTAACAATAATAATCTGAACCCAAGGTTTTTATCACCCGAAATAGGATATCTTGTTGAAAAGCGTACACCTAAAGGTGAATGGAAACAAGCAACAAATGGATTGGTAACAAATCCTTCAGCTCACTTAACAGGTCTTGAACCAGGTGAAACTTACGAATTCCGTGTAAGTGCCGTGAATGACGCTGGTCCAGGGCGCCCATCAAGGGCCACAGCACCTCATGTTATGAAAGATCCAAGTTGTAAGTCCTTTTTTGAACTATTCGCCACTTTTTTTCACAAATCTAAACTTCAGTATAAAACCGCTCTGTAATTCCTAATCTGAGTTACGTTGAATGTGAAATTGTATATCCGTAAAATAAATTTCTACACATACTATTTATTTAAGTATTTAAAAACAAAGAGCATTACAGCTAACTATCGTCTTGAAGAAACTGTACATTTACAAATCCATAGTTATTATCTTTGTGTTACAATCGACAAAATATTAAAGTTGGATTAATTCGTATTAGAAAAAATATAATGGCAAACTTCTTGTCGTTTGAGTTTAAATTAATTCAAATTACTAACAAGATAACATCATTGATAGTATTAAGAAAAAGGTCATACGTAATGGGTAAATAATGACAAATTGTGAGGTCATAAGTTGAAAGCTTATGTAAAACAAGCTAATAAAAAAAATAGGAATTTGTGTTCTAGTTGTTATGATAAATAACAATAATAAGGATATTAGGGACAATTAGTAACAGGCGTATCATTCTGAATGAGAAAGATGAATTTGTAATTATGGATAAGAAAAGTGCATGGTAAGGGAGTGGAAATCATGAAGAATAAAAAACACAATGAGAACTAATGATAAAATGATCTTAATATGTGCCAAGGTAAATGGAAAAGGTGTATAATTCATTTTTGTGTTAGTTGTTTGGATCTTCTCATTGATTTTTAGGACTGGGATTGATCAGTCTCTTATTGGTAAATGTGCATTCTGTGAGGATTGTCTTGATTTCCAAGTATTATAAGCAGAGATGGATGGTGGACTTAATAGCTAAGGAATAACGCTATGGCGTTCGGAACGAACGGTACTGAATTCGAGTTTAGAGTGAATATCACCTCTGGGATGCAGGAACATTCAACTGATGAGTCCAAAACGAGACGAAAGGCGCTTCCTGCTTTCCATTGCTAACCATCATTCATCTCTGATTAAAAAGGGTATATGTATACTTTTCGTATATATAATTCGGGTCTCCATGAACTGATATCTATTGTTTCAGCGTAATCTCGCACCTTTTGGTAAATTATTATGAGCATGGTATATATATATCCGAGAAAACACGTTCAAATTTAATATTATATTTGTAATCAGTTAAATGGAAATGAATGGTACTGTTTTACTCAAAAACACAAAATTAGAAGAATTAATCAAACAATTAATTTCTCAATCATATTTACTACTAATTTAACAGATCCTGCTGCAGCACCAGAGTCATTAAATGTGGATAAAGTTAATAAAAATGGTGTAAAATTATCATGGCAAAAACCACGTAAAGATGGTGGAAGTAAAATCACTGGATATCAAGTGGAAAAGAAAGATGAAAATGGTAATTGGGTACCTGTGAAACAGACTACAGAACCATGTGCATTTATCCCAATGAAGGAGGGTGAGACTGCACAATTTCGTGTACGTGCAGTGAACGATGAGGGTCCAGGTGAACCGACTCGACCTACTGCACCTGTGACAGCTGTTGATCAACCAGAAGCACCGAGAATATGTACCCCTGATGATTGTGTTGGTGGTTTAGGCAGTGGAGTTGGTGGTTTGAAAGATATTAGTATAAAGGTAAGTAGTCTAATAAAATTTTTAGATGCTTCTATTTATATACCATAACACAAACTAAGCTCATTTGTTGTACACGGTTAAATAATTGTATTTATACTATTGATTACAAATTATCTCAAACTAATATAAAAGTATGAAACAAACTGTGATTAACGATAATATTATCAAATAATAACGTTTGTTTTTTTCAGGCTGGACAGGAATTAAAATTACCAGTGGCTTGGTTTGGTCATCCAAAACCTACATTTAATTGGACATTAAATGGTGAACCAGTGAAGATTGATGGAGTTCGTGTTACCCAAAAAGACGAGCCTTTACCACCTCCCTCTCATCCTGGACCTGGAGGACATTTGGAACTTTCACCTGGTGGTGTTGTCTTACTCGTTATTCCTAAAGTGAAACGATCTGATCATGGAAGATATCAATTGACAGTAATGAATGACTTGGGTCAAGCAAGTACTTCATGTCAGGTAGAAGTTATGGGTGAGTTAAATAACAATTGGTACCTGATTTCAGTCATACTTTTACAATGCCCGATGGTTTACATATATATTATAATTCAATAATATTCTAACTCAAAATCATTAAAAGGATAGTGACTATTTTTTGTAACACCATTTTATCAGGTATTTTCGTGCATGATTTTTTGAATGATTTGCAAAATAAAAGGAAGAACAGGAGTATACGGTGACAGATTTCATATCGATAATTTAGAATGAACAGTTTATTAAAACCCTGTGTAATACATTGCGAAACGATTGGTTAGCCTTTTTCTAACCAATTTTATTAATTGATTTGCAAGTGGGTACTAGACAAACATTTTTTAAAATTCGGATAAGTCTCATTTATCAAAAGTCAAACTGAATTAACAATATTATTTACCTTTATCAGTAATTAGCTCTCATACAAACTTAATACGAGTTAAACAACTTCTGAAAAGAAGGAAACACTGGACATTTGTGCTATTCTTGTATTGATCTTTTAAGGTGTCAGTACTAATAACTTCATATAGGATCGTGCCCAGGATTTGTCCAGATTTGTCTATGAACAAACAAAAAATCCTCACTAATTCATTGAATAATTTACCAGCTAGTAGATTTGGTATAGTTATCACCATGATAGATGTTACGATGACAGATACTCTAAACAACCCGTCTTTTGCTTGATCGAATACTGGTGAGTTAAATAAAAAATGATAAATCAATTTCATCTATGATGGGAGACATTTTAATTCTGTCCCGATCGTTAATATTTATTTTCGAACTATTACAGGTGTTATAATCTAAAATTTCTTGACGTTTCTTTACGTAGATCTGAATCAGTCTCCAATAAATTTTTCGAAAAGATATTAAATACGTACACTTAACAATCATTATGTTTTTTATGACATTTGAATTTACTTTTTGCCTAAAAGGAAATGAAAATCATAGGAAACAATAATTATTAACACCACTGCATAATATTTGACATAAATGTATCTATGTTGAATATTTTATCTCGGAAGGTTCTTAATAGAATATGTCACTGTGTAACAAAATTATCAAGTTAAATTTGTATTGCACACTTCCAGTTCTTCTTGTCTCGCAAGTAGCATCACTAGGTCCATGAAAAGTTCTTTAAGTTCAGCTCATAACTTTGAATACAAGTGGTGAATAATGACGGTTATTCAGTTGCAAGTGATTATTTCTGTTAGCACACTTTATCTGTTTAGAGCAGACTTTTCAAAATCTTCCAGTTATTAGTTGGCAGCTGATTTTACCACAAAATAATGTGATCTAGAGGCCTGTAGGTCTTTTATTTCAAAGATTCTTAAATCAGAATAATACATTTGTAAATTTTTCCCCTGTAATTTCAATGGTTTGTTAGCTAGTGTTAATTCATGATGTGAAATTAGCCTACAGATATAGAAAATTACCCACGAACTACATTATATCATATTTTGAAATTTGATTCGTCTTTATTTTCATTCTAAGATGCTCCATCTGCACCTGGAGGACCTCTTGAAGCAACTGATATCAGTGCAAATGAAATAACCTTGAGCTGGAAGCCTCCTACAGATGATGGTGGACAGCCTATTACTAATTACAGACTTGAGAAACGTCCGAAAGGTTCAGATAGGTCAGTCACTTTTTCACTTTTTAAACCATTTCTGTCATATTGTTCATTCTATTATAGTCAGATATTTATTTTTTTTAAAATCACGTTTTACTGTTTCCTTGAATGTAGCTGGCAGACAGTTAGTGGATTCTTAAAATCACCGAATGCAACAGTCAGAAATCTTGAAGAAGGTACAGAATATGAATTTAGAGTTATGGCTGAAAATCCATTAGGACTTAGTGAACCACTCATGACCAGTTCACCAATAAAAGCAAGGCATCCATTTGGTAAGTTCGTCATACATATAAGTCTTTTAAAATTGAACAAATAGCTTTTACTTTTCTCTAAAAATTAACTGGAAATAACAACTATGAGACTCAATTACATAATTTAGTGTTGCTAGTGTTAACAATTTTTCTACATATCAGGGAAAATTTTTAAAAATTTTACTCGTAATATCCATTGAATAGTCGTTCTAAAAGAGTAATACATGGAAAAAAAGCATTCAATATTGACATGTAAATTGATTCATTTACCAATTTTTCTGCGCTTCTATGAATGTGCGCATGATTAACAAGTTACATGTGTGAGATGTTTTTTAGCACAACCTATTGAATTACCAGCGAACTAAGCCATGTTGGTAGGTATAGACTACCTGATTGGGATCAGCGAGGCGAAAGCAACCGATGGTTAGAGACCTTGAATGACATGGCTCAAAATCGTTTGCAATGGCGCAGGTGCATCCACTCTCTGTGTTCTCCCAAATTCTAATCTTCTGAATTCTTCATGTCCCCTTTTTTCTCTTCCCAAATTTATTTCACTGGGTCATACTTCTTAAATAACATCTTCAAAACATAACCTTTCCGATTACTGCTTATACTCTTACTACCTCTACCACTACGGGATTTGAATCGACAACTGCATCTCTGTTGTAATGTGGTACGACAACTCGAACGGGTGTACGTACGTACGAAGTTCTACGTTATTACTGACTGACTGAGATCATGCATGACTTTTGAATATATGTCTCAAAAATATTATCATTACTAGTTTTTATTCAATCAAACGTTTACACGTAACAATGTTCGTAGTTTACTTCTGTAGATCTCGGAGAAATTCAATAAATTAGTACACTCGTTTAATCTTTCAGTTTGGAAAACTACTGTCACACTTGTAAGACAATATTTTACATAACTGTACACTGATTTATCTCAGCAAATGGATGAGACTTTCATTAAAGTCACATTTATTGAAATACCGAAAGTTGTTATTACCATAAACTGAAGTTTAATACTAGGGCAACTTTACTATTACTGATATTTAACTATTTAAATGAATACAATTTAAACAACTGAATTGTTGCTTCTAGTGAAATTGATTTGTTAAGTATTTTAAGATAGTGTATTAGTCATTTCTTTACTCTTTGAAGTAGCTTGGAAAAGTTGAATTGAAGAAGAAATAAAGATACATTAACTTACTGGCTGAAGTCTTAAATAAGACAACATCTAACCAAGGGAAGATTTGTTTTACTTGTTTTAGGTAAACGACAATACAGGCAGTAATTTCTGTTGAAAAATTATTCTTAATAAGTAATTTTTACTAAGACCATTTAAATATTTACTTTTAAGATGTTTTTTTTTATATCTGTTCATATTTTCATTAGCCATATACATTATTCTCTGTGTTCTAGATCCACCTTCTGGAATGTCACAGCCAACAGTTGAGAATGTTACAGATGATTCAGTGACATTATCGTGGGAGCCACCTAGAAAAGGTCCAATTACTGGTTATACAATAGAAAAGCGTGGAAAAGGAGATCGTGCTTGGACTAAGTGAGTTTATTATTGAAGTAGTCAAAAATAATAGTATATAGTTTGTCACCTTATTGTCTAAGCCTGTCTGAGCCTTTTTTTTTGCTTTAGACATTATTTTATCATCGAGTGTCACACAACATTTTCATTCTACTACTGAACATGCTTGAAGTTAGGTCCGAAGTTTTATTATTCACAACACTACTTCCGTTTCTGTATTAAATATACATGAGGAGAGCAGGTGCAATCTACTATTTTAAAGCAAAACTTAGACGGATCGGCATGTCTTTTTTATTGAAATAACATCAGTTATTTACTAAAAACATATTCTTGATGAACTGAAAAGTTAACCTTTTAACTAGCTCATATTATTCTCAAAATCATACTGCATCATCCTTGATAAATCTACAGTGAGAAAACAATTCACTGGCGTAGATGTTACACTAGAGCATTTTTAGGGGATTTTAGCCAAGATTGATTGAATGAATAATAAAATTTTTGAAATGATAAAAAGTTTTATTCACCTTATACTAAAACATTTCACACATCCATTCTTGATATATTTGATTATTGGATAAAGAATAATTATTAGTCAAAACACATTACCAAAGGTAGTTCTGGAGGTTATTATTTTGAAGACTTAGTCACGGACGACTACAAAATTAACATCTATTTTGAGGATAAACCACTAAGTGCTAATCAGCTACCTTGTTTTCGCATATGATTGTTTAATAGTGTGACCACTGGTTTATGAAAAGACCCGAAATTAATATTGTTAGATCTGAGGACGTACACTTTGTCATAGATCTATCAGGCCGAAGTTCTTTCAATTGTTATTTTTGTTTATTATTTATTTATTTGTGATTATGTAAAATATGACATCTAGTACTGTCAATGAATAATTATCTTTTTTACATACGCTATCGACTTAACAGTTCATAGTTTCCCTTCTCATGTTATCACTGATTAGGAAATCATATATGGAACAGGAAAGTAAGAAGTAGTTGTTCCATAATTCAAATATCCCCACTATCAATAGTAATCGTAAACTGACATTTCCAGTTCATTAGTATGTGTAGAGTGACAATGTTTAAGAACTGCAGGACAAAGATGTGATTCCTTAAAAACTTCTTAACTCTGTATGTAAACGCACAAATTATCATTGATTTTGAACTCCCTATTTTAACATTTATGTGTTTCTTTGAAAATTAAACATTACGTAGGGTAAATGTACATCCATTGTCAACAAATGAATATACCATAAGAGGTTTACCACAGAGTAAAGAATTTGAGTTTCGGGTTGTTCCATTCAATGCTGCTGGTGCAGGTGAACCTAGTGAACCGACAGGTTACGTTAAAATTCAAAAGCCCAAAGGTAAATACATAAAAATTAAAGTTCATATGAATATGCTTTACATTTACAATATTTAAAACATTTTTTAAAACTCATATTAAGATCAGCATAAGGTATTACTCATGTTAAGATTAAGAATACATTAGAACACTCATTTCTGAAATATTTTTGCTGTACCAATGCACTTTTTATTAAAGACAGTGACTTACAAGTGTTCAATCCATTTAGATTTTTCCAGTACTACAGTTATTTACTTCGAATCCCGACTTATTTACAGTGAGATTAGTTCATACACAAACGAATCTGTATAGTCCAATAGGTTGAATCAACTGAAAACTTACGATATAAAATTCATAACTATGTATTTCAACAATTCATCGATGCAAATCAATGTTGTCATTAGTGAAACTGATCAGACCATAAACTTACTAATTTCTCATTTTTATTATATTTTAACTTTCTCAATCAAAATATTTATAGAAATTGTTTTCATCAGAATGATAATATCAGGTACTTATAAGTCGTTTAAAGTGAAGTCATTAAACATCTAATAATTGTAATTTGATCCATTCTCTTATATTCACTTTTGTTTCTTCCCATGAATTTTCAATGTAATGCTAAAGCATGGAAATTTTAAATAGTCACAATTTGTGTATGACTATGATTTATATTAAGCAAGATCAATAATGTCTAATGCTCCAAGAATGTTAATAAATTCTACTGTTAAAATACTGCTTATCATGATAGTAAAGGTTCCTGCTTTCATATAGATTATTCAAATTCATCAAACTTTTAACTAGAGACAAAATTACAGAGTTACTTGATGAAATAGAAAAACCATACTCCAATACTTTATTTGCATAATGTTCATTAATTGTCTCAGACTTGATTGTTCCTGCATTTCCGTACTAATTGCTTTTTGTTCTCTTTCTTCCCTCCTTTATCTTCTCAATAAATAATGAATATATATTATTTATTAAATTAATATATATATATGTCCTGGGTTCGAATCTCGCGAGGCGGGATCGTGGATGAGCACTGCTGATGAGTCCTACAATGGGATGAAACAGCTGTCCAGTGCTTCCAGGTTTTTCATGATGATCTAGTTTCAATTGTAATTACTATAATATCCACAGAAACTCTTCTGATATGAGTCAACATATGCTCACTAGTGACTGGCTTCAAGAGGTATCCCCTGGAGTTCCAGTGAGAAGCAGTGACCGGTGAGTCCAACCGGGTCTGTTTTGAGATGGTAAATCATTGAAGACAATGATGAACGGTCGCGCAACTTCGTGGATTGGTTGAAGTCAGACATTAACACCGTTGGATGCTGGCTCAGTGGTCTAGAGGTTGTGAGTACGCGCTCGAGACCGACAGGTCCTGGGTTCGACTGGTGTCTGTGGGATTGTGGTTGAGTAATACTGAGGAGTTCCATACTAGGATGAAACGACCGTCCAGTGCTTCCAGATTTCCCCTGGAGGTTTAGGTCTAACTGACTCATGAACTCAACTATTAAATTACTACAATCTCCACAAAAACCTTCTTCTGAGAACATATTATACTTTCTTCATTATCTGTTAATGTGTACATAAACATTTGTTAGTTTAACAAATTTTTGTGATAACTATCAAATATAACGAATATGAATGTATACATTGGTGGCAAGTGACAGTTTTTCAAAAAAGGAAATCTACCTTTTTAACACATTCATGTGAAAGCTAACGACAACAGAGATTAGAGAAAATACATTAACTACTGAAGTATTTAACATTGTAATCTACTGTAAGCTTTTCATAAGAACATGCAATAGTAAGTAGTAGATTGGTAATATCAGTTAGTTAAAAAAGATAATCGGAAATATGAACAAAAGTTAATTTCATGATATGAATAATTAGGAAAAATTTACTTATGATATTTAAGATTGCCGCCAGATTTTTAAGACCCAACAAGGTTTATTAAACAACGATTAGGTATACTTAAAATGTTAACTTGAATCTCTTACTAATTATGTTTATGTAATCTGACATTTTAGATAGATAATGGTATTTTTGTTAATAAAGCTAGTAATTCTTTTTTTCAAAAACACTATCTCGTTTTTATATAAAGCTGCTCCTAAAATCAGTCCTGACGCACCTAAACAAGTAAATGTTACGAAAGGTGAACCGTTTAAAATTCGTATTCCGTACACTGGAAGTCCACCAGATGTTGTGGAAGCTACCAAAGTGAGTTTACTACTTTCAAATTTCTTATGTAATCCAATTTAATTTAATTACTGTTACTATATCAGTAATATTATAGTGAACGAGAATACAAGTGAGGATAATCGAATGTATTTGAACATAAAATTATGGAATCTCGTACGAAAATCTGGGAACTATATAGTAAATTATTCGTTTACAAAATATCAATCAATCGTATCAGTCTTCATTGTTCTTTCGTTTCCACCCTAATCATTCTCTGTTCTCGTTATCCATTCTTCGATGTTCTTAACTTTCTGCCAACGGATATTTCACTTTCGATTCATGATACATACTACTTATATCTGTTGACATCAGTAGCACACACCACAATAAGGCTTTATCCAACCATATTTAAAAATTATTTCCGTAATAATAATATTTTCATATCATTCATTTCACATTTAAATCGATCGCATATTTTTTCATAGTGTACAGTGTATCGAGACTAAACGTGGAAAATAATTTGATATTTTTAAGACAATTTCAATGACTAAGTAGGCCAATGAACATTTGGTTACTGTCACTTCCTATATTAAAGTTACTAATCAAGGATCATTTTCTCCTATATAGGTTTCATTCTAAACTGTTTAGTGCTTTCAGAAAACATATTATCATTTGTATGCCATTTTAAAATCTAATGGTTAACACTTTAAGGTTTTCGGTGATACTGCATGACGGTCATTTGAAATTTGTTGGCATCAACTAGTCACTAGATATAAATTAGGTAGAATATGGAGAACTGAATAACTAAAAAGTCGACTTTATTTGTGAGTGACTCTATATAAAAATCATCAGGCAGCTTTGTTACTTTATATTACGATTCATGAATAGACCCATTTGATACAAAAATGAATCGTTATTGAGTGGATAATCATTGTACATATACTTGTTTTTATAACGATAATAGCTATTTTGACTGCTCTCACCCAGTAGATATTTGTTTGCTTTCAAGTCACCAACTTATTAATGAAATTCAAGTTAAACAAGCGACATGAATAATGCGATATTAATTATCGATTTATCGATATTTGTTTTATTCTTTAGGATGGTGTACCAGTTATTTTAGATGATGGTCGATTCGTCGTAACTATTACACCTGACGAAGTGATTATCGTTGGGAAGAAAGGAGATAAACAAGATGAAGGGCCATATAAGATTACATTAAAAAATGATAAAGGTCAAGATACTTTACCAATTAAGATTAATGTTCTTGGACCACCAGATAGTCCACAAGGACCACTTGAAGTTAAAAATATCAAGTCAGATTCATGTACACTTGGTTGGAAACCACCGAAGGTGAGTTGAGATCATCAAAGTTTGTAACAATAAATTATAATATATGAGTGTTACACTTCGAGCCGTTAGATGTAAACCAGCTATCTGTGACCCAAATTCAAGAGTACAAATATCACCTGAATAAAATAAACCAGCTAACTAAACAATATATATTATCAAAATAATTACAGAATCCCTTGAAAGATCATCAAAGTCAAATTGATTGTAGTCAGGATAAATAATAAATTACCAATTTAGATATTTATATTGTCATAAACATGTAGGAAAGTGTTATTGAGATGGGTAAATCAAATATAATTGAACAATATTTTGAATTAAATTTTCTGACGTCTCGACTCAGTATAAGCCACTTCTTCAAAGAATAAACAACCAAATCAAAATTAATCCAAGTTTAAATAGTACAAGGGAACAACAAAAGTATATTATGTGCGATCAATAAAAAAACAGGTCTGAATAAATCAGTGTAATGTTATTTCGGTCAAGGTGTTTCATAAGCGAAATGCATGTAAATTTGTGTGTATGTGTGCACAGTTAAGGATGAAAAATGTGTAACTTCTATGGTTAGATTGACCTCACATAATATTCTTGTGTTGTTTCTTTGTACTATTTAAACTTGGATTCATTTTGATTTAGTTATTTATTCTCTGAAGATGTGGCCTACACTGAGTCATCAAACGTGACAAAATTTAATTTTTCTACTCATTGGAATATACTCAATTTGTTCGAAATTATCAAGTCAAACTTTGATAATAATACCTACAATATTTTGGATTGTTGCGTAAACAAATAAATTACAATTATCCAAAAATGGTAAATATTAAATGCGTAATAGTAAGATCTAAAAAAGTGGATAAAAGTGAATACTTGAATTTTTTGAAGCTTTAACCGTGTGAAAGTTCAAACTTCTCTTGTGTGGTAAAAACAATTTACAATTAAATTAACTTGACTCTGAAAGTAATATTTGGTAATATGAGTAGTGCTTTTCTTGCCTTTCTTGCCGTTATTCTTATGTTCCAGTTTATCTACTTAAGGTTTTTTATTTTTGATCAATATCTTAATTATTTGACGCTTGATCAGTTTATTCACGAAGTACTGAGCTAACATGTCATATTGGTTTTGGTGAACTCTATCTTCACATTAAACTACCTAAATAATAACCTATAAGCGTAAAGAGAAATTACTCGATAAGTAGATAGGTTTTAAAGTTTCACTTGTAAATACACTCTTCCATTATAGTAAAGTTGCTTCTTTTTAAATGAATAACATTCGATTAAGTTCATCTTGACAAAGGTGATTTCAAGAGAAAATAAATCTTTAAAAATACATTTCAAGTGGATGTATTTATGTAAACATAAAGCATGAATTGTTCATTTTAAGTTATTTAACAGTTATATATCATGATTGAATTGTATCGTAATAAGGTAATTCATTACACGATTATCTAATCATTAATTATCGAGGTGGTTTTAGACAATTTCTTATATTCTAAAAGTGATATGTATCACACATTTACATCAGCTAAAAACCAAAGTGATCTGAATATTTTTAGTCTCGATACATTATGAAACGATCTGCATACAACAGGGTTTTTCAATAAATTCTGGTTTTTAATGATTAATTTGATAAATTAAATCTAACTATCATACTTAAACTTTATAACATAATTTTAGGAAACTGGTGGTTGTCCAATAACTCATTATGTAGTTGAGAAACAAGATCAAAGTACTGGTGAATGGACACCAGTTAGTAAATTTGTACGTGGTACAGAATACGATGTACTTGGTTTAGATGAAGGCAAGAAACATAAATTTCGTGTTCGAGCTGCAAATGAATTTGGTCTTAGTGAACCACTTGAACTAGATCATACAATTACAACAGAGAATCCATCAAGTAAGTTATGATTTGATGTACATTTAAAGTTATTTTACATAACGGAGTGATATCAAGCTAGACGACAGAGTGAATGATGAATTTCAATATTCTATTTTTAAATCATTTCAGTTAAAATGTTGTATGATATAACTTTTGATGTGATTAAGTTGAATGATAGCTCTGTTATAGGATTTTACAGTTCCCATCAAAGTTACATACATATAATATTGTCTAGAAAGATAATGAATGCTTCGTTCACGTAAGACAAAGCAACTGTACAATTATGGTAATTACATTTAATATTGTATATACTGTGCTATAGATTTCTTTACTTTATCTAAGTATATAACATTGAACAAAATAATGAGTATTTTAATTATAATTGTATATGACTTTTTTAAAGTTGATTTTATTTATTGCTTTGATTATTATTTTAGCTGAACCTGGAGCACCAGGCAATGTTGAAGTAGCCGATGTTGATTCAAATTCAGTTACATTAGAATGGTCAAAGCCAAGATCCGATGGTGGTAGTAAAATAAACGGCTATGTAATTGAGTTTAGACCAGTAAATGGTGGAAGTTGGGAGAAAGCGCCAACAGGACCTATTAGAGGAAATAGTGGAACAGGTAGATACAATTAATTCAATTGATTTATATCGTGTATTTTGCTGTATTTTGATACAATTAGTACCATAAGTAGTCAGTACTAATTACAATGAATTAGTTCAAGTTAAATGATTTCACAATAAAATAACCGAATATTAGATTAAATTGAAGATAAAAGGCAACAGAATACAAAGACATTAAAATATCAAGGTTAAAAGTGGGAACATAAACTGACGTATCTCTATGAATGATAATTTTGATAAATGGTAACCTAAGTTTTTAAATACTGATGTTTTATTCTTTCAAACTATGTGGAGTTAGTCAATAGTTTTTTTGGAATAATATATGCTTATTTCAGACATGTCACAATACAATGAGAAACGAACATTTTTATCATTCTTCAGACAATTCACAGTTTTAACACTGGATCCAACATTTTGATTAAGATGTTCATTGTATAACATTCAAAAGGAAAGTAACATTTATAATATATAAAATTATGTTCTTTATATTGAAAATGACTAAACACTTAACCTACTATTGAACAAGATTGAAGTGTAATGAATAAATTCTGCAGTGTATATCACATCCAAGATTTTGGCATCAGTTTTCAAATTCAAAGTGGTTCAATCACTTATTATTCAAGGTTATATTAAACAGAACTGTTCTATCATCAAATGAATGAGAATTAACATTCATAGCATATATGTTTGTACCAGACTTATTTCTTAAGTGAATTTGTAAACAATATCCATCATTGCTTACAAAAAGCCTGTGAATTAAGGCAATATCGAGGCATACGTACAGTATGCACATATGCCGATAACAGACTAATCAATTGCAGTCTTAAACCTCAATGGGAAGATACAAGCCAAATAATACCAAGTGATTGTTCATCATCTTTAAATGTTTCTCCATGTTTCATTTTTTGTTTAAATCAATTTTCATCATTATTTTTACAGTTACTGGTCTTTCCCCCGGTGAAAAATATGTATTTCGTATTCTTGCTAAAAATGATGTTGGCACTAGTGAACCAAGTTCATCAACACGTCCTATTGAATGTAAACCAAAATATGGTAATTCATTAAAACTTTTCCTTGCCATTTTGCTTATTATTATAATTATTATTAAACTGATAATATTTTTTTCTACGTAAGAATTCTCTCCTATATGAAGTTGTGTATTACTTACAGAAAATTATTAGTATGAATCTGTCAAGTTAGAGTCAATAATTATTCAGAAAACATTACAGAAACCAGGAAATCCTCAAAATCCTTTTAGTCAATCAGTTTCCTCAGTGATTTCAGGGAGTTGAAAAATTTATTCTCTTCTTTAAATCAGTTTTTCAAACTCAAATACCAATACTAATTTACTTTCTAGAGTTCTAACTTTACTTATGATTATATGAATAACAGTTAAGTTTTATATCTAACCTAACTCAACCTCAAAGCAAAGCTTCGGTTATCTTTGACTTATTTATCATTTTACGAATGTTCAAGATTTGTAGATTGGTGGAAGTTTAGAAATTCGCGAGAAAGCCAACATTTTCTTCCAAAACCTAATAAAATTAATTTTTATAATGTTGTTCCGTCTAAGTGATCTCATAACATCGTTAGTTTTATTGTACCGTTACTTTAATTTATCAACAATTACAAACACAATTATATGGCTTTTACTTATGTTTCTGATGACTATTTCGTTGTTCCATATGATCAGATCGTATATTTTAATAGTCCACTTCATATTTTTAAAATGTTTCATTTATTTTTCTAAAAGACCCTCTCATATTTGATTGGATTTAGCAAAAGTAACTTGTGATATTTTTAAATGACACTTGACTCCAAGTTTAGGCATACAATTATCAATCTCATTGATCCATCAAAGAAAGTTTTAGGACCAGTTTAATAGCACTTATTGAGTGGAAATATTTGTCATTCATCATTGTTATTCATGATCTAATATATGTTTGATTATTGATGGAATATGTTCTAAATCAACAGTTATTTGTTTAAGTAGTTTTCACTTTATTTGAATACCTTTGTTATTTCTGCATAACTCCTAGTTATATTACAACGCTTATATTACATCAGCACAAATATAAATCCTTTTTCTCAATACGAAAAGCAAGGAATAGGTGATAATTAATAAATGTATTTATTATATTATTAGAGTAGTGTATGAGTAGCTTAACAAATGATTCAAAAAATGCAAACAATATTGGTTGCACTAAATAAACATAATGACAGTGAGTGTTAACTGAAGTAAATCAGTGTTCTCTTTTTTAAATCATTTTTCCCACTCAAAGTACTAGCAGGTAGCCCTAGTGAACCTAACGTTGATGGAGTTGGCAAGAATTGGATTGATTTATCATGGTCAAGGCCAAACAACGATGGTGGTGCTAGAATTACTGGATATATTGTTGAAAAGCGCAAAAAAGACTCTCCAGATTGGGAGGTAGCGACATCAGACGGTAAACCTATCAGCAGTAACTACGTACGTCTTGATAATCTTAACGAAGGAGATATGTATCAATTCCGTGTCAAAGCAGTTACTGCAGCTGGACCAGGTGAACCAAGTAATCCGACTCCCATTATTAGAATTGAAGATAAGAAACGTAAGTAAATTTATGTCATACTTATTAGAAAAATATGTATTTAATAATTTGACTAGAGGGAGTAAATTTCCAATAGACAGGCGAGAGTATTTTGGAAAAGTCCTTTGATTACTGCAACTACCAGTATAACGAAAATGACGTAATGTGAAATTGATAACCACTATCATAAGATTACATAATAAAGTATTGAGTGTTTAAGAAGCGAATTTCGGATTATAACTGTTCGATATGATTGTCCCGTAACGTTTTTCCCAAAAGGGCTTGATTTATAATGTGATGTTTAAATAAGTAATTACTGATATCTACTGATAAAATCTACCATAAGATAACCAAAGGTGTCTGTAATTACGAATAGGATTAATTCGAAGGGTATGCGTTTGAATTATTTACTCAGTGTTACATATCAGTCACTTGTTTGTACAGACAAAAACATTTATCGTCAAACCATTCATTAAAGACAAATATTGAAGGTCATTTAGCTAGAAAATATGCTTATACGAAGTAATATGAATTAACGAACCGTAAAATAACCGAACACTGGACACCTGATTTATTTCATAATTATATATATGCAATAATAGTTCATAAATTAATCCTGGCAGCTACCATTCTTCCAAACTTTCTCAAATATAAAACTTAACAAGTGCACCAGCTTTGTACTGGTTCTCTATTTGTACACTACTGGCCGAGTTAGAGCTTGTGGAGGACTATAATCGAAATCATGGACCCCAAGTAATCTTTATCAAGATCGTCTACTTTCTCCATTTCGATGTAATTTTGCTGTAGACATTCTTATACAGATAACTCTTACATCTTTTAAGTTTTCACTAAATGATTTAAAAGGAAGTAAATTTTCTGACTTATAACACGCAGATAACTTAGTTCTGTTGGGAGATGAAACTGATAAAATGGAGAGTGTTCTAATCACCTTTAGTAACAATGCTAACGTGTTTGGGCTGCGGTTCTCGTCCTTCAAATGCAAAACGTTGCTACAGAGTTGGCTTGCGTCAGAGCTGGAATTAACGATAGGGAGTGAAGTAGTTGAGCGCATTGACTGCTTCACTAATCTTTGGAGTCTCAGTGGTAGTGGTATGGTGTCTGACGAAATCTGGGTATGGATCCAGAAGGCTCTGTTGGCTTTTGCCAACTTGGTTCATTCGTGACGTAGACGAGATATCTGTCTTTCAACCAGAGGACAAGTTTACTGCTTAATAGTTCACCCCGTCCTATTTTATGGATGTGAAACGTGGTTATTCAAGATGGAAGATACTCTTAGGTTGCTAGTATTCGATTACAAATGTCTTCGGAGAATCACTCGTGTATTTTGGCACTACTGAGTGCCCACTATTGAGCTCAAGCATGAGGTATTAGGTAAAAATTTTGAAGGGATTGACGAAGTAGTGAATATTCATTAACTAAGGTGGTTGAAATATGTGATATGCATATGATCAAATAGTGCCTACCTCAATGCTATGTTCCCTAGTATGAGAGCATGTTTGAGAACAGTTAGAAACAGTCCAGTGGAGATGTGGCACTAGTTCGTGAATTTACTGATAATTGAACTTGATTATGTCGATAGGTGTATGACCAATGATTAGAAACTTTCGGTTATATAATTCAGAACTGTTCGCAATGGCTCACGTGAATTCACTCTTAGTCTTCCTTTATATCCTGAGTCCTGAAATCTCTTTATACTCTCATCTCCTTTCTATACCTGGTTTTTCTTACGACTAATGTTACTGAGATTTAGATGGTGGTTGGAGGTAGTCAACAGGAAACCCTGGACCCGGGTTTCGTGCTACTTGGCACTCGTCAGCAAGGTGTACCTGTAATCTTGAGGGAACTGGTGCTCCCTGGCGGATTCGATCTCGTGTCACCTAGCTTCACAGTCAGAGACGTTACCACTGAGCTAGGGTTTCCTGTTGACTACCTCCAACCACCATCTAAATCTCAATACATAGTGCCCGCAGTGTCGAGTCATCTAGACTGGTGGCCACATTGCAACATGATCGATAACATTCGATCTGCACTAATAAAGACTAGACAAGCATGACATTAATCACCACCCAGTGATCAATCAATTGTGACTAGTGTTACTTTTACACCTTCCGCCATTCTGGTATTTCTCTTAATAATTTTATCTCATTGTGCTATTGTGATATGGCAACTTGGATCGACTCACATATGTTCCCGGTTCTACGTTGCATGTCTGGATGATTGTTGGAAATCTAACGACCAAGCCTCTCTCCAATCATATGTGTATACCACTTACAAGCTTAATATAACTAAGGTAATAAAGAAGTGAACAAGTTAAGGGTGTTTAGAAAATCCATTTAAGAATTTATATATGTTTATTAAATAATATTACTATGATTTAAAACTCGAAATATTTTTTCCACCAGTTTGTAATTAAGCTAATAATCAATGTATTCTTCATTTTAAACGAAAACCAGCTACCGCAACACCTGATTTTGTCACGAAAATTCGTCCTACAACTGCACCTATCGGAGGCACAGCTGGATTCGAAGTACAAGTTGATGGTCAACCACTTCCTTCTGTACGCTGGTTTAGAGATGGTATAGAACTTTTACCAGGTAACCATATTAAGATCAATCCACCTGGTCCTGATGGAAAAGCGAGCATTGAAATACATGATCTTGACGAAAAAGACAGTGGGACAATAACTTGTCAAGTATCAAATCCTTCTGGTAAAAACTCATGTTCAGCTCCATTTGAAGTATTGGGTAGGTTTTGTGACGTTCATACACCTAATTATAATATGAATTACTAAATTATTAAGAAAAACTTAACAATTCCCTAACTTGATATTTATTTGTTTTCTTTGCATAGCAATACCCAAGATACTGGGTAATATTGATGATAAAGTGGCTTCAGAAGGCGATCTTGTTAAACTTAAAGTTCCTTACTCTGGTCGAGGATCTATCACGTTGAAATTAAAGTGTAATGGTCATGAATTACCGGAATCTAGTCGAGTTAAATTGATGGATTTAGATGGAACAGCATCTATTCAACTAAAAGGTAATACTTTATTGACTTAAATTTATGCACTTAATTACAATCGTGTTATTTAAATTTAAACAGAATATGTACGAAGTTGTGATAAACTGAGTAATGATTAACCTGAATCTCTTCATCTTAATGAAAGAAATAGAATATATCTGTAGCTAATTATTTATAATGATAAGTGTAGATAGATAGCGAGTGTGATAACACAAAAACCTCATACAAATCTCTTTAAGTTAATAATCTTCACAACCCCTATGCTGATAATCAACATGTGCTCACTAGTGACTAGCTTCGTGAGGGAATTCTCGGAGTTCTAGTGAGAAGCCGTGATCAGTGGAGCTAATCCATGTCGGGTAAAGACAGGTATCTACCTCAGTACAATGGAAGTTGGTCGCGCAATTTCGTGGATTGGTTGATGTTAGACACTATCACCACTGGATGCCGACTCAGTGGTCCAGTAGGTTAAGTGTTCGCGCGCGAGACCGAAGGCCCTGGGTTCGAATCCCGGGAGCGGGATCGTGGATGTGCACTGCTGAGGAGCCCCACAATAGTACGAAACGGCCGTCCAGTGCTTCCAGGTTTCCAAAGGTGGTCTAACATCAATTGGTTCATGATCTCAATCAAAAAAATAAATCATAATATTTTACAAATAGTCAACCAAAACCCAGATTCAATAAATTACAAAAAGATAGATCCGATTAGAAGGTGGTAACTAATAACTGAATGCTGATATGATGTCCAAAGTCTAACTAACCATCTATACATGACACATAAAGAACTTTAATTCTGAAACCTAGACCTACCTACCCAACTAATTCTTGAACTGATATCATGTCCTAGTCTTCCTAATTTAAAGGTTCTTGATGCTCGCTAATTATAGTCAAAAATGTATATCAACCTATGTATTAGCTTCATCTAAGCACCTTTTCTATTGTAAATTCATAATCTCATCAATCAGTATGCACTAGAATTAACTTGAAAATTATTTAGCTGACCATTTAATCGTAACTCAATAGTTTCTTATTAGACACGTATCCTTTAAGTAAAAACAAATTTTAAAGTGTATTCAGAAATATCAGTTTATACAGCATTTTCCTCATTCATCTTAATTCATTATAAATATCAAATAAAAGAAATTTCTATTTATTAATGATTTGGATTGTTCTTCATAGTTGTTATAACTTGTGACCTGTGTGCCCTGTTAATGTATAAAGTGATAAAACTACCAATTAAAGAACAGTAATTTGTCGATCGGACCAATGACGCATAAAGCTCGTGAGAGCAGTCTAGAGTACTTATCGGTCCTGCTTCCTGACTAGCCCAGCCAGTTAAGTTCAGAACAACGATCTCAGCTTCTGCAATATGAATCGGGATATAACAATAGTATAGGTTTATTAACAGTAATTTTTTTGGTCTAATTAATTTAACCATGTATTTTGGTTGATGTAGATGTAACAAGAAATATGAGCGGATACTATACTTTAGAAATTGGAAATGAAAGTGGTTTCAGTTCAGTACCATTCAATTTAAAAGTAACATGTAAGTTATGGTAAAATAATAGCTAAAGTATCACTATAAAACAATAATTGTTTACTTTTTTCATTCTTGATATTTATTAATTTATTTGAAAATTGTCTAGTTAGTTGTTCTTGTAGTTAAGCGTTCTATGCGATTCCTAGAAGTCCTGGATTCAAGGTCTAATAAGTTCGTGGATGTCCACTATCCACTGAACCTGATTTTCAATGGTGTTTCAACTAAGATCAATATGTGACGAATAAACTCTAGAAATATCTGTCAGTTTATTAATATATAGTCACTAACACTTAACTGTTATGTAAAAATGAATACTTAAATGTGAATAATATTTATGTTACACTGCTGTGTACTTACCGGTGGTATATTACATGAAATCGTTATAATAGACTATAAAAAGGAGATGAAGCTCCGAATAAGACTCCGGGTTAGGGAATACAAAATAATGTAGGAAGTTATGAACTTACTTTCATAGACACATTAAGCTATGCTTCAAAGTAGTCTATGAGACACTTGTTGCTCATGATATTATTGTTCAAATTAAAAAAAGGAAATCCTCTTTCAAACGAGATTTTGAAAGCAGCTTCTAATTATCTCTCCGATTCCTCTAAGTGTCAGTGAACTATCATTGCGCATGTCTCATGGCTTTTAACAAAACTGGCCATTCCTTTTTTATCTAAATTTTATGGTTTATAACTTAGTAGTAGTTTAAACTAGCAAAAATCTGGTCCTCAAATGTGTGATAAACCTATAGTTTCTGTAGTGTCTTTCGAGAACTTAACTCTTTAACTAATCGTAATACAAATAAATGAACTACTAGACCTCCTTTATTGGTACTTACGCCATCAAGTCAATAATGTAAGTATTGTTATTATATAAACTGTAGCAATGTTAGGGGTAGCTAAATAAGCTAATAATTAGAGTCATTTGATATGAAGTCATTCGCTTTAAAAATATAAACATATGTTTTTGAAATTTTATAGCTCCTCCAGGAGAATGTCAAGGCCCAATTACTGTTACGGATACAACACCTTTCAGTACGCGATTGTCATGGAAACCTCCAAAGGATGACGGGGGATCTAAAATTACTCACTATGTTATCGAGCGTCAAGAGGTTGGTAAAGATCGCTGGATCCCTGTATCATCTGGTAGTAAGGAACCAAATTGTGAAGTACAAGGTCTTCAGGAAAATACACATTATCTGTTCCGTGTGGCTGCTGTCAATGATTGTGGTCAAGGTGATTGGTTCCAAGTGCCTAATGAAGTAATTGCCAAGTATCCGTTTGGTAAGTCATTGAGATATTTTCAGTCGTGTCTGTTGTCAAAATTGAATTCGGGACTAAGAATGTGAGTGTATTTGTAGAAGTAGAAGCTTTCTCGAATCAAACCTATCTAAAAACAGATAATATTTGAAATTTTGACATCACAAAATGTTTAATAAGTCAGCTGAAATAATTCATGGGATTTAATTTTAAAATTATTATTAAATAAATGTTTTTCGACATAAATGAACACAGCTCCTTTTTTATCAGGTGTAAACCGACTTTCCTCACTAAGTTTGCTAATCCCTTTTCTATTCTCACTTACCGAGATATAATTAGACAGTTAAAAGTATCTGAATCTCTCATACAAAATCTGTTGCACAAAAACAAGTACATAAATATGTACTTAGTTATATATATACAGTTAATCATAGTATGAAGGAGTACTCATAAACGTTTGATAAATAATTCCCATATGAAACGTTTTATTTCACTAACATCACTGAACGTGGTCACACTAAATACTGTAGATACTGTGATCATGGTTACTAAAAATATTCAACTAACCACCATAAATGAATTTTAAACTTTACAAAACCATATATTAACTATATGTATGAAATTATTCATTTTGTAGACAAACCTGGAAAACCAGATGATTTAACTGCTAACGAAGTTGGTGGAGATTTTGTTAATCTTGCATGGACTAGACCTTCCACAGATGGTGGTGGTCGTATACGTGGTTATATTGTAGAAAAACGTGAAGTTGGTGCACAGAACTGGTCGCGTGTCACTCCAAATCCTATACTTACACTCAGTTACAATGTCCCGAATTTGATTGAGGATAAAACCTATGAGTTTCGTGTTATGGCTGTCAATGATGCCGGCGAAAGCGAACCAACTATGATAGATCGACCCGTGTGTGTTAAAGATCCTAAAGGTAGAGAATGTTTAATTTCACAAAGTTTTCTCTTAGAGAGTTTAATATTTTAGTTATGGTTTCTTATTTTAAATATCCCTACATTGTGACTAACCTTAGTTTTTGTTTTCATATCCAAATACCGACAGTTTCATTTATTTTTCAAAGATGCATATGAAAGAACAGAATAAATAGTTGAGAGGAACCATTTTTAAATCAGTGAATGGTTGAGAAACGTTGTTATAAATTAATGAGTGTGATTAGTCAATACTTCGCCCTCCAGGTATATCTGGATTGAGTGAATGAATCAACTATAGAATTTGATAGATATTTAGTCACAGAAGTAATAAGATAGTTTCATTCATTCGTAATGAGACTGAACCTCCCTAATAAATCATAGTTTTTACTTGTATGCTTCAACATGAATCAAAACATCAATCTATGGTATTGAACAAACAAGTGGTAGTCGTTGAGTGTACCTTGATGAGTGGCATAATTTTAGGTTTTTCATAATATAGTCTCCACTAAATTTTACTCCGTTTATGTACAGTTGGGTGGCTTTTGAAAAATTCAATAGTTTTGAAATCACTGTCTGTGAAGTGGAGTACCACTGAAAAATTTGGGTTCATTGGACAGATTTTTTTCTCTGTACTTCAAGTCCTTAGTATTTTAAACCTGAACAGGTTATGAAGTTCCACACTAAAACTTTAATTCTTATAAAGTGTATATTGGCATTTATCAAACGGGTCGCGAATGAATAATCTTGTGCTTTTCATATTCCATTGATTCACTATTTATTTAGACTACCATCTGGAGTGAAGTTCAACTGGAGAGGGACATTAATGAGATCACGAACTGATCTATATTGAGCAACCATTAAGAACCTGAATGTCTAACTTAGATCGGTTCGGAATCTCAATAAAATTCAACCATCTTCAAAGGAATTATTAGACATCCCTTTTTTATTTTAAAGGATTAATCTAAAGTTTTGTTTAGTTGATCATCACTCGGCATCAGAAAATTTCACATTAAATTATCATAAAATATTTTTAAAATTTAGCTCTTAGTTAAATCTATAGTGAGTTTCATGTTTTGAAATGGCTTAATTGTATTTACTTTCTAATTTTTCTTACTTATAAAGCTGTTTCACGACCGACGTTCATCAGTGGTCTTAAACCACAGATTGTAAATGAAGGTAGAGATGCTGTATTTGAAATTGAAGTCGACTGTTCATCGAATTACGATGTAGTATGGTCAAAAGGTCCTCGAGATCTCGTTGAGTCCCATCGTATTGAAATGACTAAAGAAGGACACTTCCATTATTTAACGGTTCGTAACTGTGGCCTTGAAGATGCTGATGAGTATAGCATCAAAGTTTCAAATCGAGGTGGTTCCAAAGTCAGCCGAGCACCACTGTCTGTCAAATGTAAGTGTAATGTTCTGCTTTAAAATAGACAAGGATTACATTCAAGTTTCATATAATTTCTATAAAATGGCAGCAATGTATTAGTTTAAATGTACAACAAATTTCTTTATGACTTTTCGTAGAATTCAGTTTTATCAGGAATATTGATGTCATTAGTTATAAAACCAACAATTATTATTTCCACGGCTAGCCACTATAGAAATATATGTGGTGCATAAAACGAATGATTTGCAAAGTTTGTATTGATGGTAATTTTAAACAACTACTGAAAACTTGTAAAGTTAATCAATAGTCTAAAAGTCTATTCATATTCTAAAATAAAAGGTTTTTTTATATCCATTTATCATAATACCTACTTTATAGCTATTGCATGGTTATGGCAACATAATGTTACAGTTACTTGTGATGAAACAGTAAGCATTAACATTAACAGTTGTTATAACTTTATGTCAAAAAGTTCCATAACTGGTTGTTCAAAATGGCGTCATGCAAAGATAACGTAGAATAAAAAATTGTCCTACATGAACGTTTTTAACTATGGTTGTCTGTTATTATCTTGACATTTTATCCTACACAAAATTTTAATTAAATCTAGTATAATTTAAGAAAGATTAATTCGTGAATTGGTTGAAGTTAGACATTAACACCGTTGGATGCCGGCCAGCTCATTGGTCTAGATGTTAAGCGTTTGTGCGCGTGACCGATAGGTCCCGGGTTCCAATCTCGCGATGCGGGATCGTGGATGTACACTGCTGAGGTATCCCATAACAGGACAAAACGTCCGTCCAGTTCTTCCAGGTTTCATTGAAGTGATAATTTGCACTTTATAGTTATTGTCTTAATATAAGTAGTATTGATGAAAAATTCCCATTATATTAAAAACACAATTGTATGAACGAAGAATATTCTTTTCAATAATTTCTCATCAGGTTCTACAATTATAAATCCAGATTAATAATCCATAAAATTGGCCAGATTTAAGGCAAAATACATCATCATTTGGAAATGGTAATATGTGAATCAGGAATTGTTTGTTATATAAAAATAAAATCGTTAATGTTGGGTCTGACTAATATGAAGTGTTAACTTGAAACGGTTTATAAGCAAAATGAAATTGTGAGATAAATTATCAGAATAAATATGGTCAACATGGGGTAAGAGAGAGAGAGCGAGAGAATATTGTGATTACAAATCGGAAATTGCGTAATATGTAAAATAATCAGGTCAAATATAGTAGGTTCAGGGGTGGATATTAAATAAATTCCTCAAAAAGGGTTTATCAAGTGTAAAGACAATAATAGTAATAATAATAAGTTTGGGACATAAAATGAACATTAATCAGATTATGTCACCACATTATAAGATTGATTATTAGCTAGTTGGCCAGGGTAAAAGGAGAGGCTGAACATACTTCTTTTGGATACAAAGCTCTGGCTTTTTGATCCGAATAGCAATTGCTTCAGCCGTCTGTAGGATTCGCAGTCTGACGGAATTAGGTAGACTGCTGTTGACACGATAGATTATTGCAAAAGATTGCTCCATGTTGGCTGTATGTCCTGTTTGGACTAAATGGTCTAAGATGGAGCTGTTAACAGTTTTGACAACACCTTTGCTTAACCACACGGGTAGGTGCTCATGTTCATTTTATGTCCCAAACTTATTATTATTACTATTATTGTCTTTACACTTGATAAACCCTTTTTGAGGAATTTATTTAATATCCACCCCTGAACCTACTATATTTGACCTGATTATTTTACATATTACGCAATTTCCGATTTGTAATCACAATATTCTCTCGCTCTCTCTCTCTTACCCCATGTTGACCATATTTATTCTGATAATTTATCTCACAATTTCATTTTGCTTATAAACCGTTTCAAGTTAACACTTCATATTAGTCAGACCCAACATTAACGATTTTATTTTTATATAACAAACAATTCCTGATTCACATATTACCATTTCCAAATGATGATGTATTTTGCCTTAAATCTGGCCAATTTTATGGATTATTAATCTGGATTTATAATTGTAGAACCTGATGAGAAATTATTGATAAGTAGTATTATAAATTTGTAAATAACTAACGTAAATGAAGAAAGATGTAAATTTGTAAAGTGAAGTTTAAATGTCAATAAGTTAATTTTAATTACATAACTTCAAGTTAAACGTTAATGGAAATGACTTTTTTTTTCTTGCTGGTTGAAGATTAATTTTAGTTATGTAGAATCAGGCTTTAACTAATTTTAATATTATAATATTCTGCTTGTCTTAAAAAAAGTTTAAATTGACGATAATTCACAAACTCAATGAGAACACAGTTTACACTAATATTATTGCGTTATTTAGCCAAACAGTTAATGCAGTCAATAATAGCGGTCTGCATGAATATCTGAGCTACCTGTTCCTACCAACTAGATACTTCAACAAGTTTTCTGTTTTCTTGTTTGTTTTAACACTTAATTATGCCTATTAGTCTCATAATCTATTTAGGTGCGTTTATGAAAAGTATATGACCTTTCGTTGTAAAAGTCACAAAGAAGTACAATTTTAAACATCGTAGTGGCTGGTGATATGTATTGAAAAGAATGCATATTATTCAGATGTAAATTACTGAACTACAAACACTTAACTGTCGATCACTCAATATTTATCGTCTGGATGGATCCAGAAATAAGAAAAGGAAACTTGTTGAAATACTTTGTGTTGAGAATTCTATGTTGTACCAAGAATATAATATTGAATAAAGCTATTAAGAATAATAAAAATAAAACCAACAGAATCATTCCGATATACATCAAATATATGCGTATATGAGTTCAAAGCTAATCATGTGAATATATATGAAGGTTGACGATGGAACTTATAAAATGCCATATGTTTATCGACTATCATATTCATTATGGACATACAAAAAAATAAAGAGGTCCTATATGATTATTGTGTTTCTTGACCAGATTTTTGATAACCTAATTTCACGTATGATGAAAAAAAATGTACAATTTTTAGTATTATAGATACTTGGCCACCAACTCATTTGTAAATGAACTAAATAGTAGACATTGTGTTTCACCATATGGTAATAATATTTCATGTTTGGGATATTTTGGTCAACTAATGTGTTGTGTTTGAAATGCATATTTTGTTAAGAAAACTTGTTATTGTTATATTCGTACTGTTTATTCTTCAGCTAAACCTCAAATACATTTACCAAGCCGTTGGCAAGAGCCTACAGAATGGGAACGTGGTGATTCTATTGTAATCAAAGTACCATATACAGGATTCCCTAAACCGAAAGCTAAATGGACATTAAATGGTAAGGATATAAAGGAAGGGAAAAATGTTAATACTCTGCTGAAAGATCGTCACGCTATAATCACCTTGGAGAATGTGGGCGAAGAATTCTCGGGCAAATTAAATATAACATTAGAAAATGAAATGGGATCAGATTCAGCAAATATTGAATTACGAATAAACGATAGACCACCACCACCAATCAATTTAAAAGTAGAAGGTGTAGCTGATGGATCAGCACTTTTATCTTGGAGTATGCCTGAAGGGACTGGGTATATTTCTCAGTATATCATTGAGCGATGTGAAATGCCTGGTGATACTTGGATTAGAGCAGGTACTAATCGGTAAGTAAACTAAGGACATTAAGACTCATGGACCATACAATTTCAATATCATCTATTATACAATATTGAGACATTAATTAATGAGTCCTTATAAACTTGGATGTAAAATAATGAAATACCGTAATATGCTGTTAATTTGTAATAATTCATTGAAAAGTGAACAGTTCAACTGATTATATATTAAGCATGAATTATGAAGGCAATTAACTAAACCTATGTGTATAATTGAACAAGATTTAACTATTTTAATTGTAATGAATTTCATCTCACCTTTAAAAGCATTTAATAACTCAAGGATATAATAATTGATCGTCTATAGAAATATATCTAATTTCTAACTACTTTTCTTTACGGACAAATATCTTCTTCAGGGCTATCAAAAAACAGAAAGAACTAAATTGTTATTTCATTCTAGTTACGAACTTCTCAGACGACCGTGTTCTTGACCCCACTTAGATGGGGTCAAGACGTTTCGTTTTCTGAAATACATAATGTTCTTGTGTTCAGTACAGTATAAGATGGTGGTGGAACTTTGTTGAGATAAGCGAAGATAACTATAGTTTATTGTCACCTGCAAATATAGCCACAAAAAATTTACAACTTTTGTAATGAATCCAATCTGTAATTTTTTTTCTAAAAAACCAAATCTACTATGTTAACCTTACACTTATTATTTACTATTATTAGTTTCTCAACGTATAATTGTGAAGGACTTGTCAATGGTAAAGAATATCGATTTCGTGTAATTGCAGAAAATCTGCATGGTCGAAGTGATCCATGTCAACCTACTGAAAGTCACTTAATTGCTGCAGATACTCGTCAGCGTGGTTCTCGTCGAGGACGCGAAGAAGGTCGTAGTGATTATACTGGACCTCCAATTGAAAACTATGATAGATTTCGTAAGTTTTATTCTAAGTAATGAAAAACCACTGACTGTACATGAACCAATAGTGAGATTTATTTTTTTAGAGTTAGCAATTAAATATTAAACAAACAACATTTTTATAATCACATGAATGCTTGTTAATTAGTCATTATAAAAGCAAATAATTTCATTATATACTTCAGAAAACAAGCTTTTAAGTAACTATAGAGAATGATTAACTTGATATCATGATTCCTAATATGTGTGATGGTGCCTTTTTAATATGCTTTCGGTAATCCTTATTATTTATTTGGGGTGGTTTTGTAGAAATACGGTTCACCTAAAACCTGTTTCATAATAGATTGACATGAATTCAAAGATTGAGGAAAATAATGGGCTGTTAAAACCCTGATGTTTACAGATTTAAAAAGCGATGTTCACATACAATTTTTTCTACTTGTACTGAGTACAGAGATAAAAATGATTATATTCAGTAATGTTATTCATTTCTATTCGGTTTTATCCTTCATATTTGATTGAACCCCAGCTGGAAATGATTATTCTTTAGTTCTTTCATGCATTCAAAGATTTCTCTCTTTCGCATTTAATCAACAAGCTACGTTAAAACAAAATACCACATCAAGTAATTCGGAATTCTTAAAGCGAACCAAGCTGTATGACAGATGATTGTTTAATTATAATTATAATAATTTTTGTTTTATTGTTGACATTTTGAAGTGCGATCCAGTAAATCTTATCCTTTGAATTAATATCTTGAATTATTGCAGATCGAAATATTTGGGACAAGCAAATACCACTGCCAACTCAAGTTCATAAAGGTGAAAGTGTCTATGACTATTATGACATCATGGAAGAACTTGGGATGTAAGTTATCTAACAATAAGCAAATGGTTTCTTTAAGATATTTCGAAATATTACTCTAAATAAACACTCCAATTAAGTGAAGTGTTTTAAAATAATTTATTTCCATGTTTCAAAACGATGATTGAATATAAAGTTAGACATTGGATAAGAATTAGTTATGACTATAGTGCTAACATACACTGCGAGACAAAATAGGTTTCCCAACTGTCTTGGTTTGATAATCCTCGTAAATGTTTGACTACCACTACTACATGTGATAACTAATCCTATTCTATTGTTAGTTACTAAGTGAACTATTTATTTTAAGTTCCTTATCCTGGACCTGGATTTAAAAAAGCACTCGAAATACTATCAAAAATCCTTTTCCCAACTTTGTTATTCACAGTCTTATTGAAATTCTACCTTTGATCTCAAGATTTCTAATTTACGTAGCCAGTTTTGGTATTGCCTTCTGCCTAAACCACCGAAATTATTATTCTGTTCAGTTATTTGGTCCATTGTTTACGGCTCATCGTCAAGTCACTCTACCATTGTAATTCTGATCTTCAATACCCACTACATATATATATCGCTTTATAAAACCTATTAGGTCGTTAGTGGCAGTTGGAAGAATCTAGGCCTAAAGTTCTGTGTTATTTAACGGTTTTCGGCAAGGTGTATCTGTTGTTTTGGAAGAACCGATGCTGCCAAGGGGATTAGAGACCATATCACTCAGCTTCACACCCTGAGACGTTACCACTGAGCTTTTAGGGACTCAAATGACCTCCTGTAGAACCGATTTATCCACAGATGAGCGTTCATTTATTAGCGAACAATTTATTGTTTGTCTAGTTCTTTAGTGCTGGCCGAACTCTATCGACTGAATTTCAAGATAAATCTTACAAATGTAGACTACAGAAAAATACTATAAACAACTGATCAATAAAAGCTCTTTAAAAATTGTACCCAGCTTAAAACAAGGTAGTTACGCAAGTTGTAAAATCATATACTTCCTCTCTCTTTTCTTAATAATTTAGTGGAACATTTGGTGCCGTTCATCGATGTCAAGAGAAGACTACGGGTAATTCGTATGCGTGTAAATTTGTGAACACTGATACACCACAAGATAAACATGTTGTTTTAAATGAAGTTGAAGTGATGAAAGAATTACATCATCCAAAATTACTCAACCTTCACGAAGTATTCGATGATAAGAATGATGTAGCGATGGTTATGGAACTGTAAGTCTTTTTCTTTGAATAAACATGAACGTAAGAATGGTGTGTCGTTATAACACTTGTTGCATATTTAAATATTGAACAGTCATAGTTAAATTGGATCTATATTGTCGGTTTATAGCTTATAATCGATCTAACATTACTAAATAATTTGATAACCGTGTCAAAAAAGACTCACAAATTCATAAGTCTTAATAAGCTAAACTGTCTTGACTACTTAAATTTTAATCATACATAGAATTTTAGTGGTTCGACTTTCGACAGTTTTCTGGTACTTTGGGATGTTTTATGCGGAAACTGACTAAATTTATTCAGTTATTGATTAGTTCTTTATTTCCTAATCATAAGATGTAGACTAGATTTAGGATAGACATTGAAATCACTGCAGGGATCTCACTGGTAAATAATTCTGAATTATAATGACAGTTTAAGACGGATTTTAGGGATTACCTGTAAGGAACTGTGATCTATATAATCCAATAATATTTAGAGTGAGACTCGTATCCCTAATGATACTTCGTGATAGTCCTGTGTTATTTCTAATGAAATAAAAATGCGAGTCAATAAATTTCAACTCATTGGTCTATAGGTTTAATACGGAGTCGCCAATACACATTACTGAGTAGTCTGAGCCCAGGATGAGACTTTTCAGTTCTCACTGATTCTCACTATATTTCCAATTGATGTGTTTTTCATAAAAGCGATATCCAAATATTCACAAAGTTCTCATAGAAATTAGATCTATTTTGAATTATTCAAGTGTTTTAAAATATCAGAATACGAGTCATAATTGATGCGAATGCAGCTGCACTTCAATTACTTAGTAACATGCTAAGTACCCATGAAGTAACATCAAGAATATCGACAAGTCATCCTCATTCGTTCCGTTCGTTTGGCTATCAAGGCTTTAATAAGGTATTTATCTCAAGTTGAAAATCATAATGTATACGTTACATGACATCATCTTCGTGAATTTATTACTGAAGCTCAGAACATCGTTTGGCTATGTGTACTCGTGGTTCATGCAGTAATAATGTATTATGATTAGTTCTTGGGAATATTCTTTCTAACAGATTAATAACGAGTACTTAAGGAGCTGGAACTCTGTGTTTTGTATTCTCTAGCTTCTTAGAATTTATTTACTATACTTTAAGTAAAAAGATTTATCTACATTAATTATTATTTAATTATCAATCATTTAGACTTACTGGCGGTGAACTACTTGACCGATTAGCAGATGAAAATTCTACAATGTCTGAAGCTGATGCTATTAATTATATTCGACAAGTATGCGAAGGTATACAACATATGCATGATGCAAATATCATACATCTGGACATAAAGGTAAGATATCTGTTGAAAATTGAAAGTGAAACTTCTTTTATCAATATTTACATAATACCTGAAAATTGCTCACTTATTTATATTATTGTTGCTACTGATTAAAAATGTTATCACAGAACTTTGTGATCAGTCCCAACTAGTGTTCTTTTAAATGCATATGTTTTTAAATAAAATGCAAGCAAAATTCTGAAGTCATAAGCAGTGATAAGGTATATTGAACGTAAAAAGTTGAAGACTCAATGAGCAATAATTTCTAAATCATCATTTATGTATTTGTATGCATTATCCACTTGTACATAAAACTTGGAGTGTATGGTAATAATTTATTTTATTCCTATATTATAAAATGATTTGTTTAATTTTTAAAATTTGTCTTTATCTTCTGATTAAAGCCGGAAGATTTAATGTTTGAAACATCGAAATCAAAAAATCTAAAAATTGTAGATTTCAGTTTATCAAGGAAATTAGATCCTAAAACACCAGTTAAAGTTAGTTTATCACATCCAGAATTTGCTGCACCAGAAATTACACGATCTGAACCAGTTGGATTTTATACAGATATGTGGGCGATTGGAGTTTTGACTTATATGATGTAAGTGATTTATTTCATTTCTAAATTTTAGTTAAAACTTATCTTAGATGTTCGGTGGTTAAAGGGAATTGGGGGCATAGTAAATCCATAATTTTCATAAGTTTGATTCTATTCTTGGAATGAGAACCTGAATCACTCAATGTTATAATCAAAGCGGACTGAACAACAAATAACTTCGTGGAGGATATATATATATATATATATATATATATATATATATATATATATATACGAAAGGACTTTGTCTTTTACTTTAAGTATAGACACAAGTTATGAGATAATACACTCCATCTTATAAATCAGCACAAATAAATGATTTTTAAGCCAAATAACCGGTATTCTTTTAGCGGCCCGTGGATTTGGCTCCATTTAGATCGTATAAATATTCGTTATCACCTATCCTCGTATACAATCATCGACTTAAATCACGTTAGTCAACAACGGAATTTCAGATAAGTCAATTAACGAGAATGGCCTTTGAATACATATATTTGTATGTAAAGTGAATGTAATAGAATAAAGAAAAATGCCGCGTAGTGGAGATGGCTGGTAAGCCAACTCATTTTTAGCCAGGCGTTACTCAATATTTATAGGCAGATAAAATAAAGTACAAACATGTGATGAGACATGGGATATGAAGTGTACACACATATACGCTCATATAAACCCAGTCAAGACTAATAAGCGAATAATTAACAAGGTCAAAATATGACTCAAGTAGAATGAATAGATTGGGCTGTCTGAAAGTTAGAATAAAGTATATGGGCTTAACATAACTGACACTACATTTTTCTACTAAGATGACATATGTCTAGGATGTTATTGGAATAAGATTTACATAAATAGCATATTAACAATCTTATGTAATTGTTACTATAGTTTTTTTGGGTGCGTTATTGAACACTTTTTAAAACTTGTTTCTTTACTAATTACTATCAGTAGAATATTTTATCTGTCATAATAATTTTTTTTCAGTTTGAGCGGTTTCTCACCCTTTGCTGGAAATACTCCAGCTGAAACAATAGAGAAAATTGGAAGAGGTCAATTTACATTCGATCATGATGCATTCAATGGAATTTCGGCTAATGGTAAAGATTTCATTAGTAAATTGTTACAAAAACAACCAAAGTAAGTTATTGCTTCTATCGAAAAAAATTTACTGAATCATTTTAATCACAAATGTGTTTTGTTTTCGAGGAAAATCTTATTAATATACAGTTCACGGTTTTTTTTTCAAAAATTCTGCAATGCTGGACAATAGACATTTTTATCACTATTCAAGTATTATGCATCGGTATACACTGAAGACCTCTTAAGATTCAAACTCAAGGTCCTAAGAATGAGAAAGAATATAATTCGACTACGTTTCTAAAGGCTTATTTCGTAAACTCACTTTCGGCGATAAATATCTCGGTGTACAAACATCCACATTTTCAGCATTTATGATAAGATTCTAGCAATAGTAATAATAATCTACATAATTCTTTTATGATATTTGTTGATATTTTGTGCATTATGAATTAATGCATGAGATCATTGAATATTAAATGAATATTTAGACTTTGAAAGATAAATTAAGCGGCTTTCATATTTGATTCACTAAGTGTTTCGTTACAAACTATCAGAAAGTTAAGTATTTTTATTCTAGGACATGACGAAACAAGAACTACACTATTTCAAGTTTCTACTTACCAACTTTTTTTATTTGTTTTGTCTAGAGGAGGTTTTCGAAAGCATTCAATAAATCCCTTTCTCGTACATTTATATAAGTTTCGAAAAGAGTATATATAACTGGGATTTACTGTTTGTAACATTTTAAATAATTGATCAGTCGAACGAGTAACACGTTCAGTTTTTTTTTCATCGGACACACTTAAAATAGATTATGCTTACGTTTAACGGGCATACATTGTAATTTGGCTCAACACGCGAATGACATTCCATACACTTATTTATAGACAAACATTTATCTCAACCGCTAATTTAAGTAGAACGAAGCTCTGGATACATTTTACCCCAAGTTAAATGGCAATTCTTTCAATACAATAAAGAGTTGTGAAACAGTTTTTCGACAAGGCCAACCGATATTTATTTTAGAGCTTTATAATCATCAAGATTTACTTTTAATGTCATTAAAATCTATCCCCTGAATGAAACGGAATGAAGACAGATTTATCAATTTACTCAGCTCATACCAGCATTTCTATACTGTTAATTACACCTGTAGATTGTAATGTTTGAAAACTCTACTTCATGCCTTAATTTTTCGCTTTTTTATGTATCTTAACAGCCAGCGTATGACTATCTATGAAGCCTTAAAACATCCCTGGCTTAATGAAGCAATCACGGACGAACAGCGTCGACGTATTCCACCTTCACGTTATAAAGAATGTCAAAGACAAATGCACGAAAGAATGGTAAGCAAACGGTAAAAACTGAATCATCACAAAATTTAAGCTAACTACAACTATATTCCCACATGATGTACTTTGTTCACTAAGGGATAAATAACCATCAAGGGGACTACATCAAAAATCAAACTCATTCAGTTATGTATACTGTTTATGGAAACGATGAATCAAGTTTCGAATTTCTGTTGTGACCAGATCACAAGTTTTTGATTATCGACATATTTCACAGTTTAGTTGATACATATTGTATATATCATAAACTAAGATTATGATATTCGCATAAATTGTAACTTTATCTATTGAAGACTTCTCTGATTAAATATTGTGAAGTCCATTATTTCTGTTAATTTAAGGTAACTTTCAAACGATTGAAGAGAACTGTAAAATAATTTTTTATTAAATAAGATTTAAAAGCTCAAGAATCATGAAATTTGGTATTCATTCAAGAATAAATAGACTTTATTGAACTTAGATTAATGGGTCAAATATAGAAATAATTTACAACCAATTAAATATTTCTTTTTGCAGACGAAACGTGTTCATCAGTTCACAATGAACACTTATTTTGATAATAATTAAAATAGTTAGTACTTTTTTAGTATTCATTCATTTTCGACCACAGTTGATCTAACGTCGACGTGTATTTTCATTATAATTGGTAACTTACATCCTTTTGTTCTGGTTGTTATCAAACATTAAGAGAAATCTCAGTATGACATTGCGGAGAATGTTGAATTCTATTGAAATCGTGAGTCGATCATGGTTAAACTGTCATTGAAAGTCTGGAAGTACTGAAAAGTCGTCCTGTTTTAATACAAGACTCCTAAGGAGTGTACACTCACGACGCGAACTACGGACCTTCGATCTCGCGCGAGAACGCCTAAGCACTAAACCACTGAGTCAAGAAGAACACCTACAGACTGGATAACATTTTTTTGTGGAACTAGTTTGATTATTGTGTTCCTTAATGTTTTTTAAATATAAAATATACTTTAGGTTAAGCAAATTATAATGTTAAATGAAAAATATCTTGGTAAATCTTGTCGGATGATCCATAGTTCTTTATATAGATGTTTTTTTTACTTATTATTGTTTTCTTTGGGCTTAAAGCCGTGCTTTGCTGAGTCGTGCCAAGAAAAACAGACGCTGAGTAAAAGGTTACCAGACAATCACCCGAATGTAATTAATAATATGTTGGTAAAACTGTACTTCATATTGTATGAAATATGTAAGGGAAGCTGGTTTATTTTCTATATCAGCTGAAACACTAGTCCCAAACCATTTTAAACATGAAATTAGTTATGAGTCAAACTTCAGTTATTTTTTTGGTGATGTCCTCTCTCAGCTAGTTGGTTTAATTATGAAGCGTTCCTTGTCGTCCTGGACAACAGTAACAACTACTTCATGTAGAAGTGAGGTCTACAGGTATCACCTCAAGTGTTTTACTAGTTCTGATGATTTTGTTTGTGATTGGTACTTTTAACAACTTATGAAGACTACCAGTCATAAACAATTAAATTAAAACCAACTTGTAGAGTAGTTGAAAAGTTCACTTTTACATGAAGTAGTTGTTACTGTTGTTCAGATCGACAATGAACGCTTCATAATTAAACTATTCAGGTTAGAGGACGCCACCACCAAGTCGTTTATATCATTTCATAGTCATTTCTTATCCAAACAACTTTTAATTACTATTATCTAATCATTTTTATCTTTTGTGAAATGTTCTTTTTAATAGGGTGATATATATCAAAGAAGCCCGGCTATTGGTCATTTGGCAAATTATTCATCAATACGTCAAAATAGACGAGATAAATATCAAATACAAGAAACAAATTTCGGTACGGGAAGTAAAAGTCATCCATAAAAGATTTCTTTTTATGCTCTTTAATAAACATCTGCTTACCATACTATATAAGAATGATTTAACTCGGACATGCTTCATCATTACTGAAATTTTTGATTGTTTTTTAACATTCGTGACATGTTCACGTAGCAACACAGTGTACTTATCATCAAAGAACTAGTTTTTCGAATGTCTGAAAATACTTAATCTATGACTAACCAATTCTGATTGAATTCATCTCAGCATGAACTGTTGTGAAGACAGTGTCTTTCCAGACCAATTATTCTATACCTAACCAATTTTTAATGCTTTTTAACCTTCTTATAATGACTAATCGTAATTAAGAGAATAACTCATCGTTTTGGATGGAACAGTACAGTGCCAGGTACTGGACATTTAGCGCTGGTGTGGTACTTTTTTGAAAAAATAATTGTTTTTACTGGTTTTGGCTTGGTGAGACATTTGAAATAATTGAATAAGATTGAGTTTTTCAAATGATTTGACCTCATCATGGAGGGAAAATACTAAGAGAATTGATCTTAGAGAATATACCTGACTTACTCAAGTGCACGTAATCAACATTGATACAGGCTTATTTTTAAGTGTATGTATTCAAGATGTTTAAATGTCAGCCAACTAAACCAGACATATAGTAAGAGGATAATTTTGTTTGTATTTGCAGACCATACGTATGGGGACAACCATCTTTTTTTAATGTTCGATATTAATGAGATATCTAACATTTTCAGTCATTTTTCAGTTCACTTAGTATGTCAGTGCTGAGTGTACACGTTTAATTTTGATTGCAACTTCATTTGAACTACTTAAAGCTATTTAGATGTGTCATCTGTCAACGTGCTGCCACAGCGCATTCAAACTTTCCAAATAAAAAGCAAATGACGTTAAGATTTAAAACTTTGAATGAAATACTCAGTGATAATTTTCCTCTTACATTCAATATTATCTCAATAAATGAACGGGAAGATGCCAGATATTGCACACATATTGAACAATGAAAAGTAGATGCTCTACAAGTTCACAGATGCGTATCCTATTCCAACCATGATGCTTAATTGACACATTTTAACTATATTATTTTTAAGCAAAACGTTTTTTATGTTTCAGATCGTAAAGAGGCTGGTCCACGTTTTGTAAAATGGCCTAGTAATCAATTGGTGATGGAAGGTGAAAATGCACAATTTAATTGTCGTGTTATGGCACTTTCTGAGCCCGTCGTCACATGGTAATCCATTACATCACACTATTTTGATTCTTTTGAAATAAACGACAATTCTGTTTACCGTAAGATTAACTAATTAGCTTCATATATATTATAGGATACACAAAGCTAACATTCCTATATGTTAATTACTTGATTATGTAACAGTAATTATTAGACTATGCAGACCTCTAACAATAACATAACTCTCAGTTGCTCACTCTCATATTCAGTTTTTTTTAATTAATTGGTCACTGAATACTGACCAGTATCATGTTTGTCCAGTTCTTAGTGTTGATCGAATGACACTGGTTACTACTCACTGACAAATAATTATCAATATAATATTCGTTAGTGAGTGCTCAGTTCTACGTCACAGAATGTCAGCTCAAGTGATGCGAGTTCACATCTAAGAAAACATGACTTCCTTCGAGTTTTCAAGTACGCTTCGTTGAAGCGTTCCAACTAGTGTAATGGACACTACTCACAGGATTGTTTGTAAGTAGTGTGTAGCGGAAGGAGATGTCGAAGTTGCTACAATTGTCAGATGGAGTGAGGAGTCTCAGTGCATCGAAACCACGGCGTTGGCAGAACATTTGGAGACCAGATGAGAAGACTGTTCAGATTGCAGAAGACACAGAAAGGTGCAAATGGAAGATTGAAGGCTGTGTATATGTATGATGTAAACGCTTAGTAACTGCTTTCAGTAAACATACAATTTCCCTGTCTATTGGCGTACTTCACACAAGCGTAAAATTCAAGATGTACCTTTGACTACCACCTTTCAATTAAATTCTACTATGACAAATGTCTATGCTATGAAGTTTAAGAATAAATATCTTTGTACTTACAAACTTGTAATAATGCATTAGAAATGATAATAAGTGGTCAGAGACAGTCCAATATTCTTCTGTAGTACAGTCAGATATTTTAAACATGAATAGTTTCACTAATGGCGTTTCCACTCTCTGATCGTTGACTGCTACTTTTTTATATCAAATGAGTGGAATCTATTTTTTTAGCACATCCTTTACTTTAACAAGAATATTTTGGATTTTCTTCCTAATGCCTAGACTAGTGATAAAAACTAAATAAGATGAACATAATATTCTTCTAATCAGGTTTTTCATTCTGGTGTGGAATTTCCCGAACTAGTAAAATAACCTCTTTCCAAACTCTTCATTATCAAGATACGGTTTTTAGGTTAATCTTAGTGATCATTTCTTTGCATATGGTAATAGTTTCATTGTGCTTATTCATGATATTCAGGCATTTTGGTGACGTTCAATTATCTCAAAGTGTAAAACATATGCAACGCTATGCTGGGCACGATTATTCCCTAAAAATAAATAGGGTACGTACGGAGGATGCAGGACATTATACTGTTCGTGCTGAAAACAGTTTTGGAAAACGTGAATTCCCTGTCTTACTAACAGTACAACCACTACAAGAAATTAAAATTGGTAAGATGCTGTTGTTAATTCTCTTTAATTTTTATGTTGATTTTATTCCAAACATTCAAATTTACATCGTTTAAATATACTCAACCAAATAATCTACTTTTACTTTTCATTAATTATAGAACCGTTGCCACCAACATCACGTAAAAAGATTGAACCAGCGCCCGTCGAAATGTTCCATGAAGAAGAGACAGCACCGCGTTTCGCTTTCCATCTACGAAACCGTTATATACAAGAAGGTGGAAGTGTGAAACTGACATGCTCTGTCGATGGTTGTCCTACTCCAGTAATCACATGGTTTAAAGTAAGAAAACAGTACTCAAGCGAAGAGTCATTTGTGGAACTCAGATTTCATACATTTTTAATGAAAATTTATTATTCAATGTGTTAGATTTCAAACCAGTTTATGTGATTCGTTTCTAATCTATTGACTGAAACTATTTAGCTATCCGATAGATCCATTTTTATATAGCATATGAAACTTCCAACTAATTGAAAAACTACCTAACATTTCCCTTTATAGTGCCACACTGAAGTGATCAGTAATAAGCCCTTAGTTTGTTGAATCCACAGTCCTACAAAGATTTAAAAGTAGTCTGTAGTAGTAGTCTGTATTTTCATTAGATTAACTTTATTATTACTAATCATTTTCACTATGCGTCAGTATTATAATGACCATGTTTTCATCAACTTATGATGTCAAATGAAACCAAAGAACTCCTGAAAAGTTTTTTATCCTAATCTCAAATCCCTTAGCACCACATACCAATTAATCACAACGTATTTCAACAAAGAAAGTTTAAGTCTTACGATAAACACTGGTATTCTTTATCCAAGTTGAGATTCAACTACTCAGGTTTTCAAGCTGCATTTCATTTTTTACATAGTCCTTTTCTCATCGGACAATTACGGTGTAAATCAGTTTAGAAGTATGAGACTGTCATTCAACCTATTGGGGGGGATTTAGTGGGTAGACAATTGTTTGACCAAGTTGTTTTTGAAAATATTTCATGTCAAAGAGGGTACATGTTAACTTGTTGAAAAATTGTATGTGAGATGCTTAAAACGAGACACGGTATTAATCACAAATCAATGTACTGTATTAGGGTCTTGGCTTAAATATATTAGGATAGTGTAATAAGGAACCGAAGATTATTAGAATTATATGATGTATTAACGCAATACATTTCGAACATAGTTCTGATAATCTTCGTCATCTTATTACACTACCCAAATTTATCAAAGGGACGAAATCCTTCAAATTTAATATATTATTCGCGCACCAGATTTGGCTTGAGTATACGAAAGTGTTTGTCTGTATTTCACTAAACGATCGCGAAATGTAATATTTAGTGTGCTAATATATCATATTGACCACAATTAAATTCGTCTCCTTATCATACTATCTAATTTTATCAATATGTTTTTGTCTTTTTTTCTCCGTTGGTAAAAAGAGAGAAAAGTAAGAGGTAGATTGTAACAATAATTCGTAATTATATTAATGAAGTGAATAATGGAATAATAATTGTGTTGTTTTAAATAGTTTCTTGAGTTATTTCATAGAAGTCATGATAAAATACATAGTACACTCACTATGTAATTAAAATCACAATTATTATTAAAAATTCAACATTTACTATTGTTTTGAGACGATACAGAAACTACTTGTAGACAGCTATTTCCTTATCTTCGCTAAATCAATTTTCACTTTGTTATAACTTGTGGCCTTGTGCCCAATTATTATATAACGTAATGATACCGCCAATTAGAGAACAGTGGTTTATCGACTGGACCAATGACGCAAAAATCCGTACAAGCACTCCTAGAGTATTTATAGATCATTCTTCCTACCTAGCCTTCTCGCCTGTTAAGTTCAGAACACCAATCTCAGCCCCCACGATATAAATCATATATTTCAAACATATTGCGTTTATATACAAACCAAACAGACCACATCGCATCACAAAATAGAAAACAACGTTTGTACAAAATCTAACCAAACGTGGCTGTGAATATGAGAGACTGTAATTAATAGACTGGGTATAACTCAAAAACGGTAAATAGTATAATAATAATCTATTGGTCAAAATAAAGCTTACAATAAGAGGAACACGAATATGAATAGTTTAGTTACCTAACAATTATACAATAAAAAATATATGTATAGTATTAGTCCAGAAATAGATTCCAATAGTTATCATTCATTATTCTCGTCGGGATATAAGACATGTCAGTTCGTTATTATAGACACATTTACTAAGATACGATGTTACATGTATATGATGCACTTAAAATATAACCAGTGTATAATGAGAACAGCATCTGATACACATGTCTTATCAATTGACACAAAAAAAGTTCACTAACCTATATGAATCACAATTCAGCTAGAATTATAAAGAATTACATATATCAATAGTTGAGATCATGAGTCAATTGAAGCTAGACCACGATTGAAAACCTGGAAGCACCGGACGGTTGTTTCGTCCTATTGTAGGAATCCTAAGCAGTGCGCGAACGCTTAACCTCTAGACCACTGAGCCGGCATCCAACTGTGTTATTGTCTAACCTCAACCAAGCCACGAAATTGCACGACCATCGTCTATTTTACTGAGGTAGATACCTGTCTCTACGTGACGCGGAATAGAAATTAACATCGTTAAGTGCCGGCTAGCTCAATGGTCTAGAGGTTGAGCATTCGCGCACGGGATCGAAAACCCTTGGTTCGAATCCAGCGAGCGCGGTGCACACTGCTGAGGATTCCCACAATAGAACGAAACGGCCGTCCAGTACTTCCAGGTTTCTCATGATAGTCTAAATTCAATTGATTCATGATCTCAATAAAACATATATATATATATATATATATATATATATATATACTATGGGAATAAAGTATTTATGTGGTGATAAGTCTTTTTTTGAAAATTTGTCAAGATAACACAATTAATGTTGACTAGTAATTCTCGTATACTACTTATTAGTAGTTGAAAGTTAATATACGAATTTCTAAGTATTGAATTTTTAAATGCTTCATATTACTTTTGTGGTGAAAATTTTCCTCGGAAATATATATATATATATATATATATATATATATATATATATATCAGCAATTAAAGAAGAAATCCTTTCTTTTGAGTTGTCGCTTAATACTTTTAATTTCCTGCAAATGTTTTTTAAAGATTAAACACACTCAAGCAAATGCACTGAGATTTTAACCTGAAATGTTCCATCTAACATTATGGTTTTATGATAGGACTTGTTTAATAACTAAACTAATTTACTTATCTACATTATACTAGCTAGGATTTATTTAACTTAGGCCAAACTATTGAGGCACAAAAACAAGAACATACAAGGAGAGAGCAAAGAGATTCCATAGTGATATTAATAGTTCTAATATCAAATGAGTCTTTCATATTCTTAACTTTAAAGATATTGTGTTTTTCTGAATAGTGAGAAAAGTACCATTATAAAGCCTATCTTATATTTATTCATCTGAATTTTGTTTTAGTCAGTGGTATTACCTTCTGGAAAATCAAGGAAAACTTAAAAATCATAGATATCCCCCAATGTCATTTTCTGACTGGTTCCCGTATAAATGTTATATCAGCCACTTGTGATTTGAAGAAGAGAGGTGATGGCATCTTATTTAGATGAGGTCACACTTGTTACACTGTAGTCTGTCCTAGTTGAAAGCTTGGATATTGTTTTAGACGAGTTAGGAATGTGTGGAAGATAATTATTTTCTATCATGCTCTTTTACTTTCCAACTTAATCTCTTGTGTTTTGTTTAAACATTGAGGTTTAAAAATAAGTTTTTTTATTGTATCACTAGTGTAGAGAAGGTATTGGCACCTTGTGATTTGAATATTTATCTAATAAAAGAAACTATATTCATGATAAGTTAGCTGTATAATAATTATGGTAAACAGGAAACTATCCATTATTCAAACATAAACCTAAGGATTTATTTAGACTGACAGTTTAGGTAAGAAACTTTAGATTGTTGACAATAATTAAATGGATCTACAGTTATCAACTGCCTTGAATTAATTAGCCTGTGAAATTCATATGCACTATAGTTGTTTTTGTACGTTGACAAAATTTGTTTGATAAATTTACCTGGTAAAGTAACAAAAACATTTTATTTTGGTAAAATTATTTCAACAGAATGGTAAAGAATTAAGAAAAGGTGATGGGAATTATGAAATTCAACAGATGCTTGGTATCACGTCACTTGAAATATATTCCTGTTCAGAAAATGACTCTGGACGATATTCCTGTCGTGCAGTCAATAGTCATGGTGAACATGAAACTGAATGTAAAGTTATCGTTGAAGGTGAGTCATATTAAAAAATGTATTGGATTATTCTTATTCATAGATAATTACTTTCTACATTTTAAGTGTAAATAGAGTTAGTCTATATCAAGCACTTACGTTCTCAAGAAGATTTTGTTCACACTATTCTGTCTATACAGAATTCATAATTTGTTAATTTCTATTTACATACAAGTTTATAAAATTTACAACTCAAGAACTTAATATTCCTTAGGAGAAATTCACTCAACTAAAGTTAATCTTCCTAAACCAGTATATTTCGATTAATTTTTCATAGCGAGCCGTGTTAAACGATTTCTCAGTGCTCAACATGCTGACCGAAAAATACGTTCAAGTAGTCAACAACCTACTGGTTTTGAATCAAGAAATGAAAATTCTTCATGGCGTGATGATAAAAGAACTTTGACTCGTCTTACTGAAAGACATGCATCAGAAGTACGTGAAATTAATGAAACACGTGATAAATGGTCAAATAATGAAATCAGAGGATTACGTGACTTAGTGGAACATAGACCTTCCAATGGTGAAATCCAACCTATTCGAGTTGCTGCACCTAAATTGTCAAAAGGGTTAAAACCCATTACACAAGTTGAATTAGGCAAAAGTTTCAAATTGGAAGCAAGATTTGAACCAACAAATCCTCCAACTAAAATTCGCTGGAGTTTTAATAATCAAGTTAGTTGAATAGATTTTGTAATGAATTATTGTTTTATGATAGTTTAATTGAATGTAATTAAATATTTGACTATATATATCGGTGTTTTTGGCAAAACAAGTCAATAGAGCAGGTAGTGTACGGCAATTATTCAATTTGATGATGATTCAATTTGATAGATGCTACTTTAATGGCACATTTTCATCCGTATCTTTTTGAACACTCACAAATACTAATAAATACCAGTCCATAACACTGCATTTGTTATTTCATTATATTTCAAATTTATACTTTCTGTTATTTATTGAATACTAACTGATCACTAGAATCTTGTTTTACTTAAGGATTTTTAAAATTTGACTAGACCACTTGTTATACCACTAGCTCCCACTAGTTTTACGGTATTCATCTTATAGAAAATCCTCGTGGTTTATTGACAGCAATCGGATGAAGTTATCTCGTTGAATGTACTGAAAATATAGATCAGAGAATGCCCTGGACTCATTTCACGTGATACTTACTTCAGTGAAAATAGTAATCTAATCCAAATTTAGCAACTAGTTCCTAGTGCATGACATAATCGGGCTAATCGACAGCAATCACCATCTCTATATTCTGTGCTTATCAACACTAGCTTTTTATCACAGATTTGAAACGATATAATCCAACTATTGAATGGAAATTCTGCCATTGGGTTATTCAAATTCATACGCATACCGCTATGCATTTCCATGAAATTAAAGCTTGGTTGTTTGATAAATATATTTCATACATTATAACACTTTTAATTCATTTGGTTACTACTGTTATTTAAAGATGAATTTATCAAATAAGACTTGATATAAATAGAGAGAATCTTTATTAAGTTGACTTTTAATCATCGTGTAACGCTATTTGGCACTAAACAAAAATCCACTTTTTTCAATTAGGAAACATTTTTATTATCATAATAAAACAGATTGTCTTAATTGTGTAACTGTTTTTAAAATTGTCATATATTTACACTGAATTGCAGGAAATCACTTCAGACGGTAATATAAAGATCACAACATCTGAAGATGGTGAATTCAGTTATCTTGAAGTGTTTGATTCTAGTTTTTCAAATGCAGGTGATTATGAAGCTAAAGCTGGGACAACTATTACTCGAACCAGTGTCAAAATTGAAGGTATGTATCATTTATTCAAGAAGAATATTTTGAAATGTTACTTGCTTTGTTTAGATTAGATTGAGAAGCACTAATTTAAGAATTGCTTTGATAATTCATTTGATGCTAAACTCCAAACAACTGATTCGATAACAGTTTTCCATCACACACCGTTAACAAAAAAGGAACTGAATAAATATTTCATCGTATACATCACATTTTTATAATCGTCTTCCTTATATTTCTTTCACAACAGAATACAAGTACATTGTTGTGTTGCTAATAAGTTGAAATGTTGTGTTCTGCATGTTATAAGACTGTTTGACATAATCTAAAGACTCATCAATGATGTTGATAACTATATGTATACTAGTTGAATATAGTGGCTGAAACTTGTTTCCACTTATTTTATGCTTATAGTCAGTAAGATATAATACAGGGAATCAAATATTTTTTTAAATTCCATACTAAATCTTGTCATTTGAATCATATTCCGATTCAGTAAGAGGAATGACTGATCTACAAAACTCCATCGTTCGATTTCCTAATTACCAGATTTTAAAACATGATTTGCTCAAAGATAACATTCAAAACTTCTTCTATCAATCTTAATAAGTAATGAATTTAGTGGTAAACTCCCATTTATACGACAAATTTAACAGTTGTGAATCACATTACTCTTAATATAAAATACTTTTTTTACTGCATATATAGCCCCAGCTAATTCATTGAATGGAATGATAGATGAAAATGATGACGAACTGTCAGATGAATTTTCTAGTCAAGCTGTTGAACAAGTAATAAATCATAATGATGAAGAAATCATACCTAAAGCTGTTGGATTAGCGCCATTATTCACTGTCCATCCAATAAGCCAAACTGTCAAAGAAGGAGATACGGTTTGTTTAGAGTGCACTGTATCAGGAGATCCCATTCCAGAAGCTGAGTGGTATTATAATGATGGTCCTATTCAAGCTGGACATATATTTTCTCAAGATAACGAAATCATAAAGCTTGAATTACAAGCTCTGTTACCCGAAGACACTGGTACTTACGAATGTCGCGTCACAAGTTCAATGGGAAAAGCATCAACTGTTGCCTTCCTTGTTGTCGAACGTAAGTTAAATAAAGGAACGGTTTTCTTTTTGAATACTCTATCAAGTTACTTCTTTGAACTAGTGAGTTTTTATCTAGGCTGATTTCAGTTTATGATGAAAATCTCCTTCTGTATTAAATAAACCAAAGATTAAACGGTAAACTGTTTCCCTAGTCCAAAGTAGCCATCATAATTTTCATGCACAAAAATAGATGGAAATGGCACTTCTAATTGGAACTATTAAGTTTAAGACTAAGGCATTCTGTGTAGAATCGTTTTATTCATTGACAATTTTTCATTACATAAACTGGTTATAAAATCGTTAAATGTAAGTTTCTATTCACTGTCGGCACATTGCAACGCCTTAACAACAACAAAATGGTATTGGAGTTCGATAATTGATTGTTGTATATCTGCAGCTCAGTTAAATTTAACATTTAATTGTAGAATAACAATATTTAAACTGGAGAAATAGTGTTTGTGCTCCTTATCTCCCACAAGTATTTATAGCTGCCTTAATTTTAGTGAGATACTAAAGGCTTTGAAACGTCCTAAGATAACTATTAAATAAGCATCCGACACATACTTTGGCGTATCGAAATTTCTAGTCAAGTGTTTATGGATATTTCTGTATCTATATACCTGTCAACAATCATCACAAAATATATCTCACAAGTGGCTAAATGAACAGAAGCCATTTACTGTAATTCATTGTAACTTAAGGATTTCCAAATACAGATTAAAGGACTAATCAGAGTTATGAAAGTACGTTTACTAAGTGGGTTGTGATTTTGTATGAATATCTCACCTTGCTTTTCACTTTAAACATCAAGTAGTATCTAACTTTTATAAATCGAATGATTTAAAAAATTCTCGTTTTATCATCTTACAGCTGCAAATGAAGTGCCGAAAGGACCTAATTTCCTTACTTTCCCACAATCACGTAGTGCTGAAGAAAATGAATCTGTTACTTTGAAATGTTCCTTTAGTAATTCACCAGTTGAAGAAGGTAAGTAAGCAGTTCGGTTGAAAACGCACAAACATGTAGATAAAGTGTGAAATAAAAATAACTTGAAATTTCACCAATCTTTTCCTCTGATTTACTTTGTATCGCTTTCATGATTTCTTTTGTTTTGGAGTGTATTACCCAAGAGTTGGAAGTAATTCATCGTTAACTAGTTTTACATTCAAAAAGGTACTTGATTTACCAAAATTCTCGAAACCTGTGTAATTACACTGCAGAATGAAACCATATTATTTGGGTTATATATATATATATATATATATATATATATATATATATATATATATATATAGAGAGAGAGAGAGAGAGAGAGAGAGAGAGTAAATGAATGAAGTAGAGTAGATTTTCTCATTTGTTTGCTTTTATAGTTTCGTTTACTAACTTATGGTTAAGCTTCCTAAATTAAAATGAAGCAAAACGAGTGTAAATATAATATAAGGTTAAATCGTTCAATTTTCATAATATGTAAATTAAAACTTACTAGTGGAGTGAAGTTTAACATATTTAATGTTATGTTACATCTGAAAATTATTCGGGCTTCATATCTCAAGAATTTGTCTTTAATTTTATTAAGCATTCTATGGTTCACATTGGTTCAGGGAATTCATTTAATTCAGAAACATTTTCTCGGTAGATTTTCAGGAATTATTTCATAAAGTAAAAACTTAATTCTAAGCTTGGCGACCAAGGTGAATCTTTCTGGTTTAAAGTTATCATAAAATACTGTCCACTCATTGGTGACCTATTTTATGGATTGCGATTCGTATTCACCGGTTAGGGAACTTGGATGAAAACGGTATCGTACTTGAGCCGAGGCTTAAAGATTATTAGCTCGGTCACATGTAGGATAGTGCTACTGGGTCCAGAGTCTCCGAGTAGTGAATAACTCGTTTTCTGTTAAAGTTTTGTTCTTTGAGCTGAATAGCTTGATCATAGAGCTTTCACTGTTCTATTAGATAACATTATAAGTACAACATTGGGATAGAAGCTGAAGTTTACACCAATAATGCTTTTCAGAAGAATAATGAAAGCTTTACGATCAAACCATTCAGCTCAGAGAACGATCTCCAACAAAATCATCCACATGAGCTACATATCTTCCCGAACATCTTATTTCCCTGTTGATTTTACCTTTCGAACTAAGACTCTAAAGCAACCTAACAAATAAATTAAATGTGTTTAAAAACCATTGTGATCAAAGATTTGGTATTTTGAGTAACAACCGTTGATCAGTGACGTGGAGTAAATAGTTCACGATTCATTAATACGTAGTTCTTTCCTCATAGGTTTCTACTAATAATTTATCTTTTCATATATGCTTTCACAATGTTAACTGTACAAAGAACTACGAAAATTGATCAAACTTATTATTTTTGAACCATTTTATAAAACTTTAGTTTTTTGGTTTCGCAACGATACTCCGTTGGATCCTAATTATTGTGATTTTGATAAATCTGCTCAAACCAGCATATGCATCCTTCCATCGGTGAAAGCATCAAAAGATTCTGGAATTTATTCAGTAAAAATCAAAGATATTAATGGTAACTCATTTGTATGTAAATTTTGCCTACAAGTCATACCATCTTTATTGGTGAATGATAATAATTCAGTTAAAGTAATTTAAAATTACATATTTTGTACAGGAAAACTAACTTATCCTATTGTTATCATGATAAATGGCTTCAAAATTGTAATAGACCATATACTAACTAACATTTCAGAATAAATTTATGATCTAAAAAGAAAACATTATGTTCCCATATTCAAGCACATTATCACACACAATCTATGAACTATTATCATTCATTGATTTATACATTTTTTTTCTCTCTCAAAACACTAGTAATTCATAGAAACCTTTTATTCTCCTCCCCTCCCCCTTGATTATACTAATAAGAAATGCTTTGTCCCATTTTGAATAAAATTCATACAACAACATAGAAACAAACAAATCAATAAAAATCTCCGGAAATAATTGTGTAAATGATACAATCATTAGAGGAATATTATTTTTCAAGTAGAAAAAACAACCAACAGAAAGAATATCCCAAATCAGTTTTGTTTTTCTTAAAAGAAAAAAGAAGGAAAGATTTCATTTTCTTTTAGTTCATGTTATTATTTTGCTAGTCATTTCAATGTGTATACATACTTGTATGTATAAGATGAGATCATATTCACTAAATAAAGAAATAAAGAAAAAATGATACGTTATGAATGTTATAGAAAGTCAATCACTGACTGTTCACTTGTGTATTTTGTGACTTAAAACAACAACAACGAAAAAAACTATTACTAAAACTTTTCATTTTCAACGCTTTACTTTCTCCCATTTCGTTTTTTTGTCTGTTTTTGTTTTTAACTTTCCAAAGTACTATAGATGTTTTTTTGTTGTTGTTGCCAAACATGGAAGGATTATCTAATATAATACATGTGTATACTATTATCTTTTATTTATCATGATAACTATTAATGTGATTAAATATTTCAACATTTATCTTGCCTTTCTCTGTCGTCCTTTTGTTGTTGTGTTTCTAGACAAAATTCTTTGATGCTTTCTCCCTTTGTGTTTTTGTTTTCTTTCAATTTATTCACTTAGTCTCATTCCCATGAATATTTCTTTATTGGAAATAAAAAGAAATCTGTTCCTTTCCTTGCCTAACCGGATGCTTTATTATACTCATATTTTCTTTAAATATTTAAAAGAAATTTTGTGATTATATACAAAGAAAACGACTATACAAAACTTTATTATAATATAAAACAATTCTATCAGTTATTGGTTAGTTAGTTTGTTGTTTCCAAGTTGTATGTACGTAATCATAAAACATACATTTCCTCATTTATTCATTTAACTCTTTTTAAAATAATATTTTCTTTTTCTATCTTATATATTTGTCTTCTATTAACAACGTAATTGTTGAAAAAAATAGTTGCTAACCTCTCTATTTGAATCATTTATCATTATTATTGTTGTTCTGTTATGACTTCTTTCGAATTTAATGAGTAGTTATGAAATAGGCTATAGTGTAAGTAAAAACTTACCAAAACGGTTGATAAGATCTTATGATTTCCAAAAAAGAAAACACAACAAGAACGACGACAACAACAACAACCAACTATTCTGCTTTATTACAAATAAGAATAATCTAAATGAACAATGATTAATGTTATCATCTAAAATTATTTCAATTCCCCTTGAAATTTTTCTTAATTTATCACTAGTCTATTCGCATGTTTATTTACTTATACAAAGTAAAATCTTTTCTCAATTCTAAATCTTTTCTTTGTTCTTTGATATATTACGCAAGTAACTAAATGGTATTAATCATAATGATGATAATACTGATTATTCTTATTATTCTGTTATCCATTACTTGATGATGATAAATAATAATAATCTCACTCATTATATGTGCTATTTTTTAGCCATTGAAACAAGAAGTTAAATTGATTTTACGTGATCTGTATCCTGTTTTTACATGATTTTTTCTCTTCCTTTTGTTGTCGTACTTTTTCTCATTGTTAAGTCCTTTTTTTCTTCTTTATTGCCTATTTGTTTCTTTCAACAGAACTGAAAAAAACTTTTCTTCTACCTGACCCTATATTAAATGATAATTATTTACTGACACAAATTATGTTCGATCTGAGAGAAAAAAAGAATCTGTCTTAAAAAAATAAAGTTTAAAAAATTATTTTCTGTTTTAAAACATGAAATAATTTAAGGGCTTACTAGTATTGCTTTAAGTAATCTTTGGTACTGAACATGTTTTATCAAGTTGATTAGCTGTTTGATCTGAATTCCGTTACAGAGTGAAAAAGATTTCAATCAGCAGGAAGCTCTGAACTTAGATTTTGAGCTTATCGTTGTTTGTAAATATGACATATTTGTATTCTTGAAGTAACACGTACTTTCTGTACAATTTGGGCCTACTTTACCAAGTGTCACAGTCGGAAATACTACTACTGTTCTGTTCGAGTCAGAATTGACTTAATGTACAGTTGAAGTATCTTGCAGTGGTCGGTCACCGATTAGTAACCAATATCATATTTATTTGTTCATTAGTACTGGTTGAACTCGATAGATCAAATTACGATATGGCCACTAGATTACAGACACATTTCGCTGACGTGTACTAACTAGCATTAAGTTTAGATATGTGTTTTGGTTACTCACAAACTTCCAATATCAAATATACTGCATCCAATATTGATTCAGTTAGACCAGCGACCACCTCGTAACTTGATCAATACAATTCGATCAACATTCGAAACTGGTCTAGGACGAAACTAATTATTATTCAACAATTGATTGGTGCAATGTTTAATTACTTTTCAGTAAACACACGAGAATTGTACTAGTTAATTCCAACTTTAATTAGGAAGACAAGCGACAATGACGGTTCTGATATGATGGAAAGAAAAGCCAATTTTCGATTGATCTACTCATAATGAGTTTTGTTTAAGATTACTTCCATTCTGATTCAATGTGATCATTCAGTGTAGTATTGGATTTGTTTTCTCGTATGATATTTTATTCTGTATAATATACGATGTTCTTGTATTCAGTTGACATGAACTATGCTCAATATGTCATTTGTTATAACTAAGTATTTTTCATATATGTGATTTCATCCTAATTATTAATCGAAATGGGTGTACAATCAATATATAAATAAGTGTATTCTAGATTAGGGTCGTCGTCGTCATAGTGTTTTGGAGTTAGTAAATCATCACTTATATCAGTCTTTATGTTCTTACTTTCACGTCGTGGGAATCGCAGAGGCCTCTCGCTCCGAGTATAAGCGATCAGCACTTTTCCGGCACAACAATCAGCGATGACCAGTTATAACAATTTACTAGTTATAACAGGTTCTTGTATACATTGTACAATAGCAACCTTATAACAACAATACATTATGAAAAAATGTCTCATTGGATTTAAGATAAGTTTCTTATTATTTTTATTTGATTATTTCCGTATAGCTATTTCAAATTACCAATGAAATAGTAAGAAAATCATTCAGTTTTCAATAAACAATTCATTTTCTAGTAGATTTCTTTATTTTCATTTTTGTAATTCCATTTTTTACGCACATGACTTTTGAATTTGTACAGTTCTGTATATATAATCACTTAGATCATGACCAATATTTATTTAGGAATGCTAATATATGCAGAATAATTAATTTAATGGATTCATGTAAATCACTTTGTTAAAAGAATAACATTTATCGGGTCAACAATTACATGTTATTGATTAGTTAAAAAGTTGATTAGTTACTAAGCCATTATTTTACACAAAGACTAGTATATATATATAACTTTCCAGAAAAACTTGAACGATGAATATATTCATGTAAAAAAATCAATAAATTAGTAAACATATTTCGTTAGCCTTTGTTGTTAATAGTAAAGCTGAAGTAGATCACAGTCAATATTTCATAGTCTCATGACTATGGTATGATTATTTTATATTTCATGTTAGTTTTAGTTAAGATAATTCTTCATATATCTAAAACACTTCGTTTGACCTTCTGGATTAATGAGGCAAACAAATTTATTCTTTAACTACTTGTGAGGTGGTGGAGAAGATTTGTAGCTCAGGTGGATGATTTTGGTGGTTCTGTTCTCTGAGCTGGATGGTTCGGTCTTGGAGCTTTCATTGTTCTTCTGAACGACATCATCAGCACAAACTTCAGATAGAAGTGAACTGTTCGAATTTCTCCATATGTGTTTCACAGCTTGTTTTGTGCACTTCGATGTCGACTAGTTCTTATTAACTTTAAATTTATCATTGTTTACTTCTTTGGGGAGACTTTTTTTGGGAGACACAACCAAAAAAAAAGAAGTAAACAATGATAAATTTAAAGTTAATAAGAACCAATCAACATCGAGGTGCACAAAACAAGCTGTGAAACACATATGGAGAAATTCGAACAGTTCACTTCTATCTGAAGTTTGTGCTGATGATGTCGTTCAGAAGAACAATGAAAGCTCCAAGATCGAACCATCAAGCTCAGAGAACAAAACTCCACCAAAATTTAACTACTTGTCTTTTGAGTGTATTATACTGTGAGATTATTACCATTTCTAGAATAAGAAAGAATGATAAAATTTTCATTTTTAGCTGTCATTTCTTATTAGTTTATTAAAGAAACTAAATACAATTGAAAATTTTACTAATGTTTCATTCTACGAAGAGGAGATCAGTCAGCTATCTTCCTTAGTTATATGGCGAATCGAAATACACAGGAGGCCTGAGTGAATAAGACAATAACTCAGTTTTTATAGCTTCTTTGTAGTCTTATATTAATAAGTCTTGATAAAAGTTCGATTTAATACGATCAGTGGCGTTTGATCAAAAGTTGTTAGCGAAGATGAAGTGAAGATAGTGATATAGAGACTAAATTTATTTTAAAGTGAAAATAGATGAAAGAGCCTAAATATGTTGATAATTACGCTGACATCACTAAAATAATATGTTTACATAACCATATCATTCAGTAGTTAGTTTAGTCGCCTTGTATTCAAATAGAAACATGAATCCGTGGTCATTAATGTCTTTTACTCAAAATCACAATCGTAATAGGAAAAACAAAGTCTATGCTTTATTAGACAATCAAACTTGATACAAGCTGTTTCGTCAAACACCGTCCACATACAACATAAACAGAAGTTATTAGAATATTCAAATAGAGATAGTTGAATATTTTCCTGAATATTTATAAAAACAAACAAATTCTAATGAACAGATAATAAATACCCATTCTTTTTTATTGATAAACGTAAAGCAGAATTGATTCATAAAACCTATTTAAAGACAATCTTTATAGTGTTTTATGGAAGTGATCAAGGTTGAATACACAAATTTATTAGAGTCTTAACCATATACATATTCGAAAAAAGTTTGTACATACAACAAACCTACCATAATTATAGTAACTGACATTTTTAATATCAAAGGTGATGTAAGTTGTTCTGTTTTATTTTATTATCCTTTAATTTATCTAATAGTTTTGATCTTTGTATTTATCATATAAATCTATTTTAATAAAAATAGCGTATGATTAAATCGTTCTAAATTTAATGTACCAAAATATTAGATGGTTATGACAAGCATTATCTTCTCATTAACTCACTTTAATTTATCATTCTTGTAATTGATATTACTAATGGTGGAATAATATACAAGAATTTATATCTTATTGACAAACTTTCAGAAATTACACAAAAGGTAATAAGAAATTAATAATATCGACAGTGATCAGGAAATGATTAACATTAGAGAGTTAACGAATAAGTTCTGGACTTACAATTCTGAGAAAATTGAACAACATGATTTATCTTGTGCTGGAAACTGTAATTATTTCAGTACTAAGCCAGCCTAAATAAACATGAATCATATCATATAAATAATTGCAAAGTTTATTTTTAACTATAAAATGTTAGATGCCCTAAACCATTGTGTTAGATGAATAATGTTATCAGTTGAAGAGCAAAAAAACTGCTGACTATATCAAACCTGTTATTCTTTAAAGTGACTGATAATATCTCTATGGTAGTGATAACTGATTAGCTATTAAGATCTTGACATAAAACAAAATGTTATAGGACTGTTTAAAAAAGTATATACAAGAAAGAGATAACGATGAAGTAGTACCTAAATTAAGACAGTTTTTGTTCTGGTAGATAAAAATCTTGCCGAAAAACTGTGAGATTCGGAATATTGTGTTCAGACAACAAAGTCAAAGAATCATTTAAATGTATATCTAAAAATGTTTTTAGGAAATACAAAGAAAAGTAATTTGGTAAGCATAAACAAAAACTCTATTTCCTATTTTATTTGGATAAGATTTTGCCAAGAATTTATAGAAGAATTAGGAGGGGCACAAAAAACGCATTCTTCTTCAGCTCAACTGGTTTCAGCATACAATAAGGAATGGTTATTAGACTATTCAAAAGTTGATTATAACTCTATTGATACCACCGTCAACTGTATTATTGGACTTAAATGTACTTGTAGTAAAAGATTTATAGAGTTAGGAAAAGGACTTCTACAAGATTTTAGGGATTAGTACTCCCAAGTCTTTACTTGAATGGAAGTGTAGTCTTCAAAACTGAAGCTGCTGAAAGTTCAAATTTGTTGAATGACAATCTTACCTTTATTTGTAGCCTTAAAATCGAATGAATGCGTTTTTAATTCTGTAAATCTTATCATTCTTATGTTGTTCAAAATTATTATCTTGTCTTTTATTCACCATTATTTGCGAAGTTAAAACACGGTGAAATCTTTCAAAATAAATTGAACTTCACGATTATGAGGTCTCTGAATTAACTTTGATATCACGTTACCGAAGGTATCAAGAAATTTGAAAAGATTGATCCATCCGAATATTTTGTTTCTAGAAAGAATTTGTGATGTAATTAACTCATAATGTAAGAGGCGGTTGTTAGATTAGTATTGGTATTGTTCTTTAAATAGTGAGTTAAAATATCAAATACACTAAGATATTGCTTACTGAAATGCCGTTTTTAACAAATTTCAGCTTAAGTCATTTAACGGATAGTTCTAATAGAATGATTTGTGTTGAAGCTACACGATGATTCCCCCTTAATTTTTGATGCATCAGAGATTCTTATGTCATACCTGAAGCATAGAGTTTCCTTGCTGGTAAATCTATTTATGTATCTTTTTATTTTAATTGTGTTGTTCTACATATCTAAGTTCATAGTCGATTGTATAGGATTTAAATGGATACTCATTTTCAAGAAGTTGGGATCTCACTTCATTGGTTTCCCAAATCAATTAAATTAATGTAAGTATTGTAATTAATTAGCTGGTAACATTAACCAATACATTTATCATTCAGAAATGAGTTTATCTGGACTTTTTATAACGTTTTTGATACTCAAAATTGTAAGAACTTAATCTAGACATACGTAAATACACGAAAGTATAACACTGACGTTTTTTTCAATGTGACTTATTCATCAACAATAATTAGTGTTTCATCGTGTATACCACAATATTCTTAGTTCATGAATAAACAGAAATATGAACATTATTCTGAAGCTTCATGATAATTCTATTTTGTTAACGTGTCAGTCAGTGACTAAAACAACTGAAAAAGACGCTGTCTTCAAGCTTTGAATGCTGATGAAATATATGTTTGATATTATGATTGAAGAGCAGGAAGCATTGGACTGACGTTTCGACTTATTGTGGGACTTCTCAACAGTGCACATCCATGATTCCGCCTCACGAAGCTCGAACTAAGGACCTATCCGTCTCGAGCATGGACGCTTAACCTCTAGTCCACTGAACTGACCGGCATCCAGTGGTGTTATTGTCTCACTTTAACTAATCCACGTAATTCAGCGATACATCCACCATTGTCATCAGTTAGCTTCTATCTCACAACCGACCCGGTTGAATTCCACTGATCATTGCTTCTCACTAGAACCCCAGGAAATACCTCTTGAAATAAATCACTAGTGAACATATGTTGATTAGTATCAGAAAGGGTTTTGTGGATATTAAAGTAATTTAATAATTGAATTCCTTAGTCGATTGAATCGTGAATAAGCACTGCTGAGGCATCCCATACTAAGACGAAGCGGCCGTTCAGTGCTCCCAGGTTTTTCATGGAGGTCTAGCTTCAAGTGACTCATGATCTCAACTATTAAAAAAAAATATATATATATATGTCACAATTGCTATTTATGTTTCTCACTAGTAAATGAAGTTAACATCTCTAATAAGTTAAGCTAATTATTATCATATAATAAAACTTTCTTTATATGAACCGTTCTTCATAGAAAATTACTTACCAACATAAAACATTTCAATAATTATTCTTATTAAATTTGCCTTAGCAACATATAGAATAGTTGATCTCAATTTTATTATTACAACTCATTAATGATAAATATGGATTACAGCTCAATAGTTTTTTTTTTTTAAGAAAATAGCATAACACTTAAAAGTAAATAAATGTTTATAAAATAAAACATGAACAAATCAATATTCCATTGATTATATTGGAAAACCAAATAATTCATTAAAACCTTTTTTAATCCTTAATAGATCATTGATTATGAATATATATAATATATAATATAATATATATATATATATATATATATATATATATATATATATATATATATATATATATATATATATATATATTAGTCAATTTCATGTGCAGAATATAAATAAACTGAACCATTATCATCTAATATATTTCCTTGTATAGGATCATAACGTACATGTTTAATATCAACTTCCCATGATTTGATATTATTATTCTCAATATAATAAGAATCTGTTTGACATAATTTACTTTTTATTTTTTTATTTTCTTCTTTTTCTTTTTTCATTTTATGCTCTTTTCGATGTTTATTATGATTATGGTTATTATTATTATTATTTGAAGTACTTGGAATTGGTTCAATTATTCTTTTATCATTATATAAATCATGATCATTTATATTATTATACATATGTAATATTGATTTATGCTCATTATAATGATGATTTGATTGTGGATTATTATAATTAATTTCTAATATACCATTCGATTTATCAATAATCTTTTCATTCAATTGATTGAATGAAGTATTTCTTAATGAATTCAATCCAATTACATGATTTGTCATTGGAATCATTGGATTTTTATCAATCAAAACTTTTCTATTTAATGCTTTATTCTTTAATGGTATTAATTGTAATTTATTATTGTTTATTAATTTTCTTTTATATAATTGATAAGGATAATAATCGATTTGTTTATTGAATGTATATTTCCATATTAATAATTGTGTATCAATTAATTGAATTAATTTATCAATATCAGTAATATTTTTTGTTGTTATAATTAAAAATTGTTTTTCAATATAATCATCATCATATAAACCAATAGCTAATTGTAATTTATGTTGATTAAATAGAATAATTTTTTGTATTGTTTTATATTGAATTATATTTTCATAACGATATGGCCACCATGAACCATTTTTTAATATTAATGATGTATAAGTTAATATTAATTTTGTTTTAATACATTTTTTTGGTTGTTTCCATGGTTTATTATAATATTGTTCATAACGATATTGTAATATTGGTAATGAATAATCATCATGTATATATAATTCAATATAATTTTCTATATGTATTGTGATACATAATAATGGTGTAATTGTATTCAATGATTGTTTATTCATTATTATTATTATTATTAATGTAATTAAATGATCATTTAAAGAATACAATCTATTTGTATATATTTATATATTTATATTACATTTCAATGATAAAAGTAGGATGTTTATTTGAGTTAGAGTCTTTTTTTTTAATTTTTTTAAAAAAAATGGAGTACAGTTTATTAAAAAATCTAAATTGTATATGTGACTTGGTGTTATGCTCAAAGTTTCTTATAATCAAATGAATATTATAGTCATTTTTCATAACATTCTATGTGGAATAAACCATGTATATAAATGAATTGATCAATATGCATAAATATTGATATCATAGTTTAGAGAGAAACGTTTGTTTGTTTTATTTTTATTTTGATTTTTTTTTTAAATTTTGGATTCATCTTAATAACCAATCAGATTAATATAGTGTAAACTGTTTTGTGAATACTTGAAATCATTCAAGAGAGAATAAAAATAATAATATGTGTAACCAATGATTCGATTTGAATCGATTAGTGGTTAATGTTAGATAACAGAAAGATAGAGAGTTGTAATGAGAAGTGAATAGACGCCAAGTCTATTGTAAAATATATGTATTGATGTATATTTCCTTGGTTATTTATTCAAAGAGAAAATAAAGTATCCTCAATCATCCAACGATTGATTGGTTGATTCATTAGTTAAGAAAACGATTTGTACTTTTCATGTAATGTTAACATATGTATTTTATTTTAAATGACAAACATTTCAAAGATTTGACTACAGACGGTCACTATGTTGACATAAGATGGTGGTTGGAGGTAGTCATCAGGAAACCCTGTACCTAGATTTCGTGCTACTTGGCACTTGTCAGCAAGATATACTTGTAATCTTTAGAGAACTGATGCTCTATGATGGATTTTATACCGTGTCACACGGCTTCGCAGTCGGCGACGTTACCATTGAGCTATCCGGGCCGCGACCAACCTCCTGTAGGATTGAGATATATTTACAATTAATTGATAACTGGGTGGTGACCACTTTCATGTATGTCAGGTTCTTCTTAGTGCTGATCGAATCCTATCAACCAAGTCGCAATTCGGCCAAGAAACCTAGGTCCAGGATTTCCTGTTGTCCACCTCCAACCACCATCTTATCTCAACATAGTGCACGCAATGTCGAGTCACTTGTTCTGGTTGTCACATTTCGACGTGGTCGATAGGATTCGATCTTCACTAGGAAAGAGCTGACATACATGACATTGATCATCACCCAGTGATCAATCAGTTGTATAGACGGTCATATTAACTGAACAAAAATTTTAATTTAATTCGAAGAAATTTATTTTTTGCGAAAACTAACACATATTCTGGGCTAATTGGTTTTTCTCACATGCCTAATTGATTCTTAAGGAGAAATTCCTTTCGATCTTGAAAATGATATTATTATAAAATGGTATCATCTGAAAAAATAATTAAAACCGGATAACAGTTTTTGGTTTGATTTAAGGGCTTTTTATTTTTATATACCCACTACCAAGAACTGGATGAAAATAAGCTTGGTAACATATAAAATATTTCTGCCAAATTATCTACTGTATTAATGGTTGTTTGGCCAATATTGACAGAAGTTGAGAAAAGGTGTATTGAGAAATCATTTTTAGTGGGTCCAGCTCAAACACAGATAACTTGATAATATACTGATAGTTTTGAATGAAGACTGTAAAATTTTTCAGGCTGAATGAGTTTGGAACGGTGGAATATTGGGATTATGAATGATCAGTGTAAGGATATCGAGCATATCACAAAATCTCTATATCATGGGTGTGACTGTATGTGGAAATGTAAGTGATTACGGGTGTAGCGCCCCAGATGTGCCTACAAATTATTCTTCTACACTTTTAGATTACACCTATTTGCAACCCAGTTGACATTACTTACTATTTCTCTTTTATCTGAAAACTATGAATTCAGCAAAAAACTACCTGGTATTTAACTATAAGTTTACATAGCTATTGTACTTAATCTTTCAGCTCTACATATTACGCGTGGATACCAGTTCTTACATGCTCGTAGCCAACAAAATTCATTTCTGGAATATTATCAGGTTTTATATAGAACAATCTTCCGGAATTTTCTTCAAGCAGTGATGGTATAAATAACAAGTTTTTATGTGGTATGAATAGATGAATTATGAATTCTTTTCTCTTAAAAACACCCCCTCATATATAAAAATATATAGCATCTTATGAAGAACCAATGTCGAGTGTATATTTTTCAGTGTATGTTTAACCTGCACAACTGTGATTTTGCAAATTATAGGCTTGTTCAAATGCTTTCCTGAATTATAATACCCTTTACTACCACCATCACACATAAAAAAATTTGAATCTACCGTCCATTTCATCCAATACCATATTTCTGATTAATTCAGTGAATACATCATTCAGAATAACAGTAAAATAACGATATAACGTTATTAAGCCAACTTTCTTTCTGATCATTTGACCGACTGGTAGATTTGTGAATAACTCATAATTTTATTGTTAACATGATATCCATTTATACAACACTATTTATTTATTTGTATTTTCTTTATTGAATAAACATATTCCACAGCTGAAAAGATAAAAGTCATAATAATAATGGTATACAATGGACTTAAACGATTGAGTCAAATTTTATATTTCCTTTTTCATGAGGAAACGAAAGTAGATCACATACTTATATTCAGACATAAAAAATTAGACGAGTAGTGAAATTTCAACTGTTTACATAATATCAGTTACCAAAGATCAGATTACACTTGTTGCCTAAACAAGCACAAAACAATTCAGTTTTTAACAGATTAGTGCAAAGACAAAACTAATCTTATATCAGTATAGGGTTGTGCAGATTGTTGAGTTTTTGATTGAATCGATCAATGATAGACCGTCATAAAAAACCTGGATGCACTGGACGGCCGTACACTTTTAGTATGGGACTCTTCATCAGTGCGCATCCACGGTCCTCCACGCGGGACTCGAACCTAGGGCCTTCGGTCTTGTGCTCGAACGCTTAACCTCTAGAACACCGAGCCGGCATTCAGCGGTGTTAATGTTTAATTTCAATCCCTCCATGATACTGAGCGACTGTCCACCATTGTCTTGAATGAGTAACTGCCTCACGACAGATAAGGTTGCACTCCACTTCGTTGGATGCGCTGGCACAGTGGTTTAGAAGTTGAGCGTTCGAGAGCAAGACTGAAGGTCCTGAGTTCGAGTCCCGTATGGGGGATCATGAACGCGCACTGCTGAAGTGTCCCACACTAGAACGAAACAGACGTCCAGTGCCCAAAATAGTTGCACACCAATTATGTTATCCCAGGACTTTATCTGAGAATGAACACAGAAAAAAATCCCATTGGGTCGACTAAAACAGTTCGTAATTTCAGTAAGAACAAAGAAGTTTTGAATTTTCGAAACACTAACAATGAAATGGAATCAAATTTACTGATGTTGTCTCAGGTTTAAGTGAAACTGTTTAATAATGACTAATGAGGAGAACCTGAAATGTTGTATGGTATACTCTTTGACAGTGTAATGGTTTAGAGGTACTTTTATGACTAGGGTTTTTACTACTAAATAAAAATAGTTCTTTGAGATCTATACTTGTCATGATCTTTGATCTCATATTATCCTGTAGTTATACTAAATGTATGTCTCTCTATATTCACTTGAAGAGTTCAATACGGTCATTTTATATATTTTACTTATTAAAAAAACAAATGTCGTTTATAAACTGGGCTAACCGTAGTATTAATTTATATCTAAAGCATTGTACTATTTAAAAGTAGTTTGGAGATTTATATTGGTTTGGAAATTCGAACTTGTTTTAAAGAAGAATGGAATATCTTACAGGCTATATATTTTCATTCTACAAGGAAATACTATGCATGTTTTTGTGCTGACACTTTATAAGTAGAAAGATATCTAACACTGAATAGTCGTTTCGTTCTTGTTTGAATCTTCTTGTTATTGGTCAACTATAGCTTTCAAGTGCTGGGACGATTATCATAGCTTTAGATTAAGTTCATACTTCCATTTGAAATGAATTGGCGATGCACTGAGCTTTTATTGTAGCAGTTTTGTGATAAAAATCATTTGCGGCGATTTCAGGCTTTATTTAGAAGTTGTCATACTTTTGAACTTATAAACTGTTTTACCACGTTACATAGTTTATAATCCTATTACCAACATTAACACTGTTATGTGTATTTATACAATGTTCTCGATAGGTATTTATTCTATTCATTTGCATTATTTGATAGCAGACAAAGTTAAACAGCAAAGTGACTTTCCGTCAATAAACTCTTTGTTTAACTAGTAACAAAACCATAAATAGTGATAAGTTACTGTAGTAAAACGCAATATTATGTTCTTTGTTTAGTACTTTGAATTTGGTCGACTCTAATTCTATTCATAAAGTTTGAATTTTCCTATGCTCATTTCATAAAGCTTGGAAATCAGAAATGTGTCCAAAGAGTTTTAATGTATAAAGATAAACATATTGTATATCTAGTATCACAATGTTATGACTTGTGGCCTTGTGTCCAATTATTATATAATGCATTGATACCGCTAATTAGAAAACAGAGATTTATCGACCGGACCAATGACGTATAAATCGTACAAACACTCCTAGAGTCTTTATGGATCATTCTTCCTGCCTAGCCTTCCCGCCTGTTAAGTTCAAAACACCAATCTCAGCCTCCGTGATATAAATCATATATTCCAAACATACTGCGTTTATATACAAAGCAAACAGACCACATCGCATCACAAAATAGAAAACAACGTCTGTACAAGATCTAGCCAAAAGTGGCTATGAATGTGAGAGACTGTAATTAATAGACTGGGTATAACCCAAGAATGATAAATTGTATAATAATATTCTATTGGTCAAAAAAAGCTTACAATAAGAGGAATATGAATATGCATAGTTTAGTTACATAACAATTATACAATAAAAACTATATGTATAGTATTAGTCCAGAAATAGATTCCA